GTAGAGCTAGAGTACAGTCAGGCTGAGGCTAAGATAATGCTATAAACTAGAGCTAAGGTAGGGCTAAAAAAGGCTATAAGGTAAGGCTAAGGTAGGGCTAAAGTATGGCTATGGTATACCGAAAACAAAGCAAGCTTTTGGCTAGAGTAGGGCTAGAAAAAGGCTGTAAGGAAAGGCTACAGTAGGTCCACCAAAGACCACAAGGTAGGGCTAGGTTTAAGCTAAAGTTTGGCTAGAGTAAAACTAGGAAAATCTATACGGTAGGGCTAGGATAAGCCTAGGAAACAGTGTACAAAGAGGGGTAGAGCAGAACTTCCTACCCTTCCAAAAAAAAGTTACATAGTTGCAACTTTTAAAAATAGCCTTCCAATTTAGCCAGTCTATATCACCGCGACGTTCTATGAAAAAAAAATTGATAGACTGATAGGTTGATGAATGAGGTTTTTAAAGATTGCACTTGACTTTTATTGCTATTTCGAGTGCGCAGGAACTTGCAAATCGAACAAAGTGTGACATTAGAGTTTTTGAAGACTTATCTTTGAAGTTTCATATCATTATTGTAGCTGTTTTGCTGATATTTTTTAGTTTTTATGAGTTTGAGATGGGTCACCGTATTTTACATTCTCTTTATACATTGCCGTATTCTACATTATCTTTTTTATCGGCATGTTCTACATTACCTTTATCAATGAATGACTTTTTAAATAAATAGTACACATCATGTATCTTTCTAGCTAATACTAAACTACCCTACCATACCCTACATCATGCATGTTTAAGTCATCTATAGCTTATGCATCTTCTCAATATGGCTTACTAAAGCATCGTATGATGATATAACATTGCTTAGACATGACTTTTTTTTAGCCAAAAAAGGTCTGTATCATTCAGTCCAAGCATTTTTTTCAAAAATTTTTAAATATTCATCACGGAATGGCCGAACAATAAACATTTTATGTTTTAGTTTGTCTCTTCCTTCCCTAAATTATTCATGTATCCAACCAAATTTAGAACATCCTTTTCGAATTGTCATTGGTCGAAACACGTTCTGACAACAACATTTTCAAAAAGTATTTTTAGTCCAGTTTCGTAACGACATACGCGTTGCTTAATATAGAAATAATTGGAAGTGATATGTTATTATTTAATGATAGCGGTTATCATCGTCGACTCCTTCGTTTTTCGTTTTGTCTTACTGATTGGGTCGTTATTTTTAGCAGCGGACGCTGGGAGTTATGCAGTTTTTTTGGGGAATTGTCTTGGGCATGGGTTTTGGCATTTTTTTAGACATGGGAGTGGGCACAGATGGGGAGGGGAAGAGGAAGAAATGCCACCACAAAAAAAATTATAGTTAGTGCTACGGGCTATTGTCGGAGATAGAACTGGAGCTAGAGCTGAGGCTACGGCTAATGCAAGGGCTAGGACTATTGCTGAAGATAGAGCTGGTGCTAGGCTTCAGGCTAGAGCAAAGGCTAGGTCTAAAGCTAGGGCTAAAGCTAAGAATCAGGATAGTGATAAGGCTAGATCTAGAGCTATGGCAAAAAAACTTGCAAAAAAACTTTTTAACTCTCCTTTCCTTTCCTAACCCGCCCAGTCCTGAAATTATTGTAGTTTATAACAAGCTTTTACTGTAGTAAAAAGCCCGCTAGCCTTTTTTTAGCCCTTGGCCCATTTTTTCCTTTTTTTGTTTTGCAATTCCAACTTCCTTTTAACATCATTCTGTCTTTACTCCCCTGCAGATTAAATCATCCGTCTGTCCCCAAAATAGCCTTATGCCACTTACATCTGCTATAAATATCCTCCTTTCTAATATACTTTTTGCTCCACATTCCTAACATACTTGCTTTATACGTTTTGCTACATACTAAGCCAAAAATAGTGATATATGTTTGCCTACACAATTTTTTTACCTCGTGGTCTAGCCATTAGTACATACTCTAGTCTTTACCTTATACTCTAGCCATTAACAAATACAAGCCAAAAATACTGTTACATTTTGCCTACACACTTCATGTTTTATCACATACTCTAGCCTTCACTACATACTCTAGCCTTTTCCACATACCCTAGCCACTAACAAATGCTAGCCAAAATATCCCTTGCAATATACGTACTCTATAGCACAAACTCTCATTTAAGACCAGTTTTTCTTTATATTACTTTACCTCAAAGAGCAGGCAATTAAAATGCCGGAGGCATTCCAAATTTAGTCTCGAAAAGTAAACAGGCCGCGGCTGCAATAAAATTTTCTAAATTTGGCAAGCAAAAATAAATTGGTTTAGGTAGGTTATTTTTAGCCACTGATGTGATCCTTGTGGTTTTTGTGTTTTGGGATGGTAAGAGATTGTTGATATTTGGTTGGCATGGGTTTTTTATTGTCTAGAATAGGTTTATTTAAACGTTGCTTGTTTATACGTTTCATAGGGAGGTATTAGGTAATAAGTAAGACATTTGTGACGGGTTGTTTATACGTTTCATAGGGGGTTTACTTGGTAATCAGACGATAGGGTTCAATGAGTAATTAGACTAAAGAATTACTCATTTGATTGACCAGAAATAGCTCAAAACATTGCTTACTGAAACGTACTTTTAATTTCGTTATAAGAACTTATTTTGAGAACTACCTTTAATTCTATGCTAAAAATTGTTTTTAAACCCTTTCTTAAGTTGGTTATAAAACTTATTTTAGGCTCCTTAATAAGGTTATATTACTTATTTTAGGGTCTTTGATAAGGTTATCAAACTTATTTCAAACTCCTTCCTTAATAATGTTATTAAACTTATTTTAGAACCATACCTTAGTTTCTACATTAACTTAGAGGATTAAATGAGTAGGGGAGGGGAAAGAAAACCATTTAAAAAAATTGAACGTGGTCCCACAGGGTAGAGTATAATGCTAGGCTAAGGCTGGGGCTACTGCTAAAACTAGGACTATAGCTAGAGTTATGGCTAGGGTATAGAATGGGTTAAGGCTAAAGCTGAGGCTTGAGCTATGGCTTGAGCTAAGGCTAGAGCTAAGGCTAGAGCCGAGGCTAGAGCTAAGGCTGGAGCTAAGGCTAGAGCTATGGCTTGAGCTAAGGCTTGAGCTAAGACTATGGCCAGGGATATGGCTATGGCGCAAACAACTTTTTTTAAAAAGCCTTACTTACTGTGCAATCTTAAATATAGAACCCAATGTTTTAGGAACCACATTACCGTCTAACTAACTTAATAATCAACAAAAAACGTAGAAAGTTTTCATAAATTAACGTCATTACCCTTGTTTTGAAAATTTCGAAAATCCTTTCAAAACCCTTTCCATTTTTAGCCTCGTCACCCATTTTTCGAAATGCCCGGTTGTAAACTTTAAAACCGTCTGGTTTATTGTACTTTCGGCTCACTCTTCCTGTTTATTTGCACGAGTCTTGTTAATTTTATTTTAATCAATTTCGGAATGAATCAAAATTCATTTGAATGGGAGCCTCAGGGGTCGGGAGTTCAATGTGCTCCAAAAATAATTGCAAATAAAATGATGTTTATTTAAGCGATTTCCCGTGTTTTTTCGTCTTTCGTTCTCATATAATGAACATACGCTCGGTTATACGTTGGTCTTATCGTGTTTGATATTTTTAGGCCGGTTGGTTTTGGGTTGAACTTTTGAGGGTTGAGAAGTTGGATTTGGGAGTGTTATTTGAGTAGGAGGGTTATTATTCTTGTTATAGTTTATATTGGGAATACAGTTTTTGCCTTCTTTATCTTTGATTCACGTTTTTGAAAGTCTTGTCGTATTTGAACGTTCAAACCTTTACAAAAAGACGACAGGGGCTGCCCTAAACTACTAAGCTTTATCTTGAGCTACTCTATATTATCTTTCCTTACCCTACATTATCCTACCCTACTCTACATTACCGTATACTACATTACCTACTGTACTCTACCCTACCTTACCCTAACCTTTCCTGTCTTGCTTGTAGGTATTAGTAGTATCTTCACATTGTAAATATTATCATAAAATCTCAACTCTCGGCTTTAAAAAATCATTTTTCAAAGCCATTATTACAAAAACCAAAGCCAAAAGTCCAAGCGCCTACCGTAAACTCCCGCCGTCGACGGACCGTTTTTGGTAACAAAGCCCCGGTGACGTTGGTGGAAAGGGCGATTTTACACTGTTCCGGGTCTTTCTCCTTGTCTTTTCGAAATCAATTTTAGCCAATTTTTAGGCGGCTCCTTCACGTCTTGTGTGTGTAAAGTTCGGTCGGCGTGAACATCACGTTACATAACGGGGTGTTGACAAACCAATTTGGGTTTATTTTTGGTTCCGTACATTCAACTTTTAAAGGTACGAACATGTTTTTGAAGAGGGTTATTAGCTTCCTGGTGGAGTGTGTTTGTAGTGATATTTGTTGTTCTGGGTCAGTGGGGTCATGTCTTCATATTGTAGGGGTTTGAGCTACTTTTTGTTGGTATTCTAGGGTCTTTGAGCTATTTTGAGGTTTTTGTTGGTTTAGAAACGGTCTTTAGTTGAGGGTTTTGAGGTTTTTTGGCCTTTGATGACATTTTTAAAGACTTTTTTGTGTTTAGATGATAGTTTAGAAGTCTTTTTTAGCCTTTGATGACATTTGTGAGGCCTTTCTTAGTCTCTAAATGGCATTTATGAGGTCTTTTTCTGTCTTTAGATGACATTATTTAGCCCTTTTTCGCTCTTCAGATGTCATTTACAAGCCTTTTTCAAAATTACCCTTATCAAATCTTCTATCCCAACTCAATCTTTTTAAAATCAGATCAAACATCGTGCTCGCCTACACTATCCTGCTTAATATTCCGACGAAAATACGTTGTTTGTCATAACGTAAACGTACATATTTATGCATTTTGCAAATTGATGACCTTTTCTCAATCCCCATTTGCCTTAATTAAACTTTACAACCGTGCACAACATACCGTACAAAACAAAAGCTTGTACTTGAAGTGAGCAGGGCTATGTCTTACAGACAAAGTTGATTACGGAAGTGGTTTTTAATATGCTGTTAGGTGGGGTGTTGGCAATTTGCTTTGTCTCTAACGTTTTTTGACATTGTGGTTACCATGGGTTTTGTTTTATTGTTGTTTAACTTGGCGGCTGTAAGAAGTTATTTTTGTAAAAGTTGCGTTAGAGATTGACCACGTTCTCTACTCCAATATTAATAAAACATTGGGACCAAATTAAAAAATTTTGGTATTATACTGTCTTATTGAACCTTGTCAGCTGACGGACCTGCTGACATTACTTATACATTCCTTATTTACATATAAATTACCTTATCGTACCATATTATACTTTACACCTGACTCAAGGCGAACATTTCGACCCCTTCTTTCCCATTTTTAAAATTCATTGTCAATTGATAAGCGATTTTTCGAGAATAAACGAGCATTCCGTTAATAATATCACCAACCTTCTGCAGGTCAAAACAAGATTGATTGACGTCTTTGCCAAACCATAAGAAAACGTTTCTCGGCTGACTTCGTAAATTGGCAGCCGAAGACATTTTGCAACTGTATTTTTATGTAATACACCACGCTTCACGGTGTATTCACTCTGACGAACCATAACAGCCGTACGTGAACGCCCGTCTTGGGCGCCCAACCTACAGTACCAACGTGCTCGTTCCGTTTCGGAGCCGGAGATTGTACGCCAAAAACGCGCACAATTGTACAGAATCTGGGGATTGAAGCGCGCTTCGTGCTACGAAGAACCAATCATTAATCTACCGGTATCATCACGAAGCCTGGCCTCAAACTTTGGCCAATTCTTGAGCACCTCGACGTGCCTCTCTTCCACTCACAGTCAACCGTGTGTTAGCAAAGGAGTCAAAATTGTAACCGAAGAGAACTGTAACCTCACAAACGGTGATTACTTGCCCACTGTAAACAATACTCTTGACTCATCTCAACCGGTAACACCAAATTTAGAAGTTAGACAAGAAATTGCGCCAAAGCTTCATACTTCCAAAACCAATTTTACCGATCTACAAGCATTAGAAAACGTTAGAAGAGCTTCAGAATCTGTGAAGAAAGACAGAAGAGCATCAGAATCGCATAAAAGTTTAGCTGATTCGAACGAAGACCGGGTAAATAACAATCAACGCGGGTCCGAGGGCCACAAACGTGTATTATTAAGCATAACCGGTCAAAAAGTACAGCCCAAAAAAGTTTCGGCCGAGACTTTAGAAGCGCTGAACGCTAAAACCCGAGCCAAACTCGAAGGTCAACAAAGGGATAAAGTTCAACCAAACACAACCACAGTTCGACTACCCACCGACTGTTCCACCACGACCGTCAACTGTACCACTCAAGCACAGGCCGACTCGCAAAAGTCTAGCCAAAGCGTTAAGTCGCAACCGCAGAAGTCGCAAACCATGTCGGCCGCACGTCAAGTCGGTGGACTTTTAGCCACGGCCGCACCCCAACTCCGACCGTTGGTGAACCCCGCCTACTCGCAGTGGTATCAACCGTGCGCGATGCATCAATTCGGGTTTCTGAACGAGTCCACCTCTTCCTCCCCGACCACCTCCATGTTCGAGAGCGACAACGAACCGCTGTCGCCGTTGCCGCAACGCAAAAATGTACGGCCGTTTTTTGAGATCGGTTTTTTGGGTTTACTTTGGTATTATTGGGTATGATAATATGTTAGATAGGTTATTGTGAGTTTTGATATTGTTGTTTCTGACCTTTCAAGTTTTCTTTTCAAGATCATATGATCGGATCAATCGTTTTAATGTTTCAATGATTTCAGTCTATGAGCAACTTTGAAGTCCTAAGGCCTCTCTAAAGTAATTAAAACTCAACAACCAAAGAAAAAACTAGGAGTGTTGAAAAGGTATAGGAGAAGAAAAAACTAATAAAAAAGTTGAGAAAAGTAAAAGTATAACACTTTTCACAACTTTACAACAACGTTTTTTGTTGTGAAAGAGTTTTTTGTTGCTATTTATCAACTCTTCACCAGCTATGGTTAAAAATAACAGTGTAAAACGGGGAGAAATTAGTCGAGAAGAGAGTAAAAGGTAGTCAAGAACTTGAAGTAAAAGAGAAAAAGTGGTAGGAAAACTGGTGAAAGACTAAAATAACGTTTGAAGAAGCTGTAAAGACCCTTGCATAACAAAATTTTATACCTAGAAATTAGAAAAAGATTCTTAGTTGTAATATTAGGCACAGAAGATCTATTATAACTTATATTAACGTAGGGTAGTGGATTGTATTACGTTTTAGCTCAAGTAATATAACCCTAATCAATCCAATTCCAGAACACAGCACAACTCGATGATTTTGATAGGATCAAAACCCTCGGCACGGGATCGTTCGGCCGTGTCATGCTGGTCAAGCACAAGGCCACCGACGCCTACTACGCGATGAAGATTTTGGACAAACAAAAAGTCGTCAAACTAAAGCAAGTTGAACACACACTCAACGAGAAACGAATTCTACAAGCCATCGACTTCCCCTTCTTGGTGAACATGCAGTATTCTTTCAAAGTAAGTTAGTATCGAGTAGTGGTAGAGAGCTTTGTTGGATTTTTGAAAGGTTTTGGGTCTTTTCATACCTAAAATTATATTATCTATGAAAAGCCTTAATTTTTTGACCAGGAACCTGATTTTGATAAACAACTTCTGCTTGTAAAAGCTGTAGAAGCTCGCAAACATCGATTTGATATCTAAAATTATATTATCCATGAAAATACTTACCTTTTTGACCCTGAATCTTATTTTGATGAACCATTTATGACCGTAGAAGCTGTAGAAGCTCGCAAACAACAAGTTAATACCTAAAATTATATTACCAATAAAACAACTTAACTTTCAACCCAAAACACATCTTTTTGTTCAAGTTTTGGCCAGCACAAACTCCATTTAGTCACAAACATCAAGTTAATACCTAAAACAACATCGCAAAACCTCAATAAAACAAAAACCATACCTAGATTAGTTTCTTGAACTTAAAACGACAGCTGAAGATTAAAATATAATCCAATTTACATCTAAATAATTCAATCTCAAGGCAGTTTTCACTAGCTAATTCAATCTAAAAGTGTTTTACCTATACCTACATCAAATTAACTTATAAATAAGAAAGTAGGTCGTTAACTTATTTTATTTTACTTTCAGGACAACTCAAATCTGTACATGGTACTGGAGTTCATCAGCGGTGGAGAGATGTTCTCGCATTTGCGTCGTATCGGCCGCTTCAGCGAACCTCATTCACGCTTCTATGCTGCCCAAATCGTGCTGGCCTTTGAATACCTGCACTCGCTCGACCTTATTTATCGTGATTTGAAGCCGGAGAACTTGCTAATCGACAACAACGGATACTTAAAGGTAACTTTGTTTAAACTTTTACTGAATATTAAAAAGAACCTTGCAAAAATCTCTAGAATGTTCAAAAGGATATTATCCTTGGTTAATTTTGGAAAATCTTTAATTTCAGTCCAAAAAAGACAATTTTAAAAGCCAACATTAATATGAAAAGCTAATAAAATCCATGGTCCTGCTTTTCTTAACTTCATCCAAGCCATCAATATCCGTTTTGTTACCTGAAAACCAAAAAACGAAGGAACATAACTTACCTTGACGATATTATCCATGATAAACCTTAAAAATTAAATAAAAAGGAGGTTTCTTAAAAGTTAGCGGTAAAATCTAGTAGAAAAGCTTGTTCTTACTGCCAAGAACAATAATAAAGTTGAGAGACGAAATGTCTACTTTATTATTTGATTTTTGGGCGAAGTGTCAACTTTTTATTGGATTTTTGTTTATGATCTATATTTTTAGTTTTTTAAATCTAGTATAGGTCTTAAAATGTGATTTTTTAAAAATTTTAGCAATCCCTCTACATTTTATTACCTAAAAGCACTCAAAACCTATGTTAACTATGCCCTTTTCCAGATAACCGACTTCGGTTTCGCGAAGCGCGTGAAGGGCCGCACGTGGACGTTGTGTGGTACTCCCGAATACCTGGCCCCGGAAATCATCCTCTCCAAGGGCTACAACAAGGCCGTGGATTGGTGGGCGTTGGGAGTACTGATCTACGAAATGGCCGCCGGCTATCCGCCATTCTTTGCCGATCAACCGATTCAAATCTACGAGAAGATTGTGTCGGGCAAAGTCAAGTTCCCGTCGCATTTCACGAACGAGTTGAAGGATTTGTTGAAGAATTTGCTGCAGGTGGATTTGACCAAGCGCTACGGTAATTTGAAGAATGGTGTAGCTGATATTAAGAATCATCGTTGGTTCTCGTCGACCGACTGGATTGCGATATACCAAAGAAGGGTAGGTTAATGTTTTTTTGACTAAAAAATTTTTTTTTGTTGAAAAATTTTTTTTTTGTAATTTTACAGTACTTTTTAATTTTTCGTACTGTGTAGTACGATGCTATACAGTACGTTACTATATAGTACTTTACTATAAAACACAATACTACATAGTGTGGTATTGTATATAACGATGCTATATAGTCTGGTACTGCATAGCACTATATGTACTATATAGTACCCCGTACTAAATTTGAGTACTGTAACTTTCATATCAAAAAAAAATGATTTACAGTACCATACTGTATTTTTGTTACCTAAAAATTTTTTTGTAAAATACGACTGTTTGCATACATTGTATTATTAGAGTAGAGCATGTTAACATGCTATTTAGAATAGTGATTACTGATGATAATTGGTGGTAGTTAACTTTTTTAACTATTGTTTTGTTTTGGCTTTGGAATTTTAACGCTCTGTACATTGTGCTGTTTGCTGTGCTGTTTGCTGTGCTGTTTGCTGTGCTGTGATCTATCTTACACAATATTTCTTGAATTTTCAATTTTTTTGATTTTGAAATTTTTAAATTTTTGAAAAATTGAAATTTTTGGCATTTATATTATCGAAGCTTGAAAAATCTTAGTTTTGTCACTTTAGGCTTGTTTTTAAGCCTAAAAATCGAAAATGATGATTTTATATCGTATGTTTGTTATGTTATTCATCATTATTTTTTTCTCTTTGGCTTATCATTTTGCATTTTCATATTAAAACTTTTTTCTATTCTTTCTATCAGTACGATGCTATTATAACCTTCATGTAGCACTGGTACTTCTTTTTACGACTGGTACTTCTTTCTAAGAATTGTAAAATTGTGGTACTCTAATACTGTCGTTAAGTATAAGAATCCTATTGAAGTTTATGTTTTCTTCTGCTGTAACCTTTGGTCGAATATCCATACATTTAATCATTATTTGGTACTGGAAACGTCCCGAAACTGTCTAATTTATATGGTGCATTACAAGGTATGTAATTTCTGTCTTGTCATAATTTCGTTTGTCTTGTATGTCAATACCATATACCTCAGTGCTGAACTCCCCTATTCGTTGCTAGGTAAGAGAATGATGTTTATAAATAAAAGTATTGTAGGTAACTTTATCAATATTATAGATTAAGCTGATTAAGCACTTTAGTTTTTAAAATAGCTACATTGCATTTAAATATGATAGTTATAGAAGATTAAAAATACTGTAACATAGTAGAAAAATTAAGAAATTAGTGTTACTAAGGCTTAGTCAAGTGCGGTTGAACAGTAAGATTATGTGTATTCAACCTTTGGTAATAGACAAAATTTCAAAAAAACTTGTGCATGGTGCTGGGCTATCCTTTTCTTTAACGTGGTAGTACTATTATGAATATTTACTATTATGAATAGTTCTATTTATTAATGCGTATGCACTCTTTCGATTAGTTTTTGTTTCCGGCGTTTCGTAGGTAGTGAGACTAAGAGTACGTTCAAAAAGATTAGGGGAACCAAAAAAAAAGTCTTGTCGTGAAAACCAATGTATCTTCACTGACTAAAAACGACAAAACTTTTTTGAAAAGCTAGGGTTAGAACTGGGGCTAGAACTAGAGCTAGGACTAAAACTAGGGCTAGAGCTAGGACTAGAACTAAACTAAAACTAGAACTAGAATTAGAACTAGAACTAGAGCTAGCACTAGAACTAGAATTAGAACTAGAGCTAGAACTACAATTAGAACTAGAACTAGTGCCAGGGCTAGGGTTAAGGCTAGAGCTAGAGGCAGGATTAAAGCTAGAGCTAAGTTTTAGACTTAAGGTAAGGTTTGAATACTTAACATAGCTTTAGGTTAGGTCCCAAAAGTTCAAAGAGGCTAAACTCAAGTTCAAAACGTTAAAATAGGCATAAGACCCGAATTTGTTACCTAATCTGACCTCTCTTTCTATTTCTACAGATCATTCCACCCAGTTTTTCTAACAAGGCCGAGAATGGAGCCCGCATCTTCGAGGCCTTGTATCCGAAGGTCAGTGGCCCGGATGATACTCGACACTTTGTGGAACAATGTACTGACGAGGATGTTGTTGAAGACCCTAAGGCACCGGATCCACATGCTTCGGCTTTCCGCGACTTTTAGGATTTCTCTTTATGGTCTATGTACTTGAACTCAATTTTTTCTTTTTTTTTCTTCTTATGGTCTGTACCCAGTGTTTTGCCGGACCGAAACAGAAATTTTTACGGACCGGACCGGACCCAAAGACCTGCGGACCCGGACCGAAGAAAAAGCTCCGGACCGGTCCGGAAGAAAATTTTTTTTTATTTTAAGAAAACTGCTTTAAAAATTGCAAATAAACATATTTTTAGGAGTTTTTAAGCAAAAAAGAAAGCAGTTTTAGCGATCTTTGCTTTTTTTTAAAAATTAAAAAAAATTTTTTTTGCGGACCGGACCGGACCCAAAAATTTGAAGTTTGGACCGGACCGGACCCAAAAAATCGCCGGACCGGTCCGGGCAAAACACTGTCTGTACCATTTGTTCTAGTCGATAGTACCAGTCTGCACTAGTCACAAAATTGTTTTTTGTTTTTTTACACTTTGGCTTATTTTTACGTTTTTCTTACTCTATACTATATTTTTACTATAATATCTTTTATCATCTTTTGGATTACTGTATCTAAACTTACTATCACTTCTTGGGTCATACTGTAACTTTTTTCCAAATTTTTCAAATTTTTTTAAATTTGACATGAATTGTTGTTCTTTTCATCACATGTTTTATTTTTTTTACTTTACTTTGGTATACGGGTCTACTGTATACTTTTCTCTTCCTTACCGTAACCTCCGGCGGCTCAAAATTTTTTTTTCATTTTTTTAAAAACTATCAAATTATCATTTCTAAAACTGAAACTACTAGCATTAAACTCTCTTTTTCACTCCAAAAACCATGTCAAACAGCTATCTACATCAATATAATACCAAAGTTGTAATTATCAACTTGTCTACTACAATATCATCAGCCCCGTCCTAAAATCATAACTCTACATTCCGGTAATATTTACTGTCAATTGGTCTATTATCGGTTACTGCTCTTTGTTTTTTGTACCACTTTTACATTTTCTCACCGCTTTCTTCATTTTTCACTATTTGGATGTTATAGTAGGCTACTATAATACCCGAGTAGTGAGGTTATTGTGATTTGCTGTGTTTAACTAAGACTTGATGAATAATTAAAGTAAAGTACATTATTTTTGTGTTTTTGAATAATTTTTAACTATTTTGTTATTATTTGTGTGGTTTGTGATGATTTCGAAAATTTGAATTTTGTATTTGGCGCCAAAAAATTTAAACCTTGGCATTGTGTTTTAATATGTAAAAACGCTTTTTTAGTACTCACATTGTGCTTACATTCAGTTTTAGGTTTTAGTTTTTACGCTTTTAATGTTTTTTGGAATTAAAAATTTGAATTTTGGATTTGGCGCCAAGGCTTGGCTTTGTGTTTAACATGCCAGGCGTATTTTAAGAATAAAAGTTATACTGTTGAATAAAAACATGATTTTATAATTAGAAATGACATTTTTGATGCTTGCAACACAATGCCAATAAATTTTACTTTGGCGCGGAGACTAAAATTCAAATTTTTTATTGTAATTTTGGGTGTATAACAATAACTAACCTACTATTGATGTTAAAATAGATAGTAATAATGAATTTTGATCAATTTAAAAATTTATTTTTAATTTTGAAATTTTAAAAAATATTTGAATTTCTTCCAGGTCGATGCGCCATTCTTGCCCAAATGCCGTGGCCCCGGCGACGCCTCCAACTTTGACGACTACGAGGAGGAGCCGTTGCGAATCAGCGGCACGGAACGGTGTGCACGCGAATTCGCCGAATTTTAGGTCATGCTCATCGCCTGAAAATTCTAGTCCACCGATTTTTAACTTTTATATTTTAAGTATTCAGTTGTTCAAAAAATTATGAGCCACTTCTCATAGCAAATTTGTAGAGATAGGGGGCGCAAACTTTTTTGAACAATACAATATTAGATTGTTCAAATAATTATGAGCTACTTCTCATAGCAAATTTGCAGAGTTGGGGGCTCAGACTTTTTTGAACAACAGTAAAATTCAGTTTTTTTAGAAATTTTCAAATTTTGTACCGTTTGTCTTACTGTAATTTACTTGTCTTACTGTATCTTACTGTAATTTTTTCATTGCGAAACTTTTTTTTTGAAATTGTAAATTTGGTCGATATCTGACAAAACTTTAGTCATTTTTCGAATTCTAATCGTACTATTTAAGCGCTAGTAACGTATATACTGTAAGCTATACTAACTTTTTCATTTTTAAGTTTAAAATTAAAAATTTTTGAATTTCGAAATTTTTGAAATTTTGAAGTTTCACCTCTCTTTGTAGTCATTTTTGGATGTAGAGCCCTAGAAGACCCCACTTTTGGGTAGTACTGTAATGTCAAGTCGAGTACGGTGCTAAGTTTCGAAATTTTTGTCACGGTCTTCTGGAGTACGGTAGATAACTTTAGTCATAATTACTTTCACATAGTCCGGTGTTGTATATTTATGATATTCGATATGGAACTGGGCGATTTTTCCTTGCATAAACAGGCTACAGTAAGCTTTTTTTTACTTTTTTTTTGATTTGAAACTTTAGGCCTATTTTTGAAGGTTTAGGCTCATTTTTGAAGGTTTAAGCTTATTTTTTGAAAAGTTAGGCTTAATTTGTGAAACGTTAGGCTTAAGTTCAAAGTTTTAAGCTTAATTTTGAAACACTAGGCTTAACTTTGAAAGTTTAGGCTCATTTTTAAAACATTAGGCTTACGTTCAAAAAATGTTTTAATTGTGTAAAAAGTAATGAGCCACTGAACGATTACATCTGTTATGAAAAATAGCTCAATACTTTTTATACAACTCAAAAGCCTTGTTTTCACTATTTTAGGCTTATTCCTAACCCATTAGGCTTAAGATAACCCTCAAAAACCCAATTTTAATTTAGATTTTTAAAAAATAAGCTTAAATTTTTACTTATCGTATTTTAAATATTGTCCTACTTTCTACAATTGAACTACCTTAATTGTACTGTAAGTCAGATGTCTCTGCTCTCTTCGAATTGTATGATATTTTCTGTTTGGCAAATAGCTTTAATTTTATTTGAAATACCCGCTTCGGTTACTCAGTATAATGATTTTAGTACTTTGGGCTGTATTGAGGTAAAAGTAGGAGGTATTGGTTTTTCGGTACCAGTAGTATTAGTGGTACCATTAAGACTAATGGTACTATTTTGGCTTTTTTTTGGTTTTTGGCACTATTGGTACTAATTTTTGTGTTTTTGGTACCATCGGTACTATTAGTACCATTGGTACCATTAGCACCATTAAGAAAAATGGTACTTTTTTTAACTGTATAGCTTCTACAACCAGTAGTAATACCGCTAAAATTAATATCAGTAGTACCATTAGTACCAAACAGACCTAACCTCTACTTTTACCTAATAATCACTCCTACAGTATACTAGGTCCCACCAGTAGAAATAGCACCACTAAGCACTCACTATATTCTCGGATTATGGTACTGTTCTTGTATTGCTCTCCGTATCCTTCTCTCCTCCCACAAAACAAAGCCAACCACTCTTTGGCCATAAAACTTTCTCCCCCTCTCACCGAGATCATCTATTTAATAAACCCGCTCCCCCCTCCCTTCTCTCGACGGTGATTATATTACTATATAAGGAAAAACATTATTGTAATAACAGTTGTCTCTTTTTATTCGTATATGATTTTATTAAAATAAATTTTGAAATTTTAAATTTGGATTGTTTTTTTTTGAATTTAGCCATTTAATTAAAAATCAATACTATGTGAACGAAATGCAAATTTTGTGTAAGAGAAGGGTACAGCAAGGTAGGGTAAGGTAGGGTAAAGATGTGCAAAATAGAAAAATAAATGCTATGTGAACGAAATGAATTATGTCACATAGTAAATAAAGGTAGGGTAGGGTTGGGTAAAGCAGTATAGGATAGAGTAGTAATATTTCACACATCTTCATTTTGAAGGGTAGGGTAAGATAAAGATGTGTGAAATAGAAAAATCAATGCTATGTAGACGAAATGTAAATTTTGATGCGCAGTAGGGTAGGGTAGGGTAGGGTAAAGTAGGGTAGGGTAGGGTAGGGTAAAGTAGGGTAGGGTAGGGTAGGGTAGGGTAGGGTAGGGTAGGGTAAAGTAGGGTAAAGTAGGGTAGGGTAGGGTAGGATGGTGTAAGATAAAGATCCGAAAATTACAAAAACCAATACTATGTGGACAAAAAGTAAATTTTTTGCTCAGTAGGAGAGGGTTGGGTAGGCTAATACAAGGACAGGACAAGACAAAGCAACGGTAGGACATGAGTAAAGCATGGGTAACAACAGTAGGCTTTATGATATTGTGGGTATACTTTATTACATCAAGAAACAAACAAAAAATAAATATTGTAATAGATAAATAAATAGATTATGAGATGCATAAGACTGTTTTCTGAAGTTTTAAGACAATGAAAATATTATCATAGATAAAGAATATACAGAGCATCAAGACAAATATCATGACAAAAACGAAGGTGACAATACAGTAGCCATTAAAAAGGTCTCAGTCAAAACCGCCGGTGAAGCCACACTCGGGCTAAGCACAGCCCCACCCAACGTCATCGGACTAACCACATCCGGACACAGTACCAATGGGCTCAGTACTAGCGGACTTAGCACATAAGGGTTAACGACATTTGGTGACAAAACATATGGATTCAAGATGAAAGGTGCCATAACCAGCGGTGATAAGATATAGGGTCCCAAAAGGTAGGGTGACAATATGAAAGGCATGGCAACGGCTGGTGATAAGATGTAAGGACTTAAGACTGACGGATTCAAAATAAGCGGAGAAAAGATGTTCGGAGACAGGATTACTGGTCCAAGTACTCCTAGTCCAAAGATCGGCGCAAACATGTACGGTGCTAAAATCACTGGTGATAGCACGGATATTAGGGTAAAACGTTTGTGGCGCGAAAATCGACCAGCTATGGTGTGGTTTTTGGTTACTGGTTCTTCAGCCTGAAATTGGATTTGTAAAATACGATTAACATATTTTTATGCAACACAATTTAAAAATCTCTTTAAACTTTTTTTGATTGCTATAGTGCTACATTGTCATTTTTTCGATAATTTTGTGACATTTCGTCAAAACTGCAAAAAAAAAGACAAAATAGTGCTAACATCAAAATTTTAAAATCCTATGCAACTTGTGACACTTTGTTAACTTTCCCAATAATTTTGTTACATTTCGTTATTTTTACAATAATGATGTGACATTTTGTCATAACTTAAAAAAACGACAACAATTATGTTAAAAACAAAATTTTAAAATCCTATGCAACTTGTGACACTTTGTTAACTTTCCCAATAATTTTGTTACATTTCGTTATTTTTACAATAATGATGTGACATTTTGTCATAACTTAAAAAAACGACAACAATTATGTTAAAAACAAAATTTTAAAATCCTATGCAACTTGTGACACTTTGTTAACTTTCCCAATAATTTTGTTACATTTCGTTATTTTTACAATAATGATGTGACATTTTGTCATAACTTAAAAAAACGACAACAATTATGTTAAAAACAAAATTTTAAAATCCTATGCAACTTGTGACACTTTGTTAACTTTCCTAATAATTTTGTGACACTTCGTCATTTTTTCCAATAGTTTTTTTTACATTTTGTCAAAAACCAAGTTTTTGTTTGTAATTTGTTTTGTGTAAAATACGTTTAATTCTGTATGGAATTCGGCTTAAACTTTTTTAAACTTACTTGTGATTTGCCGCTGGCAATTTGTTCGACAGTAAGCCAAAGAGCTTCCTTCTTTTCTTCATAAGTTCGGTTTTTGAAATTATTTATAGTTTTGGCTTCTTCTGGCAGGTTTAACTCTAAAAATCAAATTGAATCTAACGTTGAAGTAGCTCAGTAAAACATTTAAAAAAATTTATAATTTGAAAAAGAATTAGTAAGTAGAACACACCTTTGTTGTTGTAAAGCTGTTCATATTGATCATCTTCCATGAAAGTAAAGCCATCCTTTTCCAAATAATCATGTTGCCTTTTGTTGAAAGAGCTTTCCAGCTCTTCGTAGACGCCGGCTACACGTTCTGTTACTTCAAACACATCGTCTTTCATACCTAAAATTGATTATTCACCAATCTTCACGAAATTCCAAATATTTTTTTAAATTTTTTATACCCTACCCTACCCTACCCTACCCTACCCTACCCTACCCTACCCTACCCTACCCTACCCTACCCTACCCTACCCTACCCTACCCTACCCTACCCTACCCTATCCTACCCTACCCTACTCTACCCTACCCTACTCTACCCTACCCTACCCTACCCTACCCTACCCTACCCTACCCTACCCTACCCTACCCTACCCTACCCTACCCTACCCTATCCTACCCTACCCTACCCTACCCTACCCTACTCTACCCTACCCTTACTTACCATGTAACAAAATTTACATTTAGTCTACATAGCATTGACTTTTCTATATTGTACATCTTTGCTCTACTATACAACAACATTTTTCTTGCTTTACCATACCCTATCCTATACTACCCGAAACAAATTTATATTTCATCTACATAGTATTGATTCTCTAACCTACATCTTTACTCTGCCTCTAACAAACCTTTCTTTACCCTACCGTACCTATGGCTCGTCCTGCCCATCTCCTGACTTTTTTTGGCCTAACCCGCCCTTCACTTTACTTTTTATAGCCTATCCTGCCCTTCCCCTTACCAAAAAAGTTGATGCCATCCAAAAAGTTCATAGCATCATTGACAACATCATTAGCTCCAGAAGCCTTCATCAGCGCTCCCAACATGACATCCCTATCCTTGGCTTCAACTCCAACACTCTTCAACAAATTTGGGATCGAAGCAATATTGTTCTTGTTGTCATTGTCTTCATAAAATGACAGAATACTCGGACTTGATGTCATATTCAATGACTTTGTCTTATCCGGCATGACTGGTGCAAAGCGAGGACTAAGCACATTGGCATTGGTACCTTCACGCATTTCGCGGTTTTTTTCACCACCAATTTGATTGAACAATGTCATACCCATTTGAACCAGGCCTTGAGGGGTTTTCTAAAAATGGAGATATGTTAAGAGGTCGTATTTTACAAAAAGGAAAAAAATGTGACATTTCGTCTATTTTTCCAATAAATTTTGTTTCTTTTGCAAAAAAAAACAAAAAAATTTTAAATTCATAGTCAAAAAATGATTTATAATCTCTAAAAACCATCTTTTAAAAAATCAATTGTGACACTTCGTCAGCTTTTCCAATAAAATCTGTGACGTTTCGTCAAATTTTAAAAACAGCTTATTAGGAACATTTTTTCAATTTTAAATATAAACTGTAAAAAATATTTAAAATCAAATTTAGAAGATCAATAATTTTGTGACACTTCGTCAGCTTTTCCAATAAAATTTGTGACATTTCGTCAAATTTTTAAAAACTTATTGAATTTTTATCCTAAACATTTCTTGAATTTTAAATATAAAAACTGTAAAAAATTTGAAAATCAAACTTAAAAAATCAATAATTCTGTAACACTTCGCCAGCTTTTCCAATAACTTTTGTGGCATTTCCTCCTCTTTTTTAATAAATTTTGTGGCAAATTTAAAACGCCAAAAAATATTAATTTTTTGTTGAAAGTAATATAAAAATGATAAAAATCATCTTTAAAACAACAATAACGTTGTGACACATCGTCACTTTTTCCAATAAATTTTGTGACATTTTGCCAAATATTTAAAAATTTGTTTTTCCCCTGTTGTAAACAATATCAGACAATATTTAACATTACAAAACTACTCACACTTTGTTTCGGAGTCATACTAGGCGTTTTCCGGTCAAGTACAAGGTCGTACATCCGCATGGAATAAACTTTTGCACCGGGCTCTTGCTCTTTCTGTTCGAATACTTTCTTCAAGTTCAATAGTCTATCATAGTTCTCTTTCCATTCTACAGCTTTGTTCTTGGCCATATCATCGGTACTTGTGTTGCCCATTGCTAGCATTGAAATCAGGTCGGCTACCTATAACAATATCTTAAGCTTTTAATGTTCTTTTGCTTATATCTTTTGGATATCTGGTGGTAAAACGGTGGTTTTGGTACCATTAGGACCAGTGATAATAGATCTTTCCGAAAAATACAAAATTTTTTAAAAATGCAAGAACTTTCTTTCCAAAAAAGGCTTTAAAGGTAACTTACCCTAGTGACCGGGCTTTTGTCGCTAGCACTTCTCAACCCACCAGCACTTGCTACTTTCCTAACCTAAAAGTCTATAATAAGTTCATTACAGAAAATGTGTCATTACTTTAATATTGTCATTCAAATTGTTGTCCGAATCTCCAAACTTTGTCCATCTGGCGTCTCTTTTCTCTCGCTTCTTCAGCTTTTCTAATCTGCTTTGATGACGAACTTTGTGAATGTAGTTTCGGCGGAGTAGGGCTATTCTTGGGATTTTTGTGACATTTAACTGAAAAAATCAATACTATGTGAACATAATGCAAATTTGTGTAAGTATAGAAGTAAAGATGTGCATATTAAAAAAATCGATACTATGTGGACGGAATGTAAATTTTGTTGCTGCGTAGAATAGGGGGTAAAGGTAGGGTTTGGTAGGGTAGGGTATGGTAGGGTAGGGTATGGTAGGGTAGGGTAGGGTAGGGTAGGGTAGGGTAGGGTAGGATATTACCTTCTTTCTTCTGCCAATGCTCATAAGGTCTCTAAATCTTGGCTTTACAGTAACTGCATTGTCATTTTCAAATTTGAAATTGCCAACCCAGCCAGCACTCTTATCAGTATCCGAGTCGTCTTTATCTTGTTCTTCTTTTTTGTTACTTAAATGTCTTTTTCGACTGATAATTAGGCATTTGGCACTCTGTTCCAGGTCTTTTCGTTCTTCTATCTTGTTCAGACAGGCGGCTAGGGCATGTTTTTCAACTAAATTTAAATTTAAATTTTTTTAAATATTTTGAAATTTTAAAAACGTAAAAAAAACTCACAAGAGTCCAGCTCTTTGTACAATTCCTTGCCCAATTGTCCCATTATGGCTTTTATGGCTGTCGTGTACCAATTGACATGAATGTTTTTGATTTTCCCAAAATTCTTTTCATTTATACGAACTTTGTCAAACTTTTTTAATTTTTCATCTAAAAAAGTCTTGTCGTTAATAAAAGCACAAAGTTATCAAAGTTAATTGTAAACTTAAAAACATAAAAATTTTGTTTTCATTGTAGCTTTTGTCTTAAAAGAGACTTTCTGAGACCGCGAAGCACCCTGTAACAGGCATGTGCACTAGAAATTTACCCCCTGTTTAAATCCATGAGATAGACGGTTTTAAGGTACGTGGTAAAGTGATTTTGGACAAAATGCCGTTTTGGCACTTTTATGCCATTTTTTGTTAACATACTGTTAAAATATACCAAAAAATCAATAGAGCGCCAAATGTTCTGAAAATTTTTACACTTACGTTTCTGACCATGCCAAACAATATCGTAATTGAAAATTTTTTTCTATCGGTACCGTAACCTACCGTAATCCGACCGGTCGATTATAAAAGTGCAAATATCTAAAAAGTTAACGCGAATCTTCACAGGCAATTTTTGCATATTTAGAATCTTCATGAAATTTGGATTATTATAGGCTATACTCCCGTTTCTAGTCCGATGGGTTTTGGGGGTTTTTGGTCGATTTAAAAATTACGGTAACAGACCGTGCAAAAAATAAAAAATTTTCAAAAAATCCAATAATGCATCAAACGCTTTGAAACTGTGCATAGTTATGTTTTTGACCATCAACTTGGTAATTAAATTTTTTTTCTAAAAGTACCGTAATCCGACCGGTCGATTATCTTCAAAATTAGCAGTTTTAAAGATGAGCATATAGCCTATCAACATCTACGTTTTGTGTAGATTCTAAATATGTTAAAATTGACTATGGACACCGGTGTTAAATTTTTAGAAAATTGCACTTTTATAATTGACCGGTCAGATTACGGTAGGTTACGGTACATTCAGAAAGAAAATTATGTTACAAAGTTGTTCAGCATGGTAAAAAACGTAAGTATGCTAATTTTTAGACTTATCATTGCATTAGCAAAGCCGTAGTAAAATTTTGAATTTTTAGGCAGTCTGCTACCGTAATTTTTGAATCGACCAAAAACCCCCAAAACCCATCGGACTAGAAACGGGAGTATAGCCTATAATAATCCAAATTTCATGAAGATTCTAAATATGCAAAAATTGCCTGTGAAGATTCGTGTTAACTTTTTAGATATTTGCACTTTTATAATCGACCGGTTGGATTACGGTAGGTTACGGTACCGATAGAAAAAAATTTTCAATTACGATATTGTTTGGCATGGTCAGAAACGTAAGTGTAAAAATTTTCAGAACATTTGGCGCTCTATTGATTTTTTGGTATATTTTAACAGTATGTTAACAAAAAATGGCATAAAAGTGCCAAAACGGCATTTTGTCCAAAATCACTTTACCACGTACCTTAAAACCCTCTATCTCATGGATTCAGCAAATAAAAACAGGGGGTAAATTTCTAGTGCACACCTTGCTTCACGGTCTCAGAAATCGTCTTTTAACTTCTACTAGCTTGTACTCTATTTTCCTAGCTCGTTTGCTAATCTTTGAACTAACTCATACTAGGCTCTACTGTAAGTTTTAAGCCAGTTTCTATCCTAGATTTTTTCCGATTTACACTATATCCGTTATCTTCATTTGTATCTTAACATGTAGCTTTAGCTCTAACCGTAGCTCTTACATCAGCCTTTACTCCAGCCGTCACCCTAGTACTGGTTTCTGTCCTAACCCATACGTTTGGATATTCATGTCTTTTTCTCATTTTTATATCCTAGCACCTTCTTCAGCCCTTACTCCAACCGTTATCCTAGCTCATACGTTTGTTTCTCTCTAACTACTATCCTTAATACCGTCCCCAGGCCCCTACCTTTATCTTCTACCCTTGTCTTTACTCTAGCTTCTAGCGTGTCCCTTTCCCTACCATAGCTCTTTCTTCCACCCTTACCCTAGCTTTCACTCTAGCTCATATTCTAACTTTCACCTTAGCCTCCATCATCGTTTTTACCCTAACCCCTAACGCTAGCTTTGGCTTTAACATGCATCTAGCCTCGATTTTAAACCGTACTTCTGAGTTTAACTTTCAGTCTAGCCTATACCTTAACTCTACTCTACCTTAATTTATATATATCCAGTTTCAATTACAAATTGACGACTTACCATAAGCATCGCCAGCTACTGCGAAGAAATGTCCAATAAATATTAGTGTTATTGTTATTAAAATGAGTTTTCGTCTCATATTATTATAATAATAAGTAAGTCTTTTATTATATTAAATTTGATTAGTTGTTTTTCCTTAATATCATAACCGTTTTCCTAAGAAAAATAATTTTTAATATTTTTTTTAATTAAATAACATTTTACACTGTCAACGCAATTCTAAGGGTAAAATACGTGGCAGTGAGTTGGCAATGTAAACATATAAACAAAAATTTAGCTAAAATGACCATAAACAACAAAAACACTGCATAAAAGTGCATAAAAGCAATATTTCAACATGAACAACCTTCAATGAAATATGGCGCAGTTGAAACTAGTGTGCGAACTAGCCGTTAATTATATCAAAGAGTTTCAATGATTTATTTTAATGGAGTTCCACGGCATTTCCCGCGATCTTATTAATGCTCGGAAAGTAAACATGATATATAACCGCATCAAGCAAAGGAAGAGTTTCGGAATTCAGCGTGAAAAAAAGTGTAAGAGACGACATTAAACTGATAAAAGGGCATTTCTTAGTAAAAAAAAAAGAAAAAAGATGCCTTACCCTACCCTACCTACCCTACCCTACCCTACCCTACCCTACCCTACCCTACCCTACCCTACCCTACCCTACCCTACCCTACCCTACCCTACCCTACCCTACCCTATCCTACCCTACCCTACCCTACCCTACCCTACACTACCCTACCCTACTTTACCATACCCTTCCCTACCCTACCCTACCCTACCCTACCCTACCCTACCCTACCCTACCTTACCCTACTCTACCCTACCCTACTCTACCCTACCCTACTTTACCATACTCTACTTTACCATACCTTTCTCTACCCTATTTTATCTTACCCTAGCTTATCACCCAAAAAATTTACATTTCGTCCACATAGAATTGATTTTTCTATTTTTCTTAGTTTTACTCTACTTTAAAACAAAATGTTTCTACCTTGTTGTACTTTACCAAACCCTACCCTTACTGGTCATAACCTACGTTGTATTACCATACCCAGGGCCGGGCGGGGACTTTTGGTCTAAGGGCGGGGGTCCAAAAAATCCACAGGGGGGGGAGCACGTTCAATTTTTTCAAATATTTTTTTCTGGGGGGGGTACCCCCCGGTCCCCCCCCCCTCGCGCCCCGCCCTGACCATACCCTATACAGCCTACCCTATTTTACCCTACCCATCTCCTTATTATAATATTTTTCACAAAAAATTGTCTTGCCCTTTTACCTACCCTAAAACGCTACAAACCTGCCAAACCCAACAAAGATACAACTGTTGCAATACGAATCCCGGCTACTTGAACTTTGTTACCTATAAAATGCTATGATCTTCTTATTCTTTTTATGACCACCACCTACTGCGCTATTCATACAGACAGACTTTGCGTACCTGTATGAATGACGGCAGTTAGTTATTTGTAGGTTAAGGCTAGATTAGCGAAAAATGAAGTTCAAAGATTATAAAGCTTACAAAAAAAAATTTTAAAAACCTTGAAATTAAATTTAAATGCATAAGCTTACGTCTAAGGCTAAATTTGAACTTGAGTTTAAACATAAGACTGAAGCTTGGGTTTGAACTTGAGCTTAAGCAAAAACCTGAGCTTAAGCTTAAACCTACATCTAATGCCAATTTTGAAGTCTAGCTTAAGTCTAATCCTAAGGTAAGACGAAGCCTAAGCTTGAACGAGAGCTTAAGCTTGAGCCTGAGCCTAAGCCTGAGCCTGAGCCTGAGCCTGAGCCTGAGCCTGAGCCTGAGCCTGAGCCTGAGCCTGAGCCTGAGCCTGAGCCTGAGCCTGAGCCTGAGCCTGAGCCTGAGCCTGAGCCTGAGCCTGAGCCTGAGCCTGGGCCTGGGCCTGAGCCTGAGCCTGAGCCTGGGCCTGAGCCTGAGCTTGAGCCTGAGCCTGAGTCTAAGCCTGAGCCTGAGCCTGAGCTTGAGCTTGAGCTTGAGTTTGAGCTTGAGCTTGAGCTTGAGCTTGAGCTTGAGCTTGAGCTTGAGCTTGAGCTTGGCTTAAGCTTGAGCTTGAGCTTAAGCGTAAACCCAAAAAAACTTTAAAGTAAGCCTAAAGATAAAACCATACCTAAGTTTTAACCCAAAACTAAGCCTAAACATGAGCACAACAAATAAACTGAAGCCAAAGCCTACGCCTACCTCTCGGTTTAACTTTAAACTACAGTAATCAAAGAAAAACTCTACTATCTTTTTAATATTAAAAAAATCATTTTAAAGCTCAAGTGTTGAAAAGACTAGAATTCAACAAACCTCAATGTTTATATACAAACAAAATCAAGTTAATTTAAATGTCAAGCATCAACCCTTAACAACCTTGCGAATCCTGTCCGTCGATAGTTAAATTTTTACGTAAAACCGTAAAAAATCGAGTTTTTCAACTTTTATCGCGAGTCAAAGTATGAGATGATCTTGAATATACAAAAAGTTGTAAACGGCTTCCGGTGGATGCGTTAAATTTGAAAATTTGATTAAACTTTTTGTGATTATTTGAGAAAAGCGCAAGTTTATGCTGATGATCATTAATTGATGTTAATCAACTTTTTAAAAAAAAATTTTTTTTGAAATCAAGTTTTTACACAGGTTAAAGCCTAGGCTAGGGCTTAGGCTAAGACGTAGGCTAGGGCTTAGGCTAAGACGTAGGCTAGGGCTTAGGCTAGAGCTTAAACTAGGCTTTAAACTAGGTCTTAGGTTAGGGCTTAGGCTAGGACTTAGGCTAGGGCTTAGACTAGGGCTTTGGCTAAGCCTTAATCTAAAACTTAGGCTAGGGCTTAGACTTAGGCTTAGGTTTCAACTTAAGTTTGCGTATGCACTTAGGCTTGCCTTAAGCCCTTGATTTAGCCTTAGGATTAAGTTTAACCTTTGAGTTAGCTTCAGGCTTACATTCAGACGCAGACATAGGCTTTGGTTCAGACATAAATTTAGGCTTACTTTAAACTAGCTTGGAATCTAAGCCGAGAACCTTAGCACAAAGCCTTAACCCACTCCACGTCCTAGCCCAGACCACCTCTCCTTTCAACACTTTCAATTATTTTAACCAAATTATTACCCCTCCCCCCTCTCCTCTTCTCTTGTCTAAACCCTTTCTTTCCCCCTCCTCTTCTTTTTAAGTCTGGTTTCAAACCCTACCCCAACCCCAGTGTCAAAACATAAATATCTTTTTTCAAATACCCACTATACCATAAATTTAAAATTTGAAACAAAAACCGATTTATGTCTATCGCTGAATTTCAAAAATATTATTTTAATCACGCTTTCGATGATGTTTTTTAATGATTTATTAAGTTTCAAACGCAACGGTTTGAAACAAGTTTATCCATCGATGTGTCTGATGTCTGACTAAATTGCAACTTAGATAGCTGAAACTTGACTCTTAGCATGGGTCATAAAACTCCACCCTGCCCTACCCTACCCTACCCTACCCTACCCTACCCTACCCTACCCTACCCTACCCTACCCTACCCTACCCTACCCTACCCTACCCTACCGTACCCTACCGTACCCTACCGTACCCTACCGTACCCTACCCTACCCTACCCTACCCTACCCTACCCTATTACCCTATCATGCTTCGTTCTGTCTTGCCCTACCATACCCTACCCTGCCTTACCCCTTAACCATCCTACGTTAAGAAACCCTACGACAATATATCATAAGAACTGTTAATTTATCCTAAAAACCCATGCTCTAAAAAATTTTTGCTTCTTTTTTTAAAAGATTACCAAAGAACTACCTATTTACGCTACAGTAATTTTATTGCTCGAAAAATGATATAATACAAAGTTACTTCCACAAGTCAAGAACAACACGACCGGCAACAGTGCTGTTCTTCAAATTTGCCAAAGATTCATCTAAAGCACTGAATGACTTTACTTCTACCGGGATTTTGACCACTCCACGAGCAACCAAGTCCAATGCTTCTAAAGTGTCTTGACGGGTACCAGTCATAGAGCCAGTGATGGTGATACAACGGCTAGCGACAAGATTGTTGTCCATTTGAACTATCTTTCCTTTCTGAAGACACACGACATTAAGGCTGGGGCTAAAGGTAAGACTAGGAATAGGGCTAGAGCGAGGGCGGTAGGCTAGGTCTAGGTCTAGGGTAGGTCTAAGTCTAGGTCTAAGTCTAGGTCTAGGTTTAGGTCTAAGTCTAGGTCTAAGTCTAGGTCTAAGTCTAGGTCTAGGTTTAGGTCTAAGTCTAGGTCTAAGTCTAGGTCTAGGTCTAGGTCTAGGTCTAGGACTCTGGGCTAACATAAGGCCTTTGTTAACTTACCTTATCATCCATAGCCCCAATCAAAACCAGAGTGCCAGCTACTCTAACATACTGTAAAGCCTTCTCAACCGCCATAGCACTAGCACTGAAGTTCAGTACTATGTGAGCCCCACCATTCGTCAGTTTTTGCACTTCAGTCACCAAATCCTCGTTGAATCCATCAACAAAGCCTTCAGCTCCCATCTTCAAGCAATGTTCCTTCTTCGACGGATGGTCGATAGCTATAACCCTCAATCCAAACGCTTGAGCATACTGTACAGCAAACGAACCAACACCACCACCAGCACCAATAACAGCAATAAATTGACCGACCACGGGGTTACCACGCTTGATACCACGGTAAGCAGTTACTCCAGCACAAGTTATAGGGGCAGCTATGGCTAGGTCAATATTTTCTGGTAGTAATACGAGGTCCTGAGCTTTAAGTGCTGTATATTGTTGATAAGTACCGTCGAGGAAGATGCCGACCATCTTTTGTTTTATACAAATAAATTCACGGTTGTTAAGACAGCTTTCACATTGATTGCACATGCCGTTAACGATACGGATACCGACTTTTGCACCGGGTGTTAGGTGGGTCACTGATGCTCCGGCCTTAAAATTTAAAGGTTTTAGGTATTTAAGTGTTGGTAAGTTTAATTTTAGTAAACATTTGCTTAAGCAAGGCTTAAGCTTCTAGACATTTGAAGCTTAAGCTCAAAAGCCTTAAGATTCTACGCTTCTTTGCTTTTTGGCTTCTAAGCTTCTAAACTTCTAGGTTTCTATACTTCTAGGTTTCTAGGCCTTAAGCTTCTAGACCTTAGGCTTCTAGTTCTTAGGTTTCTATACTTCTAGGTTTCTAGGCCTTAAGCTTCTAGACCTTAGGCTCCTAGGTTTTAGGCTTCTAGGCTTCTAAACCTTAGGCTTCTAGATCTTCGGCTTCTAGGCTTAGACTTTTAAGCTTTAGGGTTTTAGGCCTTAGTCTACTAAGGCTTTATACATCTAGGCCTGAGACATCTGGGTCTTAGGCTTTTCGGCTTATTTGAGTTCTTAGGCTTCTAGGCTTTAAGTTTCTAAGTCTTACTCTTCTAGGCCTTACGCTTTTAAGCTCAGTCTTAACTTATAAGACTTGTTTCAGTACGTTAAATTTTAATCAATTTACTATTATTAATGAATAACATTGTTTTGCAGAAAAACGGAGTAAAATCCCAGCACTTGCAGACATTTGTTGGGTCGTTTTACATCGAGGTAAATGTTACGAAAACATTACATATTACATAAGAAAACGTTGCGTAATACCATTTCTTGCAATTTCTTTGAGGCTATGTCATTATATGCTCATATTAAGCAACACAGCAAAAATTACGCCCCGATGGAGCAATAATAGTATACAAACGGTTTCTAATCTTAAACATTAAAACTTACCTTAACAACAATTCCAGAGCCCTCATGACCTCCAACATAAGGAAACGGAGTCGGCCATGGTAATTCGTTGCTCAAAACGGCCAAATCAGTATGACATACTCCAGCGTATAGCACTTTGACTAACACTTCATCAGCTGCGATTTCTGGGATTTTGCCATCAACAAACTTGGCTTTTGAGTTATAGGACTCAAACACTGCCTTCTTATATTTGGAAGGTATTTCAAGGGACATTGTTACTGTAATATTAAAATTTAGTTAAGTATAACACGTCAATTTCAAAAATTTAAAAAAATTTTCAGAAATTTTTATTTTAGTTATAAAAACTAGTAAAAACTCAAAAACTGTTACCTTATACAAGACCAAGACCAAGTCGTCCAGAAACGCTTAACAAACAATCTTCAGATCAAATAAACCTCTTTCCTTTCAACGTTACTTTAAAACTCCTCACAATCTTATTTACAACACATTGATACAGTTTGTGTCATCAGCAAACATGTGTAACTTAAGTTGAAAACAAATTAGTGATTGTTTGATAGTTATTTAAACAGGGCAAAGGCAGGGCAAAGGCAGGGCAAAGGCAGGGCAAAGGCAGGGCAAGAGCAGGGCAAAGGCAGGGCAAAGGCAGGGCAAAGGCAGGGCAAAGGCAGGGCAAAGGCAGGGCAAAGGCAGGGCAAAGGCAGGGCAAGAGCAGGGCAAAGGCAGGGCAAAGGCAGGGCAAAGGCAGGGCAAAGGCAGGGCAAAAGCAGGGCAAAGGAAGGCAAAAGTAGACATGAAGAACGAACCGGGCCTAACACTCAAGCCCAGGCCGACTTAAATTTGAATCAAGGCCGGCCCGGACCGTTTTGTATGGTAGGCAAAGGCAAGGCAATGACATTGCAGCCCAAATTTCTTTTTTTTTGTTTTTGTACTTAAATTTGCCTTTTGAATATTGCTCTTTATATCGTATGCTTTATCTTTTTTTTGTGTTTTAGTAAAATGACTATGATGATTTAATGCTTTAGTGTATCCTTTATGCAAATTCTTTTTTGCTTTTTTTGTAAAATACGTCTAAAGATCTTCTTAAGGTTTATAAAAATCCACGTTAATATTCACAATTCTGCACAGCTGGCACGAGAAAGTTCATGTGCATTTGTTGCAAACGCCGTGGATGGCGGAGCGAAGAAGGGCTTTCACACTCGTCTTTCATATCGCGTTAAAACCGGCTTTTTGCATCATGAAGGACTGCGAGGAAATTGAAAATGGGAGGAGGGACTAGTTTGTTCGGAAAAGACTTAGAAAGCCCTCTGCTTTTTGACGGTTGAAACGGAAGATGGGGAGGGGGTAGAGGAAAAGAAGGGGACAAAATGACTTTTTTAGTTTGACAAGGGGAAATAGAGGCTTTTTGAAAAAAGTTAGAGATTTTTTGAAAAGATAGGAGTTTTAACGTTGAAAAGCCTTATCTCAGAGACCTAGCATTAGATCTAGTCTTAGCCCAGAGCCCTAGCCCAAAGCTTTAGCCCAGAGCCCTAGCCTAGAGACCTAGCCCAGAGTCCTAGCCTAAAACTCTAGCCAGGGCCCTAGCCCAGAACCTTAGCCCAGAACTTGAGCCCAAAGTTACAGCTCAGAGATCTGGCCCAGAGCCTTTAGCCTTAGTACAACGCTAGCCTTATCTTCAGCCCTAGTACATACAAATTCTAGCTCTAGCTCTATATCTAGCTCTAGTTGTGGTTCTTGCCCTAATTCAAGCCCTAGCCCCTACCCCATCTTCTATTCTAGTTCTAACTTTAACCCCAACTCTAACCCTAATCTTAACTTTAACCGTAGTGCTAGCCCTCGCTCTAGACAAAGCCAAATTTCACGTCATTTTTGGCCGTAATAATATGCAAATAGGCGTTCTAACTTGTATGACATGCTTAAGGTCTTCTCTGGCATCTTAGCCTACCATAACTTAACATATAATACGCTATGATAACATAAATTTACTGCCAAAAAGTTTTAATGAAACAACACTTAAAAAAGTCGTAAAATTTGAACAAATTACCCTTCTTTCACTAAACCTTTATTCGTCTTTTAGTAGCCTACCCTATAAATCATTTCGAACAAAGAAGCAAAAGACGTGAAACAAAAAGCACAGAAGTCACTTCCAGCTCAGTGTAGAGATCACGGCACTTGAGGAGACGAAAAAGAGGGCACATTTGCGCGTTGAATAGATTCCACTTCCAGATGCACTGTTGCTAGCGTCCGTTTGGGGGACAGAATGCAAACGGCTACGCAATTGAGAAGTCGTAGCTGAGTTAGGGTTTAACAGAGAGAACGATGATGACATTTGAGGCTTAAGGTTTTTAAGATACTTAAAAATAAATTTACTGTGCAATGAAAAGTTGAATTTTTTGAAATTCTTATCATTTAAAAAATTTAAAAACAATTCAAAATAGAGCTTAAAAAAAGAGAGTGCAGACTAGACCTAAGAAAGGACCAAAGCAAACTTTTAAAGAGCTGGGCCGACATATGTGAGCCGGAGGGCCAATTCCAAAACCAAGGCCCAGACAAGTCCAGCTCGTAGACAAAGCCAAAAATTGGGCCCGGCCCTTTTACTGGCCTAAAACAAACAATAAGAAAAATATCAAAAAGACCAAGATGTTTAAGTTAAAAACAAAAAAAAATAGAATAGAAAGTTGCAAGCTTTTTAAAGAATTTTCTAGTAAAAGACGTCATTACTTACCACTAGAGATAAAACTTTTTAAGAACCAAAAAAGAAAGGCTAGATTCAACGCTTTTCAAAGAGAGGAAGAACTCAAAGACAGTAGAAGAAGATGCTTTACAAAACAAAGAGTATGGAAAGAAACAGATTCCTCACTAAACATAAAGTAGAAGAAGAACATCTTCTACCATTAGAGAACAAGAGATGTTTCACAAAAAAAGGGTAGTCAGAGATACCGTTTGAGACAGAGAGTACTAGAATACTATTCTGTCAACAGAGAACAAAAGATTACTTGTAAATCCAAAAGTGTAAGAGATTCTAAACGGACAGTAGAAGAAGATAGACTTCTAACATGAGAAAACAAGAGATACTTTACAAAGCAAAGAGTCGCAAGAGATGTCCTTTTAAATAGAGAATACTAGAAGACCGTTTTATCTACAGAGAACAAAAGATGCCCTTCCAAACACAGAGTACTTAAATATCAAGTTTAAAAGAGAGAGCACCAGACAATTCTTCTGTTTACATAGAACAAGAGATTTGTCTTGAAACAAAGAGTAAAGGAAGATACTCTTCCACCCTGAGAGAACAAGAGATACTCCTCAAAACAAAGAGTAGCAAGAGATGTCCTTTCAAACAGAGAGTAGTAGAAGCTTCTTCTATCCGCAGAGAATGAGAGATTTCTATCTAAACGGAGCGTAGTAGGAGATTCCCCTTTCTACTACAGAAAGCAAGAGCTTCTTCTATATACAGAGAGCAAGGGATGTCCTTTCAAACAGAGAGTAGTGGGAGATTCCCCTCTTTACCGTAGAGAACGAGAGGTGCCTTTTTGAACAGAGAGTAGTAGAAGCTTCTTCTGTCTACAGAGAACAAGAGATTTCATTTCCGCTCAGAGAGCAACAGAAGACCCTTCGTATCAAAGAGAGCGACAGAAGAACCCTCGTATCACAGAGACCAACAGAATCACTACTTCGCATCTCTCTCTCTCTCCCAACCAGCCGGGGGTAAAAAGCCCGTTGGAGACCCCCCGACTGAAACGTTGCACGGACAATCCAGCTTCGGCGCGGCGGCAGCGCTCTCTCCTCTCCCCTACCCCCTTCCCAACCCCGATTTTCTTTTTCTGCCAGTCGGTTTTCGGGTCTGCTTTTTTTTACTTTTTCCAATTAAAATTTTTGTCGAAAAAACGAAAAGGGAGATTTTTATATGTGGACGTTACACACCGTCGTTTTTTTTTGATATATGAACGGGCGAAAGTAAAAAAAAAGATTTGGCAAAAAGTGACCGCCGGTCATTTCGACGCAATTTTTAATGCGAACATGGAATAACGTGTGACGTTGGAATTGATAATGAATTTTTATTGGCTAGTATGGTAGTTTTTGTAGTGGGGTTTTGTATTGTAGTGGGGTTATTTGTATAGCTACAGTAGAAAGTATAAAAACAAGATTTGTATTATATTGAGCTAGGTATAGACCTCACTGACTTTAATGAGTAATAACTTTTTGATGGCTTGAAATACGTAAGGTTTGTGATGCCTACATAAATACTACTTAATCTTCTTAGTATTATAACTAGTCGACAGCTTGTTAAAAAACTAGTTATGATTACATTTATTATGCTATGTTAGATTCCTTGGGTGTTAGTATGTTTGAAGAGCTATATCTTTTTAGAACGTCATGGTATTGTAAGTTCATTCACTGCTAATTATAGTATTTTTATGCTTAATCTTATAACTATGAACTCAAAGTACTATCTTTACGAGCTTTTGAGGTAGAGCCAAATAAAACTGGTTCAATACCTATAACAATATAAAATTAAAACAACTTTTATAGCTAATTATTTTAAAAATCCTTACTTTTTATTTTTTTAAAATAAGAAAGATTTTAAAATGTTAAAAAATAAATTTAAAAAATCTAATATTTCAAAGTAAAATGTATATTATGTCACTTCGAGTAAAACATGCCCAGCTACCCACACACTTTAATCGATTTATCTTTGTGAGACGAAAAGTGCAGCTTTATGACAATATTATACGCTAGTTATACGTTATTTTACAAATGGATCTCACAAAAAATTTAAATTTCATATTTGTTTTAACAATTTAAAAATAAAAAAATTTTTGGTAAAAAGTTTTAAATATTGAAATTATAGTGAAATTTCAAAACATTACTAAAAGATTCTAATATTTTTGTTAGTTAGGCTATTCCTGGCTATAACTTTACAAGTTTCACAAATTATCTTGAGGCGTTAACATTTCGTCGATGAATTAGACGAAATGTCAAGAAATTTATCGGAAAAACGTCTTTCTTCTATTTTTCTTTGAAATTCTTTTTCACTACCTAAATATAATAGTTCCTCTGTAAATTTACTACTATATTGTATATACATACTAGAATATTCATATTTTTATATCGTATTTTAATAATTCTAATATTAATCGAACTTTCCCTTCAAGGTAAGTGCTTTGATTGACTTCTTTTGTCTGCTTTAGGTTGAAAGTCTCGGAAAAGCGCATGGGTAATATATTAACAATAATGTTAATTTATTAAAAAGAAGGTTTTTAGAAGATTAACAATTGTAGTCTTTCTTGAAAATGTCATTAGGCTTATAAATTCGAAATTTTGAATTTCTCAGAGGTTGATTGCGGATACCCAATGTTGTTGTAAGTTGATTTCTGGTGAAACAGGTCAGAATTTTTGTCTGTCTTATGTAGTTTAGTTTTCTTAAGATTCTAACGATTGATATTATAATAATTTTGGCATCGAAAAAGCGTATTTTACTTGAGAAATTGCGGGTTTTATTAAAAAAAAACATAGAATTTTTGATACCTGATGGTTTCTTTACTTGAGTTCGTGTTAACTACTTTTAAATTGTAAACTTTCGGGGATAGAGCAAGCTTTCTAAAACTTAGCTGATAATTTTAAGATTCATTTCGGGCATAAAATTTGGTATTTTACTTTGAAAGCGACGATTTTTTGTTGAAGAAGAGTAATTTTTAATACTTGATGGTGTTGATTGGTTTTTTTTGTGTAAAATACGTTATATGGACGGATTTATGCAAATATATTACCTTTATAAGATGCTGAGGATTATTTTCATGTATAATTTAGTCAAAAATGTTTTGGATGTTACCTAAAAATTAGCTATTTTTCACCGAAAACGTTGTTTTTTGACGTAAATTTGTAATAATTGGTGTTGGACATCTTTATAAAGCAATATTAACTGTCAACACATATGGCTGAACCTCATAATTTGCTAACATAACCCTTCATGCACTTTTCTGTTAATGTAGCCACAATTTTTAAGCTGAAACAAACGCCGTCGTACAAGACGACTGTGGGTAAAGTTGCGGAGCCCGATATTACACTGGGTAAGGCTTTGACTCAGCGTTTTATTCGCATCGGGTTTGTTTCGCGATTAGACAATCAGTGTTATGTTGTGATTGATATCTGCTGCTCATTCTGGCAAATTATTCGTGTTTTGATTTGTGGATTTTGGCTTGTTTATTAGGCTTAAAAGTGCTTTAGGGCTGTTTTGAGAAATTTTGAGATAATTTTGATAGGTTTATGGCTTCTAAATTACTTTTTCTTGGTTTTGATAGGCTTTTGGATACACTAGGCTTAAGTTTTAGACTTGTAGGCTTTAAAAAATAAATTTTGGAAGGTTTGGTCAACTTTAATAGTTTAGGCTTATGTTAGATTTTATACCTAACATAAAGTTTTATCTTTCTTTTTTCATATTTTTTGTAAAATACGGGGTTGGATCCATTACGACGCTAAATTCATCTTGCAAACCTAAATTGTCTAATTTTGTTACCTAAATTCTCAAATTTCAGGCCGGTAACCGTGTAATATGAACATTATTGACGGTAACCATCGATATGAGGAAAAAAACAAAGTAGGACATTACGTATACCCCAGCAATTCAATGGACCTTTACGCTAACGTATGTCGACGATTTTAAAATTTTTGTTACCTAAAATTTAAAAAATTGCTCTTTTCTTTTTTGAAATTTTAAATTTTATGTCTAATGAGGGCACTATATCTAGTTTTTGGGGTGGGTTATTCAAAAAATTTTATTTTGTTACCTAAAATTCAAGATTTGGCTTTTTAATCTTAAATTTTAAAAATTGGTTTTTAGATGCCATTTTATATTTTATGTGGGCAGGATTTTGAGTTTTGATACTTAAAAAGTTATATTTTTAATTTTTGTTAGTTAAAAGCATATTTTTGTTACCTAAACCTTACTTTATAGACCGTTCCGTCGTTGGAAACGGAGATTTACGTCTTCACGGAAGAGATGAAGTTCGTCAACGCCGCCACAATGAAACGCCTACCCTACGTTACAGTACATGCGGCCGTGGACGACGTCCTCAACACTCTTGGCTTTAAACAGACCAAGATTCTGCAACGATCGACGTGGAAAATCGGCGAATGGAACGAGTTTTTCGCCGGCGAAGAGATCGACAATCGCACGGTGGTGATCATCATCGACACGCGAGGTGACCACATGGAAACCGCGACCAGTCGAAGCTTGCCAATACCTCTCCAAAACGTCACACTTCACGGGTTATTGACGACGCACATGGTGCCGAGCGATGTGGTGGTACAGTTGTCCATCTGCAATTTCGCCGAGGTTTCGCAGGAGGACTGGGCCCGCTGCCGCAAAATCATCGCTAGCGTTTTACAAAACGAGTTTATTGGGTAAGTTTGGGTATGGAAATGTTGGGAATAGGCTGGGGGAGGGGGGATGTCAGGAAGGTTATTTTTTGTGGTATAATGAGTACAAAATTTGATAAAAATTGAAATTCGACCGAAATATGGCGATACATTTTGTTACCTAAAATTTAAAGCTCTATATCTTAATGAGTAGAGCTTGGAATGAAATAAAATTTGGCATGAAGTAAGACAGTACCATAGGCTAGAAGTATGCAAAATTTCAGATATTTATATGCACTTTTAAAAGTTGAATTTTGTTTTCCCCGCCAAATTTTAAAAATCACTATAACTTGGCTCTTAATGATGTTTTTTCTGTAAAATATTGTTAGGTTTAAAAATTTTAATTGATAAATCGTTTCAGAAGACCGGTATACGCTGAAGAAGCGTCCATCTTTTTAAATCATTTATTCAAACCATGTACAAAACTAGAAGACAACATAATCGCCGATGTTGTGCACGACGCGGAAATGGCGCACGAAGAGCAAAAACGTCAACGATGGCACGTTCTGGACGAGTTCATTCAGCAAAACAAACGAGACCAGCAACAAATGCGCCACAACATGAAAGCCCATCAAGAATATGTAAGATATAAGGTATTTTCGAAAAAATTTTGCGGAAAGTATAGGACTGTAAGTTGCTTCTTCTTTTCTTCATAACTTTTTTTAAACTAAGGTTAGAGGGTTGAAATTTAGCTATATGGTAGACTATTTAGTTGTCAATTATTTAGTAAAATATAATTTTGAAATGTAGTCAAATTTTTAAGTTACAGTACTTTTACCGTAACCTACTTTTTTCAAAATTTTTGCCATTTTTGAAATTTTTTTTGAAAAAGCGGTAATGTAGAATTGAAAATCTTTATAAATTATGTGTTTTCTATGAATATTAAGTTGGTATCTTACTGGCTAACAAAGTTATGGCTAATTGAAAATGTCGAAAATTGAAAAAAGTTCGGATCCGCTTGGAAAAATATTCGTTTTTAGTGATTTTTCTTATGTTTTAGGCTTAAATTGACAGTTTTAAAGTGGATTTTTAAATTTGAATGGGACGTTTTTGGTTTAGACTTAATAGTTTTATTATTGTCTAGGGGTGTAGTAAAGGTAATTTGATTTTAAAGCTCAAAATAGTCCATTTTTGAGTGTGCAATAAAGTTTTGCCGCTTTTGCTTATGAAACGCAATTTATCTTGGCGACAGAACTTTTTGGAGTTTCAATATTTTTAATTTTTGATCGAAAAAGATCTAGAACTTTCTAATTTAAAGTCTAAAAACCAACTTGTTACCTAAAAAACCAAGCACGAGAAAAATCCCAAGAAAAGGGAATTTTAATAACACCGAAATGCCATTCCGTGCTAACAATATAAACCCTCTAAAGCAAACGAAATTAGAAATGTGAAAAATTTTAAGCGAGAAACAGCATTCCAGCTGTTTCTCGTCTCGAATTTTTTTTTCACCATACTCTCTTTTTACAAAATTGCGGGCGCGTTCCACCGCCTCTCGACGAAACCCCACCCACAATATTCAAAAAAAGGTCGTAAAAAATTTTTTAATGGTATTTTTTTTTGGATTTTTTTCATAGTTGTCCAGTCTTTTATTCAGCAGCGAGCATGCAATTTCTCATTTCTCTCCGCTTGCGAAGCGGTTTTTGCGGGAATTATTTTTCTTCTTCTCTACTTTGACAGCGGTTTTGAGGGCTTGAAGTAAAGGTTGTGAGGGGTAGGTTGAGGTGGGTTTTTGGGCAGGGTAGGGTGAATTTGTGAGTGGAAGATAGGGTGGATTGGCGGGCGGGGTAGGGTGATGAGATGGGTGTTTTAAGGAAGAATAACGCTGTCTTGACAGCGTTTTTGAGGGCTTGAAGTAAAGGCCGTGAGAGGTGAGATGAGCTTGAGGCAGGGAATTATGGTTGAGTAGGGCAGAATAGTATGGTTGAGTAGGGCGGGACAGGGTAGAATTCAGTAAAGTAGGGTCATTTTATGGTGTTTTAAAAAAGAATAAAACAGCTTTGATAGGGGTTTGAGGGCTTGAATTCAAGGTTGAGGGGTAGGTTAATGTGGGCTTAAGGCCAGGGTGGGGTAGGGTTTAGTAGGGCTTATGGTACAGTATGGGGACATTTTCGGGCAGGGGTATTTTGGGAAGGATAACATGACGTTGACAGCGATTTCGAAAGCTTGAACATCACTCTTATAAATCATTTACCTTAATCATAAAACACCCCTTACCAGTCCTACCCTACTCTAAAATCACACCTAGAATTTACCCTACTATTAAATCATCTTTGTCCTTTAGTTTTATTATATGTAATACCTTTGTGGTTAAATTTTTTGTTTTTCTATTTTAAAACTGCGCTTTTGATTCATATTTAAATTTACCGTTATGCCGGGTAAAATCAGAAAAATTTTTAACGCTCAAGTTATCTATAAATGGCTTCTTTATCAAATGTCTTTATCGAAAAATTCGATCGCCACTCATTGTGGAACAAAAAATTTTTAAATCAAGACTAAAAATGTTTTTTTAAAAAGTTTTTTAAATGCACTTTAAGTTAATTTTTGATGTTTAGAAAATTAGGTATAAAACTTTAAAAACGCTGAAAAAATATGGTTATACTCTAGGTAAGTGTTATTACTCTAGTTTTTCGAAATAAAACTAAAAATTTGAAACCATCTGGTTCCAATATGACATAGTTTGTTTTTGAAGTTTTGGTTAACCTCTTTTGTCACTGTGATCTTTTACTATGTTTTATGTATCACTTCAGAAATTTAGGCGTTTCGAAGTTTTAAAAACCTGAGGCGAAACAATTTTGAAATTTTTTTTGGTCTGACTTGTAAAACGCAGGCTTGGACTCAATACATTAACGGTTTTTTTGGTCTCCTGCCCTGTTATGGCCCTGTCCAGTTATTTTATCCTTTAGTATACCCTGCCTTGTAATGGGCTGCCTTTTTATGTTATACTCTGCTATGCCCTGTCCTCATATGCCCTGCACTGTTATGCCCTACCCGGTACAGGGAATTTCATTCACATGCCTTGTCCTACCCAGTACAGGGCATTTCATTTTCACTCAATGTCCTACCCTGCTATAGCGTACTCTCCCAGAGCAGCTATGGTGTTGAGTTTGTGAAACTCTACTGTCTTCCTTCTTTTAAAATTTTTGTCGACCCCCGGTGGGAAGGAATGTCTGTGCCTTCTTTTTGCCTGTCTTTCTCTAGTTTTCTCTCTTTCTCTGGCTGTCTCTCTCTTTCTCTTTTGTGATCTCTCTGGCTTGTATAGGAAGCGGTCTTCTTTAATTTTTTAAAAAATTTTTTGGTGTTTCTCACCTCCTACTCGCCATAGAGAGAAATTTTTTCGTTTTCTCATCTTTTACCAGCTATAGGAAATTTTTTTTTAATTTTGTTATGCTTAATACAGTGGAACTCCTATATAAGGAACTCTTCTATAACAATGTGTTTCAAACCCCCCCCCCCTGCGATTTGTTATATAGGAGTTCATTTGTTATACAGAAGCTTCACTGTGTCTGTAGGCCTTCTTCCAACGAAAGTGTCCTTTTCACGCCATTTTTTTTGTCATCTTGAAACAGGACCTGTCTTACCCTCTCTAGAAACAGGACCTAGTCTCACCATCAGAAAGAGTCTCACCCCCTCTAGAACCCAGAAAGAGTCTCACCCCCTCTAGAAAATCTAGTGTTTCTAATTCCCCCTACTCTCAATTTGAAACATCGTGCCTCTTTTTTAAAAAATATGGTCAAAAGACGACCGGTGGGGGGACAAACCGAAGGTCAGGCGGCCTTTTCCCTTTTTCCCCCCAAAAAAGTCAAAAGAGAGAGTTTGCTCGTTATTCTACCATTTTTTAACCAAATTCCAAAAAAAAGTATTAAACATTGCCTAATTGTATTCGAAAAAAGAGTGTCATTGGCCTAAAAATATTGGATTGGACTAAGAAAAAAGGCTAACGATATTAGGTGCCGTAGGGTTAATATTGATGGTACTGGACTATAAAATACTGTAGAACTGTTGTTTTTAGTACTAGACTAAACATACTGTAAAATACTAGGCTACACTTTCTGTAAAGTACTAGGCTAAACCTACTGTACTGTTAAGTACTAGGCCAAAAGCACTGTACTATTGACTTTTGAAGATACTAAGCTAAAGCTACTCTATTGTTAGTACTATTGGTCCGAGGCTGAAATTACTGTATTATCATTACTGTAGGCATTAGGCTGAATTACTGTGCTCTTAGTACTGGAGTTACAAAGCTAAAGGCATTATACTAAAGGTGCTCTAAATACCGGCCTGAAAATGCTGTACTAAAAGTACTATACGTTCTGACCTAATTAATCTAAACTGACCCCCTAGGTGTTATATCATTTGGTACTGGTAGTGCAAGTTTCTATATTACCTAAATTTTCTATCTGACGATTTTACACTAATTCATTTACCTATTGTTACTATTCATATAACCTAAAATCATCATTTGCCTACTGTATTACCTAAAAAATTCTATTAAAATCGATCGAAATTGCTTAAACCCCCAAAAATGGACCTATATTACCCATACGCGTTTCAGCACATCCCAGTCTCGTTGCCAGGCCTAAATGTCCCTTCAACGTCGGCTCCACAACATCAAGTCATCGTACATCCGGACCCGCCAAATCCGCGGAAACGATCGCATTGGGATGCGGACTACCCCAACCTGCCCAAGTCCGAAACGCCGGTTTCATCGACGAAAGGCGAACGAAAGAAGAAACAGAGCTTTATCAACCTGAGCGAGGCCGAAAAGGAACGGCTAAGGGTGGGTTTTGAAGATTTTTAAAAGTTTTTTTAAATTTAAAAAAAAGTGTTGTTGGTCGAAAAATCAACAAGGGGGACCAAGCTCAATTTTAAAAAAAATTCTTGAGGTCGGGAAGGGTTTATAAGTTTAAAAACTTTGGTTAAGGGTTTAGAAATGCTAGGTGGTTAATTTTGAATGAAAGAGAAAAAAAAATTTGGGCGGGGTAAAAAACATTTTTTGGGGGAGGAGCGGAGGAATAAATTTTTTTTTGTATTTTAGGATTGCTTAGGTAGTCCACTTGCTTTTTTTGAAAAAAAACTGGGCGTGGTAAAAAATTTTTTTTTGAGTGGGGGGGGACGACAAATTTTTTTATTTTTGGAAACGTATCATGAAAAAAAAATAATTTTTTGGGAGGGGTGATCATTCTAAATTTTTTTGAAGGTTTACAGAGCTCATTTTTTCAAAAATTTATCTCCTCAATTTTTCAGTACAACAACAGTCTAACCCTGTTCGTGATGAACGAGAAAACCGAAACGATTTGTGGCGGTACCACTTTCGAAGGACCCATTAACTCAATGGCCGACGTCATCTTCAGGACCGTACCCGATTTGGAGAGGGTATTGTTCATCGAATATATTACCCAAGATGGGCGAATCACCACAGCCAAGCTGGATGATGAACCTCCATCGTCGCGGATCTTTGTTACTGTCGACACTTCGAATGTGAGATTTAGGCTTATTTTTGGTGGTTTAGGCTTGGGTATGAGGTATTGGAATACTGTGATAGGCTTAGGTTTGTAGTTTTAGGCTTGAGCTTAAGGGCGTATACAGGCCTTAGGCTTCTAGGCCTTAGGCTTCTAGGCCTTAGGCTTCTAGGCCTTAGGCTTCTAGGCCTTAGGCTTCTAGGCCTTAGGCTTCTAGGCCTTAGGCTTCTAGGCCTTAGGCTTCTAGGCCTTAGGCTTCTAGGCCTTAGGCTTCTAGGCCTTAGGCTTCTAGGCCTTAGGCTTCTAGGCCTTAGGCTTCTAGGCCTCAGGCTTCTAGGCCTCATGCTTCTAGGCCGCAGGCTTCTAGGCCTTGAGCTTATAGACCTTAGGCTTCTAGGTCTTAGGCTTTGAGGCATTAAGTTTCTAGATCTTAGGCTTTAAGCTTTTAGGCTTTAGCCATCTAGGCGTTAGGCTTTTTGGCTTAACTAAATGTTTGTTTTTTAGAACAACATTGGAAAAGAGACCGAATTCACGGAACTCCCACCCGAACTAACCCAATACGACCTGACAACTCTCCTGAGTTCGGTGTCAGACGTTGGACCAATCTTCGAGAAGTTCCGCCTAGGCCAACAGTTGGACAAAGACGAGATGAAAAAGATCAAACCGTTGATTGCCTCACCTCTGCAGCGATTTGTTTCACGGTAAGATGTTGTTTTAGGTAGTGTTTTGGGTTTTTAGGTCATATGAGGGTCTTATATAAAGTCTTGTCGTTTTTTGACGTGGTAATGCACTGGATTTGGCGACAAGACTTTTTAGTGGGAAAAAATAGTCTAAAATTGGTTTTTTTATTGAAAAAATTTTTTTTGAAATTCAAAAATGAAAAAAAATATTACCTAAAATACTAAAAACTAAATTTACAGACGTGCCGCAACCCAAAAAGAGCGCCAACTGTGGCTAAAACACCTATTCGCCTTCTTCCCGCTATGGGACCAACTGATCAGCCGGTCCAGTCCACACCGGTCCGAGTTCGACGCCGCCATTTTCAACAACTTTTACAACTTCCAAGCGAAACGACATCGTGTCATTAGGAAGGTGCTGAACGTGCGGACCTCCGTGGACCAATAATATGAAGTTTTTTTCGAAATTTTGAATTCGAATTTGGATACTTTTTGGGATTTTGAAGAAGATTTTAAATACTTTTTCGAATTTTCAACTCGATTTCAACTACTTTTTCGAATTCGTCTACCAACTGTAATTTAGCTAGAGAAGATGTTAATGATGATATAATGGAACTGTTGGTTGTTTTAATGGTTAGAATGGTAACCCTCTTTTATGGCCTTATTGTGTATAATAGCGTTTTTGATACGATCGACGAGCTACAGATAATAAAATAGTCTGAACATGAAATTTTACTCGATTTTTTACTGAAAAATCGACTTTTTGGCCGATGTCGAGCTTGAAAGCCAGCGTTATGGTTGATTTTGAACATGATAATTGATCTTCTGATCGATTTTACACTTGAAGATCTACATAACCTTTGACTTGATACCTAAAAATCTACATTTTACATGAGTATCGGCTCAAAAATCGGACTTTATTCGATTTTTCTGGTAAAATCTGCCGTTTTCTTGGATATTATCCCTGAAAATTGATAGATACTCTTCGATATCGACTAAATACTATCCGTATTTACTACCAAAATGACGGCAAGATTCTTGTCTACAGTATTATTTCAACAGCCGACCAAAAAAACTACCGTTCAACACCAAAAACGACCTTTCCACCTATACCTACATCAACATCACTACCTATAAATTTTCATCCAAATTTCGACTCAAATTTGGAATACTTCCTTATTGCATGATCCAAATTCAAGAATAGTGTTTTATCGCTCATCTAGCCCAATGTGTTGTTCAACCAGTTTCAGAGCATTTAAAAAAGTGTCTTTTCACCAACATTTTACTACAAAATATATACCTAAACGCCAATTAATCACTCTTTTCAACATAATTCTATTTTAGGCTTATGGTATGGGATAAACATGGCTTTAGGCTTCATTACATGAGCACTCAAAGCCTGATGTCTTCCTCCATAACCTTATTCAGCTCTTATATTATAGTAGGCAAATATATGCGCCAATCTTTACAACTTGCCCTTTGTTATAACCATTTTAGGCAAATACCACGACTTTTAAGCGTATTTCTCATTACCATAGTATCTTTACCATATTTTGAGGACCTTTACTCCCACAAACTGGCCGCTGAAGTCATTTCCAGTGAAAAAACCATTAAAACCAACTTCATTTTTAGATTTGGCCCAGTTTGAAGTTTAAAAGTCTCAAATTTGACCAATAGAAAAATTGAAAAAATTAGTATAATCTTCTAGAATCTTCCAAAGTATTTATAGGGTTTTCTACACCAGTTCCTATCTTCCTAACTCCATTAAAATTTATGTGTGTTGCCATGGTTAATATCAGAAAAAATGGCGTTGGAAACTTGAGTAGCGAAAACTAATTGTACTTTTAGCTGTAAAACATGTTTTTCTAATTTAAAAGTAGGTTTGGCCTTCTTTCTTTCTTAAAAATTTGATTTTAAAGCCATTTTTCGATATTACACTTGGTATCGGATGCGGTTTTTGATCGTTTTCGACATTAATTTCGAGTTTTTATAAACTAGATTAGCATTAAAATGTAGCTAAAAATATGCTGAACAAAATGGTACCAACAATTACCTAAAAAGATTTAAAACCAATCAGAAAAAATTACTTTTCTTACATTACACTAGGTATCAGCCGCCAATTTTTGATCCTCCAAATCAATTTTTCGCTCTTGCAACTCAAGTTTGTTATCGAAGTGTAGCTAGAAGTATGAGAAACATAATGCTAATAAGTATTCAAAACATTTTTCCCGATATCGACCAGTAAACACACTTCGCCCTCCCAATACCTGTCTAAAACATGTATTTTCCACCGTTTTGTATTCCTACCTCACTCAAATTGATCCTATTGTTCTTCATTCACCTTGAACAGCATCTGAAATGTCCCTTCGATTAGTTTTACACCCAAAAATGTCTTATTGAATAATGTTATAGCCTTGAAATCGTATTTTATTCATGTTGTAGTAGATCAGAAGTCCTTATCCGTTTTATTGATGTTATCGCCCGGAGTCCTCTTTTATTGATGTTATAGCGCTGAAGTATTTTTTATTAATATTATAGTACCTTTGATTGCCCAGACATCCCGTTTTATCCCCAAATTCCCACATTTGCCTATCATATTATAGGAGCGCAGGCTGCAAAATCCAATTTTAGCGATTCTTGCGGCTTGCGCCCATCAAAGCGCCCAATAAAAATTCGAAAAAATGAAATAAACTTGAAAAAAAAATATCGGAATATTGACGCACCAAACTGTTCTCTTCAGCTTCTCATATTTTTATATCCGTACTTTTTTAACTTTTTAATTTACAACAGACTTACAGTATTGGTCGGGTAGTTTAAACCAATACTTGCAATGGAGGGCTCTCCCAACGGTTTGAAAGCCCCGTTCAAAGACACCAAAAAGTTGACCGTAAGTTGTTTTTGTTTGTTTTTGCTTTTGTTTTTAGTGGAATTGTTGTTGTTTATCAACCGGAATGTGTTTGTTTTACAAATGAAGTTGTTAGAAATTGTTTTGCTGAGAAATTTATGTTGAAACATAAAGAATTATGTTGTTCATGAGGTTGATAGTTAAATTAAGATTTTTATCAAGTTTTGGTTAGAAAATCTTGGAAATCATTATTTTTAAATTAAGAAATACGTATTTAGTAAGCTTTACTTAAGTTCATGGTTAATTTCATGGTTAATAAATATCAAAATATTAAATTTATATTATAGAAGGTATTGACATCTAAAGCAATTTTTTTATCGGTTAGTATCAATAAAAGTCATTAAACTTGATCTTTAGGGATAAAGACTTAGAAGCGTTTTTGATTATATTGTAAAATACGCAGATAGGAACCGTGCGATAATAATTTTCGCAATAATAAGGAAGGTGTTAATGTCTATGACAATATCACTCGGGATTTTAATAAAATCGTTTTGACTTTGGGCTTACCTAGGAACGTAAGAATTGTTGAAAATGTGCTAACGAATTTTTGACACATGATAATTTTTTGACTTTAAAATGTTTAAAATTATATTCTTCATAAGGGGTTATCTAAAACTATTTTTATTGGCTGTTTTGATGAAATTTGGTTAAATTTTATACTAAGTAGTGAGAATATGTAATATTAAAGGCCTAATAAAATTTATTGGAGGGATTGAAAATTTTGGCATATAAAATTTGAAAAATATATTACTCATGCTTTAAAATCCAAAAAATCGATAATTTTATAGAAGCTTTTTGAATTCAGTGTATTTATGGATAGTTTTGAACTCAATGCTTTTAGTCACTTCTTCTACAATATAAATCACATTAAAAGACTAATTTTGCCTAAATTTCAGCAAATCACATACCACGTATTTAATGAAAAGTTTGCGCCAATAGCATTGCACCGAGTTTTGCCGGATTTAATCACAATTAAAGGATCTGATCTCATAACGCTTATATCTGGTAAAGAAGGTTTGAATGCTGATGATCTACTGTTTTTCGAATATTATAATGTTAGTGCGGCCAAGATTGAGGACATTGACGAAAACATGTTGGTAATGGGAGGAAGCGAAGTCTTTTTGGTCTATGATTATACAGGAGTGAGTTATTTTCTTATTTATTTGGTTTATAGGTGTTATAGAAGGATGCAGATCGAATTTTGAGGATTTAGCTTGTCGAAGGATTTTGTCATAGATCTTTTTTTGAATATATTATTATAGGTAGCTAAAGCCATATTGATTTTTTGACTTTTAACTCAGTTTTTGTCTTAGAGGTGTTTAATATGTTCTTCACAATAACGTTGTCTATATTTCAAACGTTTTCCTTTCAGCTCATCTTATCCAGACACGAAGAATTCACAGAACTTCCAGTAGAACTTCAGATATACTCATTGCCAGCCTTACTGAAAGAATCACCACAATGTCAGATTGTTCTAGAAAAACTAACTGATGGAATAGATCTATCGGAGCTGGAGATGAAGGAAATGTCCAAGTTGTTAGCACAAAAACTCCAGAATTATGTGTTCACAAGGCCGGCTAAACGGACAGAACGATCTGCATGGTTAAGACACTTGTTTGCTCCATACCCAAAGTTCGATTTGGTGAGTTGATGTTTATTATTGTTTTTTGGTTTTTAGGTAACAGAGGATGAAAATATTGAAGTTTGAAGAAGTTTTTGGAGGTATTAGAGGGATAGGGTTGAGTTACGTGATTTTTAGGTAACATTTGGGAACTTTTTGACCGTTTTTGTTTTTTAGGTAACATTTTTTTTAAAAATCAGTGCTTCTTGTTAGTGTAGTGTTCTTTTGCTCGAATTTCTGTTTTTTCAGCTATTTTCAAAGCTTTAGGTAACATTTTTTAAATTTTTTGAATGTTCTCAATTTTTCGGCCAAAATCTTAATGATACTCGTTTGCAGAGGCAGATCCTCCAACGAACAGGTCCCCACCCTCACAAGTTTGACGCTTTTCTATTCAACACTTTCTTTAATGCCAAAACGAAACGTCGGCGAATGTTTAAGAAGTTCGCGGAGACCGGAGATTGCATTTAATCATATTTTCAATAGTTCCTTTGTATATTCAAGATTGCGGGTTTTTCTAGTAAATGCTAGATTATTAATTTTTTAAGAACATTAGTAAATTTTCATATTTTCATTTTTATTTTTTTTTGAAAAAAAAAATTCACAGGGGGAGACCAAGTTAAATTTTTTTTGGAAGAAAATTCCACAGGGGGGACCAAGTTAAATTTCTTCGAAACATTTTTTTCGATGAATTTGATGCTAGGCTTGGCATGGTAACTTAAGCTACTTTTAAGAAAGCTATGCTGGTTTGAGGCCTGGATCACCGCCTAGGCTGGATTTTTGTCCTAGCTGGAGGTTCAGGCTTATTAAGCTTTCCCCTAGTGATTGCCCCTTATTAATAATTTGAAATTAAAATTGGGCACATTTTTAATTTTAGGTAACAACTTTTATACCTAAAGGAGTACTTTTTTTAATTTTTTCATACCTAAAGGAGTACTTTTTGAATAATTCTGTTTTTATTAATTCTAATGTAAATTACTTAAACACCGTACATATTATCATAACTGATATCACATTTTTCATTTTTATTTAAGTTTATCGACTGATCTTTTTCTATTTTAAGTTTATTATTGACTAGTTTTGTTATTATTTATTAAAGATTTTAAAAAATTATGGCAATTCAACTTGCGGCAGCTTCAAAGGGTTAATTAATATTAAGCTGAAAACTCGATGAAAAGTTACGAGATAAGGGTGGTGCGAAAAGAATGGCATGTTTTGAACAAAAATTTATTTTTTTTGTTGATGTAAGCCATTCTTTCTGCATCAAACACATCAAAAAAAGAACGGATTGTAATTGAATTAAATGTTACTAATTTAAGACACGCCATTCTTTCTGCATCAAATAACACCAAACTCTATTCTAATGCATTAATAATGTTAAACAAGATCTAAACGTGACAATACTATCTTAAGAAACATAAAAAACCAGGCCTAAAAGTAGGTATATAAGACAAAAAAGGCAGTTGGAATAGCCAATTTATACCTTAAAAAATTAAGATATAACTTGACTATTACAACAAATAAAAATTGAAGATATAATCTGTCCATCAAAACTAATATACGATTACTTTACAAGCTAGTAGTTCCAAGTTTGTCGCAATAACAGGTCGAAGTAAGCGTCCGAGTGACAGCCATAGCTTATTGAACCGTAGTAGTTGATAAAATCGTCCAAGTCGACCTAAAAGCAACATGTTTTTTTATAAAAAAAATTGGTATCATCTGGCTTGTACAAAATAGATTTCTCTGGATTGTAAAATATTGAATTTTTAAAAGTTTTTAAAATTTTATGAATTTGAGATCTAGCTTGGCTTGTTTTTTCCCTGGAAATGGGTTAAAGAGGCTTGGTTTTAGCTAAAAGATGGCAAAACTGATCATAATATGGGTACTTTTAGCTATATATGGAATACTTTTAATTATGTACGGATCGAAAAAGCTTATTTTTAGCTTAAACAGGTGAGAAACCCCCTATTATAGCACATTTGTCTTTAAAAAAGATAAAAAAATGACTGATTTTTACTTAAGAAAACAAAAATTTTTACCTTTCCATCCTCATGCTCGCCCAAATTGAACTTCTTTTTGAACTCGTCCACCACTTGCGCATCACTTTTCCTTCCCGAAACATATTCTCGGTCGTGTTTGAAGCAGAAATTCCTCAAAAACTTGGCAACCTCAACCGAATCATCGCCTGTTTGGCCGGTAATTTTGTTGAAGATGTCATTGAGAAGCTTTTTTCGATGTTCGGCCAAAGTAATTTCAATATCTGACAATAGTTTGGGGTGTCGATTCGACCGTTTTTGACGTAATTTTGGATTAATTCGTCTAGGTCTGAGTCGGTGAATGAGACGGCTAGCTTTGTGACAAGATCGTGGAGCTCTTTTAGGGTTATGTTGGGGTGGTGACGAACGTATCTGAAGTTGTAGGAATTGAAGTTTAAAAAATGATATTTTAAGATAGGGAAAGGCTACAAATTAAGGGTCAGATAGGGTAGGGTGAGGTTGAATTTCAGTTATGGGACGGAGTGGGGTATGGTAAGTTAGCGTAGATTAGGGCAGGAAATGCTGGGTAGAGTAGGATAGGATTGAGTATGGAAGGGCAGAGTAGAGTAATTAAAATTAGGATAGCAACGACTAGGCAGGTCTGATAGGGCAGGGTAGAGTAAGGTGTGGTAGGGTGGGGATAAAATTTTAAATTTTAACGTACCGCGCAAAACTTTTTAAATGTGAAATGCCCGTGGCAATACAGCCAAAACGGAGTCGTTGGGCCGGGGTTTCGGCCTGTCGAAACTCTGTTTTGGCTTTTTCGACGATTTCCTGGTCTGTTATAGCTGACGGTGACAAGTTGAGAAGAGTCACTTCTGAAATTTTTTTAAATTTAAAAATTGCAAAAAAAATAATTTTTAAGATCTACATGATGATCAAGTAAAAAATTCTAAAAAGATGTTTTTAGGTAACAAACTTGAGTAAACTTGGTATTTTTAAACAGCCCGCCAATTAAACTTATGATTCACCCGTGCCGCGGCTTTAAAGGTCAAAAAATAGTTTAGTACCAACTATTATTTTTGGTCCTACTAGTTCCTAATTTAGGAAATTTAAAGCTTAATAAGTCAAAATAAAGTTGAATTCAGAAACCAAACAATTTGCTTGTTTGTCCTTCCAAACCCTGAAGGCATCTATCCATTTTTGGGCTATTTTTCGTCGGGAAAAGTTGATTCAAGAAAAATGAAAGCGAAAAATGAAAAAAGCGCAAAAATTGTCCATTTTTACTTGTCATGAACATGGATGAATATCATATGAACTTCGGATTAAAAAATAGGTTTAGTTACGCTTTTAGGCTTTGTAGTTATTTTTGAAGCGAAAAAGCAACGCTGCAGGCTTAACTTAAGTTTTTTAGGCTCAAGCTTAGGTTTAATAGGCTTAGGCTTAGGCTTAGTAGGCTTAGGCTTAGTATTCTTAGGCTTAGTAGGCTTAGGCTTAGTAGGCCTAGGCTTAGTAGGCTTAGGCTTAGCAGGCTTAGGCTTAATAGGCTTAGGCTTAGTAGGGCTTAGTAGGCTTAGGCTTAGTAGGCTTAGGCTTAGTAGCCTTAGGCTTAGCATGCTTAGGCTTAGTAGGCTTAGGCTTAGGAAACTTAGACTTAGTAGGTTTAGATTAAAAGGCCCAAGCTTAGTTGGCGTAGAATCTTTAGGCCTACAGAAGTTGATTTTCTGTACAAACGTTAAAAAATAAGTTACTTTAGTTAAATAGATCACAATGCCTCACAGAAAAACAGAGTAAAATCCCAGCACTCGCAGTAATTTGTTGGGTCGTTTTACACCGAGTCAAATATTACAAAAATAAACAATATTACATAAGAAAAAGTTGCGTAACACGGTTTCTTGCAATTTCTCTAATGCGATATAATCATAGCATGATATTAGGTAACGGCGCCGATTTTTTCGCAACAGCTTTGATTCAAAAATTTCTCTGAGCAGGCTGATGTAGGGTAGGGCAAGGCATGGAAAGTTGGAAAAAATAAGCTTATGATCACGTTACTAGCACACTCTCTTTATGATACCTTTGGTTTTTTAAAACAACTTTCTAGCCGGTTAAGCTGTAAAACAAACATGATTTTTTGTTTACATCAGAAAAAGTCGCATATTCTATAAAAATTTTTAAATAAAAAAGATATGCAGCATTATCATAACTATAGACCTATTAAAAGGAAGCCCATTAGTTTCGGTTGGGCCGAAGCAAATTTTAACGAAGGCGGGTCAAAAAATTAGGACTGGTCCAACTTCTTTACAGCTTACAAATAATGAAACTTCTTCGGACTTAAATTTGTCTGTTATGAAAAAGTTTAGATGTAGAATTAGTTTTAAGTGCGTTTTGTAGTGAGAAAACTAAAGATTGAAAATTGTTTGTTATAAAAGTTTTAAGTTGTAAAGAATGTTTTTATATTGAATTTTTGTTATAGAGGAATTCGTTATACACAAGTTCCGCTGCTATTTTTTGAACTTACTTGGACCCGTTCCAAAACAGGAACCCATATTTGTAACTATACTGTTCATTCTTGAAAGAAGTTGTCTTGGTATGTATTCTGTAAATAATAAAAATTTTAAGGTTTTTTATATTAGAAATGATAAATTTAGAACTTCGAAAGATGGAAAAAAAATTTTTTTTGTTTTTATTTTCCTAAAAAAAAGTAAAACTGCACGCCCTCTATTCACGAACCATTAAAACGTTAAAAAATTGGTTGAACTGGTAAAAAATTTTTTTTTCAAAAAGTGCTATATGCTAAACAATATGATGCTAAGAAATGTCTACACCCAAAATGTCTATAATATGTTTACTCCAGAAAAAAACGTCTACCAAGACGTATATGTTGTGGGTTCGAACCCATACTAAACTTATTCTTCTTTTCTTCCTTCTACGTCTCCCTACATTCCCCTTTTCCACCCCCGCTATGCACCCCTCCCCCCCCCCTCCCTCTTCCGTTAACCCCGGCATTTTCACCCCCCCCTTCCCCTTCTCGAACTTTACCCTATCCCTCTTTTAATCCACCCTTCCAATTTTTTTTCTTCTTCCCTGCCTTCTTTTTTACCGCCCCCGCCTTTTTCCCTACTTGCCCTCCCTCCCCCTTCCCCCCCCCCTACTTCTCTTCACATGTATCTTTTCCACCCTTGTTAAGCACAAATCCCCTAAAGAAAAATTTAAAAAAGTCCAAAAACACCAAATTCGAAATTTCTTGCGCTTTTGGATTGCTCCGGTTTCGGTCTGGAGCCGGATGAACATTGAAACTGGCCCTTTTCTTCTTTTCGGCCGCCTTAATTTCATCGTCCTTTGGGGGTTCAAGTGCGGCCGGAAATTAGCATACAAAACAATAGAAACGTTTTATGGCCATGATTGAGGGTATTATTATACTATAATTTGGGCCGGGAAACGGGGCAGCTATAAAGATCCGAATTTAAAATGTTAGAGTAGGGTGAGGATGTTTGACGGGAGAGGAGTTGGCTAGGGTTGGTCGGCTATTGTGTAGGGTAAAGCATGTCAGAGAAGTGCAGAGTAGGGTAGGGTAACTAACAGTAAGGAATGGTAAAGTAATTCACAATGAAGTAGGTTGAGGTAGGATAATGTAGAGCTAGGGTAAGGCAGTGTAGGATAGGGTAGGAAAGTGTAGAATCGAGTAAGGTAGGGTAAAGTAGGGTAGCGTAGGGTAGGGTAGGGTAGGGTAGGGTAAAGTATGGTAGGGTAGGGTAGGGTAGGGTAAAGTAGGGTAGGGCAGGGCAGGACAGAGTAGGATAGGGTAGGGTAGGGTGGGTAGGGTAGTATAAAACTAGAATACGTAAAAAAAGATACGCTGCCTAAAGTACGTTTCACTTGAAGTTACTACTCTATTCGGCACGTTTTGTCTAAATTTAATGAACCAAAGCCGATTCGTGGTTTTATTTCGGCCAGTAAAGTGCATGCCATAAAACAATGTTGCAGTAAAAAAAAAAAAACTTCAGCTAAATTTCAGTTTTTATAGAGATCAGGTCTAGTTGTTTTAGTTAAAGTCTAGTTAGCTAGCCTAAATGCACAGTAATTCATTGACAGACATCAAAACCATTTTAATTTTGCACTTGTTGTGTCAATTTTATGTGGTTTCTTGTCGGTTTGGTCTTCTCAGAAGTATATTGTGTTATAATTTTTGGTTTTATTGTCATTTGTCCTCAAACGCAACTTTGAAGAGTGTGAATCTTTGGAACGGCTTTGAAAGGAATGTGATATATTATACGTAAGTTATTACATATTCAATGTTGTGCTTTCAATTTTGACCCATTTTAAAATTCAAAATGGTTGAGTAATTAACTAGCGCCAATTTCTTTAAATTACAATTTCAAAATTTAAAAAAAACAAATTAAAAACTTACACTTCAAAAAACATCAAGTATGTGTAAGTGGCGTGTTAAAAGGTTTTGAAAATTTTAATTTCAAATTGCGGCTTTTACAAAATTCTCACGTACATAGCTTGACAGTTCTGAAATTCGTCGGTTTTTACTACTGATATCTTTTGATTCACTTTAATACTACTATACTGTAGTACCCCTGTAAAAAGAACCTATCTGTAACCAAATTTCTGTATAACGAGCAACTTTTAAATTTCTAGCCGACACTAAACAGTGGCATTTAAAACTCCTGTATGCCAAAGTTTTCCCATAACTAACAAATTCAACTACGATAAACCTTAGTTTCTAGAAGCATATGTGCCAATTGTGTTATCTGGTGTAATTGTAGGTTTTTAAAAAAGCACCGTGGGCTAGGTTTCTATGCTAGGGCTCTGGGATAGGGCTCTGAACTAAGGCTCTGAGCTAGAGCCTTGGGCTAGAGCTAGAACTCTGGCTAAAGCTTTGGGCTAGTGTTCTGGGCTAGGGCTTTGCGCTAGGGCTCTGGGCTAGGGCTCTGGACCAGGGCTAGAATTAGAGCTAGGTGCTGTATGGCCGCTTATGTTTTACACGTAAAGTTAATATAACAATTATTAAAAGTCAAAAAGTTATAACGTCAGTTTAGGACAGCTGCAATGACCATACCAAAGCCAATATAAATTTAAGAAATCTTACATAATCTTCAAAAACTACTATATATTGCCTAAACTACAGGCTACGACTGTTGATTAAAATCTACTAATTCGTTACATAGAAGTTTCCCTGTATATTATAGCATGCTACATTTACAACCTTGAAGCGACAGTCCATATGCTTGGGACGATCTTTATGATGCTACTAGTATTCTTCAAGCCAATAATATTGATGTCGCCCTTAATAATGACACCATATTAAATTTACAATACGACGAAACATCATCTTACTCTACATACTTTGACGTAGGCTATAATGCTTCGTTTGTCATTGGAGGTATTTGCTCGTTAACGTTATTTTACTTGGTGATCAACAATTCAAATGGAGTTTTGAAACCATACAGCAAAATGATGTTACTCTGTTGCATTACAGACTTGACTTTTTGGGCTATTGACAACACGGCTCATTTTGTAAGAAATGCTTTTATCATTTAAAATTTACCCTACCCTACATTGCCCTATGTTGCTCTACTCTACTCTACCCTACCCTACCCTAAACTCTTTTATACCAAACAAATTTAAAACCCCGCAAAGCTTTGTTATATACAAGTCCTACTAAACGGAGAAAACGTTTTAAAAATACATATTTTCCAGCAAAGCACTAGCCGTGATGGTGTTTTCATGGTAAAGTTACATGGTATAGCAAGATATTTGGGACTTGACGCCCAAATAATAATTTTCTCATTAGCTGTAAATGGCTTAGAACTCACTATTACAATATTACCGGCTCAAACGTATTGCCGTTACTACACCATAAAATAGTACGTTTAAAAGCTAATAGTATTCAAGCAGTGCGATTGTTTTCTGAGGTCGTTGTACCAAGGTGTTAAAACAGTGCTTTTTAATTGTGTCTAAAGGAATGTTTGCTTCATCGAGACAGGATTTGAGCACGTATTTGTGTTCCTTATTATTCACAACAAAACCATCTTCTGTATTTCTGTAAAGACTAAGGATAAAAAATCAAAATGTAAAAGCAAAACATAAGTTACCTTAAGTACGGCAGTCGATTATTGTAAGCGCCCTCCTTCAGCAGATGATTGGTGTTTTTGGCATTAACTCAGCGATTGGTTTTTTTAGCTAAAATCTATCGTTCAATATACCGGCGCGTTGAAACGAAAATAAGAAATGAAAAAGTAGCAAAACATCGGTTTTTTCAATAAGAAATTCAATTTTATGCAAATTTTTGGTTTTATGATGATTCTACGCATTAAAAATTTTAAGAACTAAGAACAAGAACAAGTTTCAGCAACAAAACGATGACAAACTGGCAGACGTTCAAGCTGTTTTGTTATTCACTGTTAGCTTCTTCACAAATTATGTGGTCATCGTTCCTTAATATTCATTATTCACCCACAATGCGGCCTGGTTTTAACTACGCTAAGCTTTGGTTTCGTGAAGTACCTATGCCAATCGTACTATATGGCGATGTTGTAGGTTTTTAAAGGGTGAGGGCTCTAGGCTAGAGCTATGGGTTAAAACTCTTTACTAGGGTTAAGGCTAAGATTGAAAAAGTAAAAACCTTTGTGTTAATTTAAATTTTTTAGCGTCATTTTTCCCAGAAATATTTCTTGCTAACTGGTACTGTATTGGCTACGTCTGCATATGCGTTAGTTGTCTATTACAGCTACAAAACATGGAAATGCTTAGAAGCAAACAAAGATAAATATTCAATGCAAACACAACGATTACAACGTCAATTGTCCATATGCTTATTATGTCAGGCAAGTTTTTATACTAATATGCGTAAATAAGTGTTATCGTTTATTTACATCAATCTACAAGTTCAAAAACGAAAAAGAATACTTAAAAAAATTTTAAGTTTGAATTACCTCATAAGATACTATTTTCCAGAGTTTATGCCCAATTTTTCTCTCCTGCGGTCCAACATTGATGGTAACAATACCATCGTCACTATACCTAGATACAGGCGTTTTGACATGGATAAGTTGCGTTTTGCTAAGCTATATACCTATATGCAACTCGATTGTTACCATGATTATAATGAGACCATACCGTCATAATTTATTGAGAATTTTTTGCTTTAAAAAAGGGTACCAGATTAAAGTTATTAGTAATGGAACTGTAACTGTAAATACAACAGTGGTTTAATATAAAAAGTACTGGTATACAGAAAATACAGCTGTACCACGAAATAGAACCATGTTCAAACAATTATGTTTATTACTACATTGTACTGATGTGTGCTATTGAGTTAAATACTAATATATAGACCACTGGGTACTATATCGTATAACAAGAAAAACATTTTAAAAAAGTAATACCATTCCACTTAAAATGTCATAACTGTCATACGAGTTGCGGTTTTTATAAAAATTGGCGTACTTTAGTCAACTTTCAGCGGTGAACGGAAAATTTTCATATGGGGAGGATAAAAAGTCTAAAAAAGTTTTTGGCTGGGTTTTTGAAATATGAACAAAAATAGTTACATTCAACTTTTTATCACTTTTACTGTACAATTTCTTACTGTAATTGCTTTGTTATGAATACATTGGAATCTTTGTCAATAAATTATCTTTAAATTTGATCGCACTTTTGTTAAAATACAAACCAAAGTATTGTAAACAAATTAAGAAAAGAGTACTTAGAAGTGTAGATACATATATACAACTGTTAACTGATAGAATGCGCCATTCTTACTTCTACAAACAACTGTTTCATACATTGCTTTGCTTTAGTTCTATCATAGCGTGATCGCGTTTCAACTCTAGCCTACCAAGGTCAACTCTAGCTATAAGTTTATCCTAACTCTACGCTAGTCTTATTCTAGCATTACTTAAGTCGTATCCTCAGTATTAGTCCTGTCCAACTCTACCTTAGGTTTATCTAGCTGAACCCTAATTTCCTTTACCATTTTAGTCTTACCATCTTTCCGAGATGGTATAACTTTTAAAGATAAGTTTTCTTGGCGTTCCTCAACCTAACATTTGTTGCTTCGACGTGTTGTACTCTTTGCCAATATTTTAAATCAAAATACTACAAATACCCTTGTGTATGAGATAAATGCTTGTAGTATCACATGTACTAGCGTATAATTTTGTTTATCAATATCTGTGTTTACGTCTATTTTTTATACTTTTACTTCCTTCACATATGCGTGTCAAAGGCCTAAGCTAAAAAACAAAAATTCTTACAAATTTAATTAAAAATTGTGTTGCTTATAAGTAGATTTGTTAATGCCAAGTATGTACAGTTTTTAATTTTGCCGTTTGAGTTACAGTGAAAACCCACCTCAAAGCTATACCTATAGTGGTGATCAATTTCCAACAACGCACTACTTACTTATATTACAGATATGAACAGCACGCTTCATCTGAAACCCTGGAAAAGCAGTCCGTTTGCATGGGACACAAAACACGGAAATGATAAAAATTCGATCATTTCATATGATGAAACTGCGTCGTACTCTATATATTTTACCAGTATGTATAACACATCGTTTGTAATTGGTGGAATTTGTTCTTTTACATTGTTATACTTGGTACTATTTCATTCAAAAGGAAGTTTAAAAACGTATACTAATATGTTACTGCTGTGTTGCGCTGCCGATTTGAATTATTGGGTTTTTGATCATATGGCACATTTGGTAAGTAACCACATAGGATTTAAGCAAATGTGCTACAATAAACAATAGTAACTAAGCATTGATTTACGTACGAACACATAACAAAGTATCTGAGTTAAAAACCAACTTTTAATTTTGTAGCAAAGTACTGGCCGTGACGGTGTATTCATGGCTAAGCTAAATGGAATCGGCAGATATTTTGATCGGAATGGCCAGGTTATCATCTTCAGCTTAACTGTAAACGCTATGCTGCTGAGTAACACTATTTTACCAGCTCAAGCTTATTGCCGATACTATTCCTTAAAATAGTAAGACGTTTGAACTTTATTTTCATTAAGTTTTAAATATAACAATTATAGCGACAGTCCAATGACAAAGTTTCAAACGTTTCGTCTGTTGTGTTATTCTTTGTTTGCGTCAATACAAGTGTTTCTTGCTGCTCTGTTCTCTTGTTATTACTCTCCGACGTCACAACCTGGTCTTAATTATGGACAATTTTGGTTTCATGAACGACCACTTCCAATTGTCATGTACACTGACATTGTACGTTGCTTATTGGTTTCTGATAACAAGAAATTGCTTTTATATAGCTCTAGTACTGTACTTAACATTTAACTTTAGAGACACTTTACTCAAAAATACTACTTTATATGTGGGACAATAGTAGTTGCAGTTGCGTATATGTTGACAGTCTACTATAGCTACAATACATATCTCTGTTTAGAAGAAGGCAAAAACTCTTATACAGCTAAAACTCGAAAAATTAACAAACAGCTATCAATTTGTATGCTGTGCCAGGTAATTTAAGCTTCTATCTTGCTTTATCTTACCTCACATAACCTGTTTTTACTCTAAAAGTTTGCCTTACCGTGCTAACACTAAACCTTAAAACTTTAGGCATTATGCTCTCTGACAATATCATGTGGACCTATACTAGTATTTACTATTCCAACATTTTTGTACGCTGACAGTGGTATCAGTACTTGGGTTTGTGGTGTTATATTGAGTTTTGTACCGATATGTAATCCGATTGCAACAATAATCATAATGAAACCATACCGTGAAAGGGTTTTAAAATTTTTGCATTTAACCGACAGTAATAAGACGACGGTCACAAGCACTTCGAGCTCTGCGACGAGGTGATTGCTCTTTACACATTATCAGTTGTGAGACGTAAACCTTTATTGTTATGGCTGTATTTTTTGCTCTAGTATATCTAAAGTACGAGGAAGGAAGAAGATCTTATCTATTTTGAATAATCAGTGCCTAAAAAATTATCACTAATATGCCGTAACCTGTTCTAATAAACTTATAACGATGAATTATCATCTTTTATAGTTTTAAATTCAAAATCAAAAAACATAAACAAGAAAACCACTACCATAACTTACCATGCAACACAGGTACAGTACACATGCTACTGTTCTTGTAGTATTTCATGACATAATACAGCATTTGTGTTAGAATGTCATGATTTGAAGATTGTTTTGTAGTTTCTAATCAGTCTATATGCGTGCCAAGATGTCAATTAAAAACAAAGATTTATTACACTGTGGTTATAAAGGTTCGGTCTGTTAGAAAGAATACGACTTTAGTGTTATTGTTCTTCGAAGCAGTGGGCTTTTTTTAAGTGAAGTGTTCTAGCCCAAACGTTGTAGTTAAAACATCGTTAAATTTGTGAAAGTTTTATTATAGCTATCCAACAAAATGAATGACAATACGTTCCATTTGAAACCCTGGCACAACAGTCCGTTTGCATGGGACTTTGCCTACGATAACGAAACCGTTTTAACACCGTATGATCAAACCTCGTCGTATTCGTTCTACTTTCACGTATTTTTTAATTTTTCGTTTGTACTTGGAGCTGTGTGTTCGTTTACATTATTATATTTGGTATTATTTCATTCAAAAGGAAGTTTAAAAACGTATACTGATATGTTACTGCTTTGTTGTGCGGCCGATTTGAATTATTGGTTCTTTGATCATATGGCACATTTGGTAAGTAAATAATAAGCTTTTTATACTGTACTTGAACCTACGCTACTCAAATTTCTCAAAAAATCATAGTACTTTAGCATTTTAATATCCACCATAGTTATAACAGATATTCATTTTTTAGCAAAGTACTGGCCGTGATGGCATATTCATGGCAAAACTCAACGGTTTAGCGAGGTACCTTAACTGGCATGGACAAATAATTATGTTTGGTTTACTAGTCAATGCAATACTGTTGAGTAACACGATTTTGCCAGCTCAAGCTTACTGTCGCTACTACTGCTTGAAATAGTAAGGCATTATTGTTGAAAAACTAAGTTTGGCTTCTAAGCCAATTATCAGGCACAACCACTTATTTGCTTTGACCGTAATTTAGACAGTTATAAAATACATATGGGTAAAGTAAAGTAGGGTAAAGTAAATAAGTGTAGAGTTGGGTAAAGGGAAATAGAGTAAGGTGTGCTAAGGTTAAGTAGAGTACGGTAGGGCAGATTGAAGTAGAGTAGTGACAAATTCAAACAAAAAGACTTTTAGTGACACACCAATGACAAATTGGCAAACAGTTCGTATGTTTGGTTATTCACTATTTGCATCGATACAAGGTGCTATAGCAGCGTTTTTTAGTTGCTATTATTCGCCAACATCAATGCCTGGTGTTAATTATGGAACATATTGGTTTCATGAAAGGCCTTTGCCTATTGTTATGTACACCGACATTGTATGTGTTAAAGATTTTTAAAAGTTATTTAAAAAATTATTGTCTTACGTTTGTTTATACTTTTTATAGCTTACTCTACTCAATAGCTGGGTATTTCAGAGAAACTTCTATCAAAAGTACTATTTTCTATGCGCGACATTAGTGGTTAGCATTGCGTACCTGTTGACCGTTTACTACAGTTATTTAACTTATGTTTGTTTGGAGAAAAACAAAAACGCCTATACAGCTAAAACCCTTAAAATCAACAAACAACTGTCAATTTGCATGTTGTGTCAGGTAAGAAAATTCTATTCTCTCTCTCTCTAAGGTAGAATAGAATATGGTAGGCTGGGTATGGTAGGGTAGGGTAGAGTAGGGTAGGGTAGGGTAGGGTAGGGTAGAGTAGGGTAGGGTAGGGTAGGGTAGGCTAGGGTAGGGTAGGGTAGGGTAGGGTAGAGTAGGGTAGGGTAGGGTAGGGTAGGGTAGGGTAGGGTAGGGTAGGGTAGGGTAGGGTAGGGTAGGGTAGGGTAGGGTAGGGTAGGGTAGGGTAGGGTAAGATAAGTCTTCAAAGACGCATTATAACATTTTTTAGGTCATTTGCTCCTTGACTGTAGGATGTGCGCCAGTATTAGTGTTCACAATTCCTACATTTTTGTACGCTGACAGTGGTATCAGTACCTGGATTTGCGGGGTCATCTTGAGTTTTGTACCTATTTGCAATCCGATTGTCACTATAATCATCATGAAGCCGTACCGTGAAACATTGTTGAGAATTGTGTGCCGACGGAAGATCAATAACACTGGAAGTTCAAGTTTTGGAGGCGTTACAGACACTAGTATTAACACTTCTAAAATTTAACTTTGCTTTTAATTTTGCAATTTTTTTTATTTGTTAAAAAAATTACTTTGCAAAGTAATTTTTTTTAAGCTTTGTATCAAATAATTATTACTTTATTTTAATATGTATAAGACTAACATAAAATTAAAATGACAACAAGTATTATTCTAAACCTCATTTCCATTAGGTACCCAAACACTGCAGTGCTTTTCCGGGGTATATTGAGCATTGTTTGGACAATTAAATGCTTCCTTAAAAGCCGGGTAATTTTGTACCGTGCCCATCACACGATAAACAGAAGGCGAATGAGGATCAACCAGTATCTGACGGTGAATATCCTCAAACGTCGCATCTTCTTGACACCACACTTGAGCAAATGACAGGAAAAATAATTGATCATGACTATACTGACCTAATGTAGGATGAGGTAGTTGAGGTTCTTGGCCATTAAGTTGAATATGATTACGGTAGGCACGGTACGCCGCGTGAATTCCACCGTTATCCGCAATGTTTTCACCTTGAGTATTTTCGCCGTTCAGCTTGGATGGGGCGTATTTCGAAGGGTCTAGAGGTTGGAATGAACCGTATTGGTCTACAATACATTGAGCCATGTCGTCAAATTTTTTTCGAGCGTCTGTGGTTAAACCTGTTTTGTTGCGGACGCCTATTCCGTCCCATTGAATACCTTCGTCGTCTGAAAGTGAAGTAAATTTGTAACGTATTCACAGTACTAACATTAAAACACCAGCTCTTACTTACCTGAGATAATTCAACTCAAGCTTTAGATTTGCTACAAAAAACTACAAACTTGTTAATGCAACTTAATTACTGTAGGTTAAAAATTGACAAAAGCCTTACCAAAAGCATGAGAAAGTTCATGACCAGTCACTACGCCTAAACCACCGTAGTTGATAGAAGCGGGAAACTCCGCATGGTAGAATGGTGGTTGGACAATACCTTCTGGGATTGTTAGTGAGTTGTAAAAAGGCTAAAAGTAAGAGTAATGACAGAATTGTAAGATTACTACCACTAGGCTGTTCAAATAAATCTGAGATTATGTTTAGTTTTACCCTAACAAGCCTCTGTCCTGACTTTTCTTTACAACACCTACCTCATACCAAGCATTCACAGTACCAGGCCATTGAATAAAATCATCGCGATAACTCTTTCCTTTGTCTGTCAAATACTCATATTCATGATGTTTTAGATCCGCAGTCAAAATCTTGGTAGCATCAAAGTAATCATCACCAATCTCAACACTACCGTAATATTCATCCAGTTTTCCATTATCCAAACTAAATTCTGGGTACAACAAATTCTTTTGAAGGTTCAAAACTTTGTCGTGTAAAAATTGTTTTGAAGAAGAGTCAAGCCAGCTAAGTTCATCTAGCATTCCGTGGAATTGGAAGCGTATGGCATCGATCATCTTATTGAGGTTGGCTTCTGCTTTCTTTTTGTCATCTGACGTTGGGTATAAATAGTCGGCAAAAGCTCTGCCGTTGGCATACATCATCATCATTTGGGTTTGTTGTCCACAGGTTGATTCAATGCTTTCTACGGATTTGGCATCTGTTTTCTTAAAAATGTCATTTTCTTTGGTATTCTGAGTCCTTAGGTGTTTGGCTTTTGGATGACTATTGGGGTCTTCTAATTTTGGTTGGCTGTTAACATTGTCACTTGTAGTACCTTCAGTTTCCTCATACGTTTTTGGAATCCATTCCTCATTAGCCAAGAGCAAGCGCATGTAAAGATAGTTGACCAAAGTCTCATGATCAGCGAAAACATTGTTCAAAATGTCATCAAACACCTTCTTGAAAGTTTCTGGCCATTTCAAGGCAACAACATAGTTGTCATCAGCCTTCACATCAATATTGGTTAGTTCGAACAGCTTACCGACGTAGACCTTATGATCCAAAGCTTCTGTAACCTTATTCAGCTCAGCCAACGTTTTCTTAGTACAAGTGTAAGTACGTCTTGTTGTTTCATCCGTAGCATATGGTTTCTTAGCCAAAATTTGTTCAAATTTAGCAAATTTGTCAACATAATCATGCAGTTGTTCGTCCGTTCCAGTACTTCCTTTCAAAGTGTTCTTGAAATTTTTAAGTACAGTAAAGACTTTTTTTTTGTAATTAGCTTCCTGATCTTTCCATGCTTCTTGATAATAGCTTTTTGGCCAGACTATTGTAGGTTCATCCAGGTAGAGCATTTTTGGTTTTTGGCCAGGTTGCGCACTACCTTCTTCTCCGTCGGCTTCTATTGTTTGAGTGACAAATGTATCGACACCTTCATTAATTTGGAGGTATGCTATGGCTCTGCTCCAGTCTTGCAGTTCTGGGTTGTTTCGTTTGTCCTTGTAGAACATTGTTGGTACGCCGTTAAAAACTTCTTCAAAGTTCTTAACAACGTTGAATATTTGCCGACCATCTTTGATTTCTTTTTCAAAGTTTTGTTGAACAGTTGCGCAAAGATCGTAGTACAGGCGAAGTTTTTTTAGTGATGTGGGTGTCTGTAAGGAGTGTATTAGACTTTTTATTTAAATTTTTTCAAAAACTTTAAAATTTTTTTTGAGTAAATAGCTTTAAAATCAGATTTGTTTTACACGTTTCGCAAGTCAACTCTTTCGTTGCGGGACCTAAGCTTTAGTCCTCGGTTTTCAGGTTGGGCTTTTAGACTCGCATCTGCCGGCTCGGCCCGGTTTTTTTTTGAAATTTGCTTTGATCTCTTTTTCGGTTTAGTTGAAGCCCCCTCTTTCTGAAAATTTACTTGGGTTTCCTTACCTTCTTGTCCTCAACGTTGATGCTTTTGATGGCTTTAGACTGGTTGATAAAGTTTTTTTCTCTCAATATCTTGAAGCTAACTGGTTTCTTGTAGTTTCCACACGCATATTTGTAAAAGTCATTACAAGGATCAGCATTTGGGTTCATAGAATAGTTCAGGTATTCGACCGCAGTTTTATAAGCTTTTACTTGCGATACTGGATAACTGCTGTCTATCTGCTTCTTTGCTCTTATGTTCAGGTTGGTCGATTGAGCTGTTGGGGCTGAAAAGTATTTTTCTGCTGCTGCTCTTGTGTTTAATGTACAACAAATGTGGTTTGAGCTAATTTCTTTATTTCTTGTAAGATTGCTTGACTGTATTTTCTAAAAGAAAACTTACCATTGCCCCCAGTGAACACTTCGCAAGGCTTTTCTTTGACATATTCAGACTTTGCTGGGCAGTTGAAAGCAGAAGAGAAAGCTCGGTAGTTTTGTAATGTGCCTTTAACTCTGAATTCGGTGGGAATTTTCTTTCCAAGCGCAATGTTCTTGAACACAACATCTGACTTTTGCTTATTTTGGCAATATTGTCTTGTGTAGCCCATGAAGAACATTTGTTCTGAATTGTATTGGCCCAACAAATTGTTGTTATAGTGCTTGTCTGCTCCGGCGTGATCTTTGGAGAGTTGATAGGCACTGTAGGCTACGTGGAGGGCTGAAAAGTATCTGTATACTACAGTAAGGCTAGGTTATGTTCAGAAAAACAAAACTATGAGTTAGTAGCCAAGTTTGCTTAATGCGCTGTAACGTTTGATTGATTTTTATGTTTCAAAGGTTATGTTAAAGAATGTGAGCTTACCTATGTTGTCAGCGAAATTTTCTGGCAAAATTTCTTTGTTTGTAATGCATTTTGCTGGGTAGGCAGCATCAGGTAATGGACAGAATTCACTGTATTGGTCTCTTAAACATTGTTGAACCTTATTGTACTCTTCTGTATTGCTAATCCACTTATTGTAGTGTCCCGAGGCGTCAAGTTGAATACCAAATGCATCTAAATTACATTGTTAAACAGGAATAACTTAGAAATTTGTTGCATTAGGACCCATATACAGTACTCTCTCTATATAAGCAACCCTAAAAGGCAGGCATTTTGTGTTTACTACAGGGGGTGTTGCCTTTACAGAGTAATTTGTTAGTGCAAATTGACTTGGCGGCGCCAAATTTCTTGTTTACTGTAACGAGAGTTGCTTATACAAATGGTTCACTATATAGAAAGACTGCGTTAAAGTAAGCCATAGACACATGTATCACAAATCGCTAGAGAAATTTTAAGTTTGGTCTTATACATGTGTTTGTTATACGAAGTATCACTATATAAAACCCCCTACCTAAAGCATGACCCAACTCATGAGCAATATGAACACCTAGACCTCCATAGTTTGCTGCTTGCGGGTAGTTGACATCAAAGAATGGTGAAACAACTGCGGCTGCTGGTATGTTAATACTGTTTGTCAGGTAGTCGTAGGATGGAAGTACCTAAAGATAAATGTTTTGAACTTATTTTTAGGCTAAGACTGAGGCTTCATCTATGCTAAGTTATATCTCTAACTAAGGCTAAAGCTAAAGTTATATGTCTGTTTCCTACCTTTGACACATCACCTTGGAATCCTCTATCTCCTGTTTTTTCCAACAACCTTTCAAATCCTTTGCCAGTGTTAAACTGTCTTTGAATCAACCAATAAACCCCAAAGTGCTGGTTAGCCGGAACTCGGTCAGGATATTCTTCATAGTATTTGCTTAAGCTTTCATTACTAACAACATCCAGATCTCCAATCACGTTAATCTTAACATTCTGGATCTTTTCGATGGCGCTGTCTTTGGCAGCATTTGTCAGCCAAGAAGTTTGTCGAATATGGCTGGTAAATGCATTAATAACATTGTTTGTTAAGTTTGTCACCGATTCTTGAACTTTGTCTAGAATGACGTCCAAGTTCTCAAAGTAATACTTAGAATGAAGTGGACCGAGTTCCTTGGTTCTTAGAGCGCAGGTTAGTTCTTGCTGATTATGTTGAGGTAGATTGGCTGGTAGGGAGGGATCGGGAAGGTCTAGTAGGATTGGTCTGAAAATGAAAGATAGTTAAAACTCAAATTTTAGTTTTCGCTTAGGCACATGGCTAAGCCTAAGACATGGCTACGCCTAGGCAAGGGAATTGAACCAAGTCAGACGGATTTTTCAGCGCGGCCGGTTTCAGTTTTCTTTTGGCCAGGTCTAGCTAGGGGATTAAGATTAAGGCTTTGGGTTAGGGATTTGGGATAGGGCTTTGGGCTAGTGCTCTGGGCTAGGGCTTTGGGCTAGGGCTCTGGGCTAGGGCTCCGGGTTAGGGCTCAGGACTAGATCTTTGGGCTAGGGCTTTGAGATATGAATCTGGGCTAGGGTTCTGGACTAGAGCTTTAGGATAGGGCTCTGGGCTAGGGCTCTGGATTAGGGCAACAAACTAGAGTTTTGGGCTAGGTCTCTGGACTAGGGCTAGGGTTCTGGGCTAGAGCCAGAGCTAGAGTTGGAGCTAGAGCTATGGCTATCTCTCTGGGCTAGTGTTCTGGGCTAGGGCTCTGGGTTAGAGACCTGGGCTTTGGCTAAAGCTCTTGCCGACGGCTCTGAGTTAAGGCTTTTGGTTAGGAATCTTACCGTAGCTCCCACAAAAGTTTGAAGAACAAATAGTCAGCCAATCCTTCTCTGCCAACTTCAGGCTGATTTCCAAGCCATATCTGTAGCACATTAATTAAGCCATCAGGGTAGGCAATGCTCATCAGGTACTCTTTGTTCAACTCAATCTTGCCATTAATGTTGACCAATATCTTTGAACGAACTGAAGACGGAGCTCGTTTCAACAATTTCTGGAAAAATTCGACCCAATTGAAGGTTTTATAATCCTCGACCAGTTGATCAACTGTATTGATAGTTTGTCGATTCTTCAAATCTTTACGGTAAGGCTTTTCACTGACATATTTAGCTAAAATAGCTTCAATGTTATAGATTTGGTCGGTAGCTTTAGTATAGTCAATGTTGGTTGCGTTGATTAATTGGCCAAAGGCTTCTAATACTTGTTGAATTTCTTGTTTCGTACGACCGCTGCGTTTTTCTTTGTTTTTACCGGAGTACCATTCAGCCGGTTCTAGCAGCTTGGGCTCATCAAATTGAAGGAGGTACACTGGGTAAGCGTAGTTTGTTGATTCTAGATTAGATTCAATCTATAAATGGCAAAATGTCAAACGTCATTGTGTTTAGGTTTGTCAATGGGGACTGTAGACTAAGACAATCGTTTGGCTAAAGCAAAAGGTATGTTTAAAGCCTGGGGTTTGGTTTAAGCTTAGATTTAGGTTTAAAGTTTGGTTTGGATTTTGGCTTAAGGTTAGGGTTAAAGATAGGGTTAAGCTTCAAATTAAGCTTAGCGTTAGACTTAGGCTTAGGCTTAGGCTTAGGTTTAGGTTTAGGCTTAGGCTTAGGATTATGCTTAGGCTTAGGCTTAGGCTTAGGCTTAGGCTTAAGCTTAGGCTTAGGCTTAAGCTCAGGCTTAGTCTTAGGCTTAGGTTTAGCCTTAAGCTTAGGTTTAGGCTTAGGCTTTGGCTTTGGCTTTGGCTTTGGCTTAGGCTGAGGCTTAGACTTAGGCTTAGGTTTAGGCTTATGCATTGATTTAGGCTTAGCGTTAAGCCTAGGCAGAGCTATAGCATGGCTTTCTAGTCTAAGTTATAGCCTTTGTTTTAAGCTTAGAATTTAAAAAATACGCGTAGTTGTAGGTTTATCTTCATGTCTAAATTTAAGCAAACTATGGCTAAAACTTAGGGTTAGGCTTAGCTATATGATAATGGCAAAAGCAAGAGCTGTATAATGCGTAATAATAAAAACTGTTCTTCTTACCTTAACATCAATTAAGTTGCTAACACCAAACAACCCATTTAGTGCTCCAATTGCCTTCTCCACAAAGTCAGGCTTATAAGGTCGGTCTGCTCTATGAAACAACGGATATAACATGTCTACTTCATCTTCAAGTTTGCCGACGACAAATGTGACAACTTCTTTTTTACTTTCTGTCAGTTTCTTGCAAGCCTTGAAGTAGTTGTAGATTACTTTGTCTAACCATGTTCTTTCTTCTATGTTCTTTATTATGTCATCATTGCCCGTTATATATTTTGGAACTCTGTCAAGCTCATTCAGACCATTAGCAATGACTTGTGCTGCAGCTTGTCTAGCAGTTTCCTCGTCGCTTACTGCTTCTTCAGATAAACTGTTACAGACGTAGCCATAAAAGTTGTTACAGGGACTTTCGTCGGTATCGATGGTTTGTAGGAGGCTTTTGCTGATCTCATTGTAGGCTTCATTGTCTTCTGAAGCTTTTTCAGGCTCTGGGATGTTTAATAATGGTAACGAAGGTGGTATTGGTGGAAGGGTTAAAGCTGAAAATAATTCGATGAGTGTGGTAAAAAGATGAGCATGAGCATGAGCATGAACATGAGCATGAGCATGAGCATGAGCATGAGCATGAGCATGTGCATGAGCATGAGCATGTGCATGAGCATGAGCATGAGCATGAGCATGTGCATGAGCATGTGCATGAGCATGAACATGAGCATGAGCATGAGCATGAGCATGAGCATGAGCATGAGCATGAGCATGAGCATGAGCATGAGCATGAGCATGAGCATGAGCATGAGCATGAGCATGAGCATGAGCATGAACATGAGCATGAGCATGAGCATGAGCATGAGCATGAGCATGAGCATGAACATGAGCATGAGCATGAGCATGAGCATGAGCATGAGCATGAACATGAGCATGAGCATGAGCATGAGCATGAGCATGAGCATGAGCATGAGCATGAGCATGAGCATGAGCATGAACATGAGCATGAGCATGAGCATGAGCAAAAAAACTTACATGCTTCAACTTCTTTCACCCAAACATCACAATGTTCTTTCGGTGCATACCTGCTTCCAACTGGACAATTGAAAGCTTCTTTGAACGCTGGGAAGTTCTGAAGTGTACCTAAAACTCTGTACCTTTCATTCACATGACTTCCAGACTTAGGAAGAATAGGACTGCCTTGTTCACAATGACCTCTTGCAAATGATAAAAAGAATAGCTGATCGCTGGTAAATTAACCAATAAGTTCATGAGGTAATCGACCGTCTGGACCTGCTACACCAAGAGTGTTACGGTAAGCACGATACGATGCTTGGACTCCCCCGACGTCCGCCATGTTTTCTGGATAGGTCGAGGAGCCGGAAATACAATTGTTGTTCTCACAGAAAGTGTCATATTGGTCGGCTACGCATTTGGACATGGATTTGAAATCGGCTAAGGTTGATTTGTCGTACCAGTAGCGTAAGATGCCAGTAGCATCGAATTGGTTACCTACTTCATCTGAAAAATAAATTTTTAATTTTTAAGTTTTTTGATTTTACCCTATTCTACCATACCTTACCCTACCCTACCCTACCCTACCCTACCCTACCCTACCCTACCCTACCCTACCCTACCCTACCCTACCCTACCCTACCCTACCCTACCCTACCCTACCCTACCCTACCCTACCCTACCCTACCCTACCTTACCCTACCCTACCCTACCCTACCCTACCCTACCCTACCCTACCCTACCCTACCCTACCCTACCCTACCTTACCCTACCCTACCCTACCCTACCTTACCCTATCCTACCCTACCCTATTATACTTCACATCACCCTGCCTTACTTTACATTACCCTACTCCACCCTACACTTACCGAAAGCATGAGCAACTTTTCCACCAGCCACTGTGCCCAACAGTCCATACTTGACCGCAGTAGGATATTGTTCATGATATATTGGAGTACCCAATAACCCAATAGGTAACAACAACGAGTTGGCGTTGGGGTTATAAGTTGCCTGGGTAATACTGTGTAGGTACAAAAAGTTTCTATCAGTAGGTTTAGCTAAGAAGCTGATTACTTTTTCTCTGGTAAACTTGTATACTGTATGTGTCATTCTATCGTATGACATACTATCATCAATATGCAAACCATCATAATAATATGTCAAGGCACTCGTATTAGTCAACCATTCTGGCCACCCAAACAAATTGGCAGCATACTGTATCTTGGCTTTGGCTTCTTTACGAACTTCAGGTGTCATCCACGACATTTGGTCTACCATGCTACTATAGGCTAGCCATATTGAGTGGACTAGCTTTGAAACGTCATTTTTGAAACTTTGTTGGTTGATTACTGAAGGATATTGGCTGTAGACAAATTGAGCATCAGTAGCTTCTGGGAATGAAAGCTTAGCTGTTAGAGCACAGATACGTTCTGATGGTGTATACCTTTGATTTTGATGATATGTAGGCTTAATTGAGGTTGTAAAGGCATTGTTTCTTAAAGAATACGGTAGTTGGTTCATGATAGCTTCAGTAATATCAATATCCTTAAGGTCTTCTCTATTGGACATCTTAGTCCAAGGCTTTCCGCTAGCGCCACTAGGAAGATATTCACCGTAGTTAAGCATCAGCACATTCAAATAGATATAATTACAAAGGTCTTCAGCAGAAACAAGCTGCTTGTCAACAACCTCCTTCAAGATTGCTACAGTAGTCTTGACAATTTTTTCATCTCTCAAAATTACAGTATGTTTGGGGTGAATAAACTTCTCAACAGCCTCTGGATACTGGTACAGTACACCTTCTATCAGGCCTTTGAAATCGACACTTTTTTCAAACTGAGTCAACCGTTTGAATGGTGCTGGCGGATACATTTCAGTCATGTTGGTCGATACTATCTTCTCACTCTCTCTCTTTGATACTATCTCCGTCTCCAACAGTACTATCTTTGCTGCTGCTTTTTCAATTTTTTCTTTGTAACCCTCAGGCAATTTACCACTGTGCTCAAGATATCTTGTAAAATACGAAATTGACTCAGTCATGATCTGTTCGGCTGGTTTGCCAGCTTCAATTTCATTCTCAAAGAGCAGTTTTGAAGAAAATGAAAGAGTATAACCATCAGTTGGTTGTAGTGGGTTTGGATGCAGGTCTAGGCTCAAAATCATTGTACCACCGTACTTTGCGTAGAAATAGCCAACGGCTTGGCCTAGCTGTTTTGGAGTGGGATAGTCGGTGATGTTAACGTTATCAGCTAGTGGGAATGGAATTCCAGTGAAATCTTTGACATCATCTACTATTTCATAGATAATCTTGTCATCCTTTTTAGGCTTGCCGAAGCTTTCCAAACACTTTTTGACAAACAGCTTTTGCTTCTTTACTGGCTCAATGTCATTTTCAGATACAGGTGTTAAGAGCAACTGATTGACTTGATCATCAACGGAACGTTGAAGTGATGAAAGAACATTGGCTTCAGAGAATCGACTACATGTGTAATTGTAAAAATCTTCACAGGGATTGTACTGGACGTCAATAGACTCGGCAAACATCTTCACAACTTCTTCATATTCCTTGTTGTTTGATGGTGGTACATTATCATTGATGTTGAGGGACGGATTGATCTTTGGTAAGTCAGGAACACCAACTGTTGGTTCTTCAGGAGATTTCCATAACTGAAAAATAAAGAATTAAAAAAGTTCAAATTAACCTGAGCTTGAGTGTGGTGTTAAGTTTGCGCTTGAACTTGAGCTTAAATTTGAGCTCAAGTCTGAGTTTGAGCGTGACCTTAGGCTTGAGTTTAAGCTTAAACTTGAGGTTGTGCTTGAACCAGAGCCAGACCCAGAGCCAAGGCCAGAGCTAGAGACATAGCCAGAGCCGGAGCCGAGGCTAGCGCCTGAGCCTGAGCTTGAGCATGAGCGAGCCTGAGCCTGAGCTTGAGCCTGAGCTTGATCCTAAGCCTGTGGGTTAGCTTTAGCATCAGCTTGAGCCATGTCTAAAGTGAGCTCAAGCTTAACCCTGAGCTTAAGCCTTAGCTTCTTTAGCTTGAACCTGAAGCTGAGCCTTAGGTTTAACTTCAGACAATCTGATTTGACATTAATGCGTTTCATAATGGAAAGTTTAAAATAAATAGCATTGATTAAAAAACCAACCTCAATCCTATCAACTGGATTGTATGTGTCACCAATTTTACAATTGTATTCAATTGAAAACGATTTTTGATTTGCCAGCGATTTCTCCATCAAGTCATAATTACTAAGTCCATTTACGACAGCATCTGCTACACAATGTTCTTGAGTGTAGACAAAGTAAAAGAGTTGTTCATTGGTAAATAATCCAATTAAGCCATTAGGTAATCTGTCGTCTTTACCGTTAATACCCTCCCATTTCTTCAAACCATCTTTGGCCAATGTTAAGGCAGTTTGTTCCGCGATTATATCATCTAATGAATGAGTTAGCTGTATATCATTGATATCTTTTGCAAAAGTTTGTTTTAATTTTTCGAACTTTTGCTGAATCGTTTTTGCAGATTCTTCATCATACAGTGGGTTAATTTGACCTTCCTCATTGTGCTGAATGCCAATTCTGTCTGCAAGATGACCAAAAGCTTTACCAACCTCTATTCCAATATACCCAAAATGTATCGTACTTGGATTCATTGGATTATAGACGGGGCGAATTAGGTAATGTAGGGGTATGTTGATAGCGTTTAGCTTCCGATTAGCTTCGATCATTTCCAGAGAGTTGTAGGAGTATGAGTCCGGGCTGATAAAGTCAGTACGATCAATCGACTGCTTTTTCAGCTTTTCGATCGATTTTTGTTTTTTAAAATTGTTGATAGTACGATACCATTCAAGTAGATGTGCTGGTCTTTCTACTGTCAGTCCTTGGTATGCGGCAATCAATTTCTGATCATCCAAAACATATTCAGCTACACCAACGTTCCTGGCCGTGCCTCTAACCTTACGTATAAACTTTTGCCGGATCTCTAATGGCATCCATGATAGATCGTTGAAGGCGTCTTCGAATGACAAAGCAAGAGTTTCTACTATCTGTGCTACGCTTTCTTGAGATTTTCTGAAGCTTTTGAGGTTTTTATCAAAAATGTCATCAATAGCAAGTCGAGCATAGGGTGGTGGTAAGAGTTGTTGGACTATTCTGGCACATTCATCAGCTATGTACAGTTCATCTTGGTCTTTTATGGGGTTTTTGGGGTTTTCATTGTTGTTTTTGATGTTGTAGTTGACATAGTTGTTGGCCTTTTTATAGTCTACAAACTCGTCCTTAGAAGTGGCACGATTTTTGTTGTTATAGTTATCATTTTTGTTGTTATAGCCACTATCATTGCCGTCAGCCTTCAATGCCTTGCCTCTATGCACCTTCTTTTCATCACCTCTTGCTGCCATTTTCTTTGGCATCCAATCGGCCTTAGGTTTTAAAAAATTAGCAGTAAATGGCCTTGTAGGATGGTAAATTAACATATCATTCAAGTAGTCCTCCAACCTATAACTGGGCGTTGTATCACAAGGTATTAAATGCTGATATTGAAGTAGTAGCCTTAAATACAAGTAGTTTATCAGCTTTGCTGCTCTTTTTTTGTCAGTCTTTGTACGGTTAAAGGTGTTTTGACTGTTCTTAAACATTTGTATGTCTTGAACAATCATTGAGGTTTTGTCATCAATATTAATGTCCAGGCCAATTGATTCAAAATAGCCATTGTAGACTTCAATTAACGAGCTGAAAGCAAACGTTTTTGAAAACTCTTCCTTCTCTAACTGCTCTCTTCTGTACTCCTTTTGTCTATTGATATTACTGTTGAATTCATGAAGATATTCAGGCACAATGTCATTTTCAATAAACTGATAACGCACGTCTTCCACAGTCAGTTTCTTCGCTTCCTCAGGCCAAACAAACTTGATCTTGGCCAATAAAAGCCCAGCCAGATCTTTTTCAGCATCAGCCAACACAGCTGGGTTATCATAGACATAAGGCTTAAATAGCACACTTGGTGCACCGAACTGGAACAAATATGGTGCGCCAAGGTAGTTTTGCTTCGTATTTGGCTCAACTTCAAACTTGTAGATCAGGTTGAGTCGGTGAGTTGTTGATAAGAAGAATAAGGCTACGGCAAGAGTCATGTCGTCCAGCTCAACGTCTTGAATATTGTTTACCAATGGGAAGTCTGGTACATCGGCGAATGTTGTCATTTCATCAAAGATTTCTTTAATGTATTCCGGACCGTTCTTCAAAGTGGATTTACAGTTTTCGTACAGCATCTTGGCTGGTCGGGCATATGTGGGCTAAAAATACATTTTTTTTTAAATTTACAATATTTTAGTGTTAAGCTTGGACTTATTATTTGCTTTAGTTTTAATTTAGAATTGTGCTTGAGCTTGAGTTTGAGCTTGATCTTGAATTAGAGCTTGATCTTAAGTTTATTAAATTTTGGCTTGAAATTAAGCTTGAAGCAAACCCGAGCTTAAACTTGAGCCTGAACTTGAATTTGAACTTCATCTTATGTTTGAGTTTTGGCTTGAAGTTAAGCTTGAGCCTTAGCTTTATCCAGCCTTAATCAATGGCTCAAAATTTATGTTTTTAACGTTTCAAAACTACCTGTTCTTTCGCTTCCAAACTGCGAACTACAGCATAGTTGGCGTTCTCGCTAGCTTCTTCGGCAAGCCACAATGAACGTGTGTGAAGACAAGAATACTCGTAAAAGTTATTGCACGGCGTAACGTCCAAATATAACTTTTCCGTAAGTTGGCTTGCAAATTTACGAAAGATATACGTTCTGTTTTTAGCCGGAGGTTGGATTTCGACCGATGGGTCAAATTCTGGCAGGGTTGGTACTCCTCTGACTAAAAATATGTTTGTATTTTGTAAGGTAAGTCTTAAGACCTGGTATAGTGAGCTAGGACTCTGAGCTAAGGCTCTGAACTAGGGCTTTCAGCTAGAAATTTGGGCTTGCGTTAAGACTAGAGAGGGTTTAATCACACTTACCAGGTTCAACATCCGAAGCCCACACATCACAACGTCTTGATTTCTTAGGCGCATACTTGGCTCCGACTGGACAATTGAAAGCTGTTCTAAAGGCTGGGAAGTTTTGCAACGAACCGAATACTCGGTATTTTGGTGGCGAATGATTGTCCGTCTCTAAGTATTGCGTCAGAGCTTGTTTAGTGGGATTTGCGCACCATGAGCGAGCAAAAGACAGGAAGAAAAGTTGTTCATGGTTGAATGCTTGAAGTTGGATATCTGGGAGACGTTCATCTTGTCCGTAGAACTCTTGATACGTTTGGAAGGAGTTGTATGCTACTCGAAGGCCTGAATTAATATTTTTTGTAATTATGTTTTTTTTAAAATTGGTTTTTATTAAAAAATCCCTTACTAGTAGAGTTTTAAAGGGACCCCGAGTAAGAATCATTTCTTTGGCACAGCTAGTGTTTTGCCAGACCGGATCAGAACGGACTAAAAATCTGCGGACCCGGAGAAGCAGTTTTAAGCGCTTTTTTCTTCAGCTCGGCTCGCCACATAAGTTTGACCCGGATAGGATTGGATTTTTACTGGTAATTTGATTTTTCGATAAAAAAAGCTGTTAAATGTCCAACCCTAGACCCGGATTAGCGTGGCTCAAGGCAAAGGTCGGCGCTGAGTCAACACCGGACTGGGGCTAGGCTGAGGCTGATTTGTGGCCAAACCAAGGCAAAGACAAAACCGCTTCAAAACCGCTTCAACACTGAGTTGGGCTGAGTCAGGGCCGGGCTGGGGTCAATCTCAGGCCTGAAAGGTTCAACTCAACGCCAAGCCGGATCTAAGGCGGACCGATCTAAAGGGTCTAAACTGCTTAGTTGCACTGTATATTTGCACTTTTGTAAGGCTTAATAAATTTAAAAAAAAGCGAAAAACTACCTCCATTATCAGCCATATTCTCAGCCAAAGTTTTTTCTCCGTCGATGAACAAGTTCCATCCAGCGTCAAGCTTCGAATACTGCTTCACCAAACATTTTGTCATATTTTGGAACGCAGCCTCGCTTTTCTCGTCTAGCCAACTATGTAATCGGCCGTAAGAGTCCCATTGAACACCATTGTCGTCAAACAAGTGTATCAATTCATGTCCAATAAGATGGCCAAGCGCTCCAAATTTGATCGAAGCAGGGTAGTTGATGTCGTATATTGGTTTTTGTAGTAAAGCGAATGGTATGAAAATAGCATTAAGTTTTGTTGAAGACCAAGAGTCGGTTGATAAGGCGGAGATTGGCCATTCCGACCGGTCGTAATGAGACAGCAAGATCTTGCTGAATTGAATGCGTTGTCTGAAGGTATAGACGGCTTGTTTGACTTTTAGCAGTGTGCTGTTGGCTGAAAATGAGTTTTTTTTTGAAAATGCATTAAGGTACTGGGCTAGGGCTTCGACTTGGGGCTCTGGACTAGAGTTTTAGAATAAAGCTTAAGGCTCTAGTATTGTTTGCTAGGTTTACCCTTTAACATAAGTTATAAAACCGACCTTCAAACACTAAATTCTCGTAGAAGAGATTCAAATTGCTATTTGAATTAATCAACGGTGAATACCCGATATTGCGAGCAACATACTGTAACTTATTGTAAGCTACTTGCTTAGCTTTTGGTGATAGCCAACTGATCACGTTTAGTTGGTTCTGAAAAAGTAAATTTTTAATATGGGTAGGGTAGGGTAGGGTAGGGAAACGTACTTGGAAGCCAACAATCACTTCAGCAGTGATCTGTGTGACGTCTCTTTCAATCTCATATGTTTTGCCAGCAAACGAGTGTATTGCCGCGATAAACAATCTACTAGCAGCTTCTGGCATCCATTCTGTAACTAATCTAGCGCACTTGATCTCAAAGTCCTCTTCAGAATTTTTAAAAATTTTGTTTTTTCTGTCATGCCTATTGACTTCATTGCCATACTTTGATTGTAGTTCCTTAATGTCATTAATAACATTTTCATTATCCGAAAACAAGTCAGAAATGGCAAGTAAGGTACGGTAGTTGAGGTAGTTGTAGAAGGTTGCTGGTTTTGTTTGACTAATGAAATCGGCTAGGAGATTGAAGGCTTCTGGCTCCATAATGACAAATTTATAAGTGTCATTTTGAAAACGGGATTTTGACTTTTCATCCGCCACTTGAGTTATCTCTTTAATGTATGTTTTGAAGTCGATAAGGTTGTTTTGAAACGAGGGTACTGTTTCTACATTGTAGGATCTAAATGTTTAATAGTACATTTAAAAATAAAAAAATTACCCTACCCTACCCTACCTTACCCTACCCTACCCTACTCTACTTTACCTTATTCTACCTTACCTGTTTTACCTTATCTGTCTTACCTACCGCATCCTGTCTTACCTACCGTATCCTGCCTTACCTTGCGCATTCTGTCTTACCTACCGTGTTCTGTCTTACCTACCATATCTTGTCTTACCTACCGTATCTTGTGTTACCTACCGTATCCTGCCTTACTTACCGTATATTGCCTTATCTACCGTATCTTCTCTTACATATTGCACCTTGCTTCACCTACAATACCCTATTGTAATTTACTCTGCCTTAACTATTGTGCTTTGTCTTACCTATTGTATTCTGACTTATCCTACCTGTTCTTCCCTACCCTAACGTACCGTTCAAAATTCTTTCTAGTTTGGTCATCAGTATTGATCTTAACTGCTATTGTCTTTTCAAATTCATAAGCTTCATTGACATCTTTATTCAGCTGTTCTTCATCAACTTTCTTTCCAATAATCTCAGCTCCTTTCTTGACCAACATTTTAACACTTTCTTTATACTTCTTGGCTTCTTCTTCAGTGCCATTCTCATAAAATCGTCTAGGATAGAAAGTTTTGCTCTGATCAATAAAAAGCTGATAAACAGGCTTGTAGTGACGTGGCAGATTGAATGGTTGTTTCCAAGCGGTATCAATAGTATAGTCGAGTAAAGTAGCTTCAAAGTACGTGTTATGAATACCGGCTACTATGTTGGCTAAGTGTGTTGGTGTTGGAAGTACAATGTCGGTCTTGTTATCAAGAGATGGGAATGGTAATTGTAACGAATAATTGTTGTAATCAAAGTATTTTTTGATTATATCGGCCGATTTTGGATAAAGGTCTGAATTTTGAGAAGCGTCGACGCAAATTTGGAAGGCTTTTTTGATCTTTCTGGCGTAGAACTCTTCCTGCAAAAAAGTATTGATTAGAAGGCGAATGCTAAAGCTCAAGCTGAAGTTTAGGCTTAAGCCTAAATTTAAGCCCAGGTGTAGGCTTAGGCTCAAACTTAATTTCAAATGCAAGCCCAAGCTCACACTTAAAATTAAGCTCAAACTTAACTGAAAGGACAAATTTAAGCTCAAATTCAAGCTTAATCTTTTGCTTAAGATTACATAGAGCTGAAGCATGTGTTTGGTCTAGGGATACCTTTAACGTTATTTGTAAGCGTAGGCTTGTATATTTTTTTTATCTTTTTGTTTTTTCTGAATGTCCCTAGTTTAAGCTCAAATTTGGGCTCAGATTTAAGAGTAGGCTTACTCTTTAAGATACCTGCAAAAAATTTAAAAAAACTGAAGTAAAACAAATTAATATTCCAGTAAAATCAAAGCAAACTAAGCTGTAAAACCTACATTTTTGCCTTCGTTTAAAGCCTTGACTAACGCTTCATAATTTTTTTCTTCAAGCTCTTTCAAAGTCTGAGCGTTCGTCTTAGTTTGAGCACAGGTGTATTCATAAAAGTTGTTACATGGATCATAAGTAAAATTAGCATAGTGTTTCAAATCATCAGCATAACTTTTATAAGCCTCGTATTTGTAGGGGCTTGCGTTTTTATCGATCGGTTTTGGTGGCAATATATTATTGTTGTTTGGGTCTGGTCGAGGTGGAGACGACGTGGCTAAAAATTAGAGTAAAAAAGAGCAAGTGTAGGGTAGTGTAGGGAAAAGTGTAGTACGACAAAGAAGTGGAAAGCTGTGAAGGGCAAGGCAAGGCAAGGCAAGGCAAGGCAAGGCAAGGCAAGGCAAGGCAAGGCAAGGCAAGGCAAGGCAAGGCAAGGCAAGGCAAGGCAAGGCAAGGCAAGGCAAGGCAAGGCAAGGCAAGGCAAGGCAAGGCAAGGCAAGGCAAGGCAAGGCAAGGCAAGCCAAGGCAAGGCAAAAGCTGGGTAAAGACAGGGCAAAGGCAGCGCAGGGCACGACAAAAACTTTTTATTACTTTTGTCATTATTTGATGGGTTACTAGTGGTAGTTTTATCTGAATCGTTGTGCTTGTTATCGTTCATCAGTTTAAGAACGCTTAAGGCCAGTACAGCTAACGCGACCAGAAGCGTCAGACATAGAAAGCCGGTTTTGGCCTTTTCTAGACCTGACGCCATGTTTAGCGGTACAGCTCAGTAATATCCTTATTTGGCAATGTGGAATACGATCTACAAAATGCATATTATAATTAAAACTAAAAAAAACAAATTTGAATTTAAATTCGAAAAAAAAATTAAAATTATAATGTAATTTTCGATAAGCCTAAAAATAGGCCTACACGAGAATGGTACAAGGAAAAAAAGGTTGGTAAACATAATTCTAATAAGCTTCCAGCCTCAGAAAGCATTTGGAAAATCATAATAAATTAGATCGTTTTGAATGCACTCGATAACAAGCTTGTTATCAGTTTTAATTACTGCGAATTGCTAATATCTTGTTTAATCAAATCATTAAAGAGGTGCGGCTTCTACCCATCATATAAACTAATGTAGTTTAGTACAGAAGCTGTGTTTAACACTATAAATTTGATGTATTTTGATTCGGTCAGTCACAAAGTATTGAATATATTGCATTTTTAAACATCATAGAAAAGTTACAGTAAGGCTATGGTTAAATTATAAAGAACTTTGGTTTGTCAGTAGCAGTTGTCCACTACACTGACTTTGTAACTTCAAATTTTTTTGTTTTAACACGGTGGTTTTTAAAGTTTACTTTATTCAGGGCAGTGCGTGACCTCAAGTCGCCAAGATCACTGAGGGAAAGTTGTGTGCACTCGGCTAGATCGTTTTGCCTCATGCCGCTTACTCAACAGACACAGCTCTAATCGACTACTACAGTGGAACTCCTGTATAAAGAACTCCTCTATAACGAAACTCCCGTATAACGAACAAATTTTAAATCCCCGTCTACTACGACACAGTGCATTTAAAACTTCTGTGTAACGAAACTCCTTTACAACGAACATATTTCAAGTCCCCGAGTGATTCGTTATACAGGAGTTTCACTGTATTTGTTTTACTCTCTGGCCAACGGTATCAGGGAGGAATCGTTTGACGGAGAAGACGACCTTAAAAAGCGGTTGAAACAATGTTTTGCTTCTAAATGTGTAAACTTCTACAAACGTGGGATCAAAACGCTACCGGTGCGATGGCAACAAATCGTCAATGCTAACAATGCGTACGTTTCATAATTAGTTGTTATTATTCAACAAAAAGAATAAGTTTTATAAATTGAAAAAATGGCAGGTTTTTTATGTTGGCATCTAATATTTATTTATTTCATCCATTCAAAGTTGTACAGAGAGAAATGAGACCAACAATAATAAAAAGATAACATTTAGATACTTGGGTGATTCTGGTGACCTTCTGCTATTAGAATTAAAGATAGTGAAGCCAAGCAGGTTTAGTAAGTTAATCAGTCGATACATGTTATGCTGTCTATCGCCCTTGTAGAGCGCTTTATATTTGAATTGGAAGCGTGTTGAGGAGTCTAAAGTTGGGGAAGTGCAACCCCTCGCACCTCTGTTTTATTCCTATTCTTTTGCGCATTGTATTCTTAACTTGCCCAGTTAAAGTTGAAGTCTAAATGCGGCTACTCGTTCAGGAAAGTTCTGTTTGCCCGCCACGGTAGCAAATTTAGGAAAAGAAACACGACCGCTCACAACCCAGCCTTCTTTGTGATAATGAGTGTATTAGTCAATAAGGCCTACCGCCGCAGATTTTCAAGATTTATTAGATAAACTTGCTTATCGCTCTATGTTACCTTAACAAATATCATTTATAACGTGTAATTACTCTATTTACAATAATAAATGTCTTGTGTTAAACGTAATTGGGTTGTTAAATAACAGGCATCAACTAGTTAATTGTACCGTTCACATGTTTTAACATACTAAGCTACCACGTAGACAGGACTTAAACTAAGCACATGTATTACTTGTTTGATAACCGTTAAATAAAAAAAATAATTGGACAAGTTGATAAGTAAAAATTAATGAGTAGGTACAGTTAAAAGATGTCTGTTTTGCGTCTTCTTCATTACTGTTTGCGGTGCCAAAAAATGAATATTGTGTATGATTATAGTGAAAATAAATATTAGCGAAGACGTATTTTTAGATCTGAAGCTAGGACATAGATAAAAACAAAAACTAAGTAAGCAAATTAAAATTTTTTTTAGTTTTGGTAAATGCTGTAACCAAAAAACGGTTTGGATGCTGAATTAGTTTTTACTAGATTCTTAGGCTTAGTGTTATAGCCAGGCTTAACAAAAGCAAAACGGCTGACGCCTGACTGCTCAAGTTTAAATTTGTAAGTCTATCTTATCCGGAACATAGTATAAAAATGCTGGGCGGATTCTGAGAGTTGCAGGTTGGATAGTTTCCTTGTTAGTACCAATGATTTGGTGTTTGATGATCTGCTTATTGTTAAGCATTAAACACGATAATCTTTTTCCAAGCAATGAAACATTTAAACCTAAAACGTTATAAGTGCATTCGTAATATGTGTAACGAACTGGTCATTTACAGTAATTGCCGGTTATCAAGAAAGACGGGATTAAACATTTATATTGTATAACGAGCATGATCCGGGAGTGCTCATTATAAAGTTTTGATTTCAGTTTGGACAGTTTCATTACTATTACATACTATAAGTTATTGCTGTACTAAGGTTAGCAGTTTATTGTGCTTGAACTTACTGTGCCATAACGTTTGTTAACTTACAGTATAAAGCTATACAGTACTGTTATAATAGTATGAAGCTACACTACGAACCATGGTCTGAAAACCCCTATGCATGGGACGTTCCGGATGAAAGTGGCACATATCCTACTGAACCTTACGACCAAACGTTATGGTATTCTATTTACTTTCGTACTGCTTACAATGTGTCATTTATTCTTGGCGGTTTCTTATCATTTTTATTACTATACTTGGTTTTATTTCACACTGTTGGAAGCCTACGACCGTACAGTAAAATGTTATTGCTGTGTTGTATTGCCGACTTGAACTATTGGGTCTTTGATAATCTTGTGCATTTTGTAAGTTATTTGTGGAAATTGTAAGATAAAACTAGAGGTAGAAACTATGGCAGAAGACTGGGTTCCGTGAGGCTAGGGCACTGAGCTTAAGGCTCTGGGACTAAAGAGGAGGAAAGAAACTGTAGTATCAGGACTAAGTTAGGACTGCAACAGGATCAAATCGGATTACGATACAAATAATATAAAGCCAAGATAAATTTTTTACTGTGACATGTACAGTAGAGTAGGGTAGGGTAGGGTACGGTAGGGTAAGGTAGGGAAGGGCAGGGCAGGGTAGGGTAGGGTAGGGTAGGGTAGGGTAGGGTAGGGTAGGGTAGGGTAGGGTAGGGTAGGGTAGAATAGGGTAGGGTATGGTAAGGTAGGGTAGGGTAGGGTAGGGTAGGGTAGGGTAGGGTAGGGTAGGGTAGGGTAGGGTACTGAACCTAATTTTGAATAATTTTAGAAAAGCACAGAGAACGATGGAGTATTCATGATTCAACTTGAAGGTATAGGCGGCTATTTGAATCGCGAATATCAAATTTACATTGTGTCAATGTACGTCTTTGGAATCATATTGAGCCATACGGTACTACCAGCTCAAGCATATTTCCGTTACAGCGTGTTGAGAAAGTAAGAGCTTATTTTTTAATGTAAAATATGACCGTTGAGATTGCAGGGTAAAAAATGTTTTGAATGGGTAGGGCAGGGTATAAACTTTTTTTATTTTTAGAATAAAAAAATTTTTGTTTAAAATTTTTAGTGGTCGTGCCTTGTCGAATATCAAAACCATGAAACTCTTTGCTTTTGCTGTGTTGGCAGCTGCACCCATTACTTACCTTACTGCTATGAGCTACTTCTATTCGCCTACTACTCGTCTTGGACTTAATTATGGTAAACTTTGGTATAAAGTAGTCCCGATACCTATCGTTTTGTATGGTGATATCGTAAGTTGACTACAGTGAAAGATCATAACTTAAAATTTTTTTTGGTCAAAAATTATCAGTATTAAACTGATAATCTAGGTTTAGTAATGTGAGTGAAAAAGCTAGATAAAGCGTTTTTTAAGCGGGTAAAAAATTTAAAATTTTTTTTGTTTTAGCGTTACATTCATCAAAAGCTCTATTTTGTTTATGCATCTACATCTGTATCGATTTCGTTTGGAATCGCATGTTATTTTAGCTACAAAACATATTTGCATCTGAAGGCACATAAGATTTTGTATTCGATTAAAACCCGTCAAATGCAAAATCAACTTTCATTGTGTATGTTTTGTCAGGTAAGTCGATATAAAACATTTTACATTAGAAGGCTAGGATTTTAGACTGTAGGATTTTACGCATTAGGCTTCTAGATGTTGAGCTTCTAAGTCTTAGGTTTCTAGGTGTGAGATTTTATGTAAGAATTAGGCTTTAGGCTTTTAGGTTTTAGACTTTAGGCTTTAAGTTTCTAAGCTTTAGGCTTCTTGGTGTTAATCTTATGTAATAAATTTAAAGCGACTGTACTCTAAGTTTTATGCTTTAGGCTTTTAGGTTGCTAAGCTTTAAGGTTTTTCGCCTTCTAATCTTCTAAGCTTATAAGCACCTATTCTCCTAAGCTACTAGGCTTCCAGTTTATTAAGCTTTTAGGTTTGATGCTTCAGGCTTCAGAACTTAGCCTTTAGAATTCAGATTAGGTTTTAAGCTTTAGCCTTCAGGTTTCAGGCTTCTATCTTCAAGCTTCAGTCTTCAGGTTTCAGACTTCAGTTTTCAATCTTTAGGCTTTAGACTTCAGGCTTCAGTTTTCAAGTTTCAGGCTTCAATCTTCAAGCTTCAATCTTCAGGTTTCAGACTTCAGTTTTCAATCTTTAGGCTTCAGACTCCAGGCTTTAGGCTTCAGGCGTCAACCTTCAGGCTTTAGGCTTTATTTAGGCTTTAGGCTTGAGGCTTCAGGCTTCAATCTTCAGGTTTCAATCTTCAGGCTTTAGGCTTCAGACTTCAGACTTCAGATTTCAGGTTTCAGCCTTCAGGCTTCAGTTTAAGATCTTGGGCTAGGGCTTTTGGCTAATTCTTTAGGCTAGGATTCTAGGCTAGAGCTCTCGGTTAAAACCCTGGGCTAGGTTCTGGGCTACGGCTCTGAACTAGGGTACTAGTCTAAGGCTTTGCGCTAGGATTTAGTGTTAAGGCCAAAGCTGCTTCAATTTACAAAATTTCAGACTTTATGTCCACTACTAATCTCAGTGGGCCCGATACTTCTTATAATAGTACCATTTTTCTTTTTGGCCAATACTGGCATTACAAATTGGGTTTGCTGTGCTGTGTTAAGCTACATTCCAATATTTAATCCGGTGGTTACAATTACTGTTATCAAGCCATATCGACGAGCGTTCTTTGGAATGTTTCGAAAGCTTCGAAAATCTCAATTTGGTACAAGTGTTGGCAGTTTTACTAATTAGTAAATGGCGTGTACAAAAATAGAACGGCTTCCGGCTTCGGGCTTCAAGCTCAGAGATAATGCTGTGGGCTTAGGCTTTGAACTAGGGCTAGGGCTATAGCTCAGAACTGGAGTTAAAGCTAGGGCTGGGATTGGTTCTAAGCCTAAAGCTTTTTTTGAAGTTATTTAACGCGATTATAATACAATAATTGTAAAAAATTTTTTGTTTTTTTTGTTAGACCCTAAACCAAAGTTACCCGCCCAACGGTAGATATAGTTTAAAGGTTTATTAACATATTTTCTACGCTATACAACTACTATTTATGGTCGGTGGAATGTAGATATAAAATATGTTGATGCGTTGTTAGCGCAGTGGCTGTGGCGCCGCTCGCTGTTCTAAAGGATCTCGGTTCGACCCCGCGCACCGCCCAAGCCAGGCGCCTTGCACTGCAGGTACAAAATTTTTTTCTAGAAAATTGAAAAAACTTTCTATACAAAGTTTTTGAATATGCTTAACAAGCTCAGTTTTAAAATATTGCGGTAATCTGTAGCAAGATAAAAAAGTAGTTCCAAAAAAACTAAAAAAGACATCAAATATCAAGTGTAATATACATTTTTCTAAACTTCTAGATTTAAACGTTAAAATTAAATCTTAAAATTACTTTTATATATGTTGTGGACATTTTAAGCTTTTTAAGCATAAACAAGTTAACTCAAGTATCCAAAAAAAAAAGTCGAATTCATATAAATTTCAACCAAGTAAGATTTTATTACAATAAGATTTAAAGAAAGTAAATAATCAAACATTCATGTTAAATAATGGCACAAATTGTTAAATATAGCCTTTGTCAAACATCAAAGTGTCAATCGCTTTCCATTTTAAGCTGTTCTGAACTTTTCCCACCTTGTTGTAACCATGTCTCTTCATTTCTTCAGCAAATCTGCAATGAACAGCTTCAATGCCTTCTTCTGCCAGAGCTCCAATCATCTTGTGCTTCCATGCAAAAGGTCCTAAATGCATTAGTACGATGTGTACTAACGCACTTTTTGATGCTCCGCCAACGACATCGAGACATCGAGCCAGTTTTATCGTTTGGCAACACTGTTCGCCTAGATGTTCACCATTTCGACAGTAAAGGACCATCAATTCTTTATCCGATATGTTCTTCTTTGTTGATGATACGATTTTCGACCATTCATTGAAGACATCCATAGCTTTAATGATCTGCTGGTAGCCTTCTGATGTGGAAACTTCTAAAAAGTTCATTATAATCAATAATATGAATAACTCACTTGATAATGCATCAATTGAAGTGCACATCCTCTTGATATCGTTTCCGTGAAAGCGGGTGTAAATGATCTTCTCCTCATGGCGATCAACGTCTAGCTGGCATTGCTTCAGAACTACATTAAAGCGCTCTTGGTCATCAGCTGCTTCACATAATTTATTAAACAATAAATTTCCAATTTTAATCTTACTGTGAAGAATTGGAGGTACAATCATTTCTTCAGGTATCTCAATAATCTTCTCTTTCCTCTTCTTTAGTTTTTTGTCTTTTGCAATCGCTTCTTCTACTCTTTTGTCGGATCTGGATTCATAAACTTCAAGGTCGATGGATTCTTCGCTGTTCGACTTCTTTATGAACTTCTTTGAGCACCATGTGCAAGGATAGGCCATTCCACAACTTAATCCATTTATGGTTGCCAAAAAAGAGTAGTCGCCTTCAACGTAAATCTTGTAGTTATCCATGCTCAGTTCTTTGTAGAATTTTCCGACATCATGATAAGCAAGAGCATCATAGTGGTCACTTCCTTTCCATTTCTGCAAAATTGTCTTGTTGTAGTGTGACTGAGTTGTTGAACTTCCCACTAAGCCAACAGTAGACACCACTCGTCCTCGTCCTTTATCCAAATACCACACTAAGTTCTTATCCTCAATATTGGCACGACGCATCCTTTCTTCAAGAAATGAGTGAACGTTCTGCATTCTAAAGCTGAAATTTCCATAAACTTCGTAATTGATCACACTTTCCAATTGTTTACAAGCTTGGGTAATCTTTCGTTTTGATAACAAAGGCGGATTATCACTCTCCTTGCTTATTTTGTTGAGAATTCGTGCTCCATCGTCTGATAACCGCGCTTTTCTCTTTGAAGCCATCTGTTTCTTTGGCGATAATGTGTTCTTCATTTTGCTTTGAACTTAAGAAACCATTTAAATTAAGTTTCAAATTACTTACGGCACTAACTTCTCCATTTTCTGGCGATGTTGGATGAGGTATGGGTATTGAGTCCGAATTTTTGCGTGATGACCTTGATTTACGTGCCAGTTCTAACTTCAAATGTCGTCCCTGTTGTTCTTTTCGCCATTTACTAAGAGCAGTACACTTATTAAAGTTATTCGTTTCACCATTTTCTAGTTTTCCTTTACTATCTTCAGGTGTGGTCATGGGTAATATAATCTTTTTTCAGGGTTGTTCCGGATTGCAAAGCTTTTCCAACTTTAGGATTGACACTTCGGGCTCGTTCAATGCTGGCTATTTTAACCTTTTTTCTTTTAGAAGCTGGAGGCATCTGAAATAATTAAAATTATATTATCCATGATAAAAAACCGAAATTTTTAGTTTTTTTGTAACTACTTTTTTTTGGAGTTTTAAATCGATCTGAAACTTTGAATATAACGTTAAAAATACGTTATCTAAAAGTTGTACAGAAAAGTTTATTCAATTTGTAGACAGATTTAAAGACCTAAAATTTAAATTTTACGAAAAGTTCAATTTTCGAATAAATTTTTTCTATGTTCCTGGATTGAACTAGTTTTTGTTCACCTGAGCTATCCTTGGCTTTTTGATGTTTCCCATAATTGGGCATCCCCCCCCCGTTTTCACTGTTCAATGCATTACTGGTTCGTGGGTGAGGTGCTCCATAAGACTTCTGGTTTGTCTGGCATACACCTGTGTTGGCCAAGTGTTGATGGGCCTAGTCCCCGTGCTCCCAGCACTACCCATTCTTCAATGCGCCTGGGTTGAGCGTAGGCGGGGGTCGAACCAAGGGGGTTTCCGAATAGCAAGTGGTGTCGCAACCACTGTGCTAACCCGTGCTAAAGTTTTTTGTATTTTTTCTCTTACGCTCCCCTCTCTCCTTATAAAATATTTTTTAATTTTTTTTGTATTTTTGAAATTGGACTCATATTTTGATTAAAAGATTAAAATGGATTTGTTACTCTACTCTAAACCAAACTCACTCGCTTAGACTTAACTATAATACTTAAAGCTATATTCTTTAAATTTCAATAAAAAATGCTTTGGTTCAAATAAATGCAAGTATAATAATGATTTTTTATTTATTATAACATGGTATACATTGTGATGCTCGACTAATAATATAGTAATAAAAGAACAACGTAGTAATAGCTGTATGTACACATATATCTTGTTAGAAACTTGAATGTAGATTAAAAATGACATACAAAAAGTACAATAATTAGAAGAAACAGTACTGTATTAAATGGGTACATTGTACAAATGAAAGAGTAAGAGTTGACACATTTGAAATACAAAAGTTTTTTTAGTTAAATAATTCAAAAAATTTTGCAAAAATCAAAAAGCCATGACTAGTAAAGTTTGATTTAGATTGAGATATATAAGGCAATGGAGATTTACAGCTACTACAACAAGCAATTCGTTATAGAAGTGCTGTACAGTACTTACAGTACCAAAAAACGTTGTTTTATGAAAAGTGTAGTACTCTAAATTTACTATGGTACTTTTTACAGTAGGTAGTGCTATTTAGTACCTTACTATGTAGTACGGAGTATAACACATCGTAGTGCGGTACTATATATAGTATGAAGTACAAGCCAATAACTGCTCAGAATATATTAGAAATGACAAAAGATTAACCTTAAAATACTACGTATCATATAATTTTTCTATGACAGTACCAAAAAACTACAGTGATCACAAAGAAGCTAGTCGAGCAACAATTTCTTCACAAGATTTGGCAAATCGTCGACCACGCTTAAAGATACGACCCATCAAGTGGTTACCACTCTTCTCCTTCTCCTCACACTGAAGTTGGCGTTCTTGTGTCATTTTACATTTCTGAATCTTCTTCAACGTCTCTTCCCAAACTTGATCCATATTCATTGACAACAACGAGCTCACTTCGACGAACGAGGACTTGTAGATCTTGGCTAGCATTCGACCTTCTGAAACAATTTTGGGTTAATAAAAGGGCTTTAAAATAGGTGAAATTGAATTTTAAAACCAAAAATTGAAGGTTTTATGTTTGCATTTCCCAAATTATCAAAAATTTTTTAAAAAAATTTAAATTTTTATTTTGGCGCCATTTTTGGCATTGTGTTTCAGGGTACTTATTAAACGATTTTTAACACAACTATGTTTTTTCTGATGTTAGGAAAGATTTAAAATTGACATGAAAGTCAAAAATGACAAGAAATTAATAAAAAGATTTAAATTTTCGTTTTGGCGCCATTTTTGGAATTCTGTTTCAAGGTGCTTATTTAACAATTTTTGACTCAAATTGCTTTTCCTAGTGTTAAAATGCATGTAAAATTGATATAGAATTCAAATAACACTGAAAACTAACCAAAAATTTCAAATTTTCATTTTTGGCGCCGTTTTTGGCATTTTTTTTCAAGTTCATTTTTTGATTGTTTTAGACTTTTAAAGTTACAGAATGTTCAAAAACGTGATAAAACATAACTTTAGAGCTTTTATTACTATTTGTATGTCATTTATGACAAATCTTATAACAGCTTACCAATGAAAGAAACCCGTCGTTTCCTCTGCAAATCCACTTTGTTTCCAATCAGAATGACAGGTAGTTTTGGACCTCTTCGTTTCGTATCGTGAAGTCGATACAGGATTTGAGCCGCCCGAATGAACGAATCTCTACTATCGACCGAATATACGACCATGTACATTGTCATAACATCTTCAAACTGAGCCGACTCCAACGCTGATCCTTGAATAATCTCTAGCTGAATTTCATTTTCATTCATTATGAAAGCAATGGTCGAGGCTGGACCGACATCTTCAAAGTCCATGCCATTGATGTCAGTACAAGCCGTAATGTCGGCGTGGGCTGACATTTGTTTCGCCAAGGTTTTCTTGCCAACGTTGGTTGAACCGTAGAGACGAAGGACGCAACGAGTTACTGGTCGAACTTCTTCGTCTGCACTGCTGAGCCAGATTTCTGGGCAGGTGGCTCGGCGGGTCTTGTTGTTTCCTGAATTTTTTTTTTTAATTTTGATACGAAAATATTTTTTATGTTTATCTCACCTCAGTCCAAAGCCTTAGCCCAAATCCAGAGCCCTAGCATTTTTTTCCAAAAATATTGAACTTGGTCCCCCCTGTTGATTTTTTTTAAAAAGGTTTCAAAATATAAAATTTTTTTTTAGAAATGAAATTCTAGGTATATGATATGTATTTTTAGCCTAAACACTCTTGTTACAACCTAAAAATTTTACCCCGCCCTTTTTAAAAAAAATTTTTGTTTTTTTTTCAAAATTTTAGATATTAAAAATTTAAATTTAAAAATTAAAAAATTATTTTTTTTATTTTTTTAATAATGAAATTCTAGATATATATTATGTATGTTTAGTCCAACTACTCTTTGTCACAATATAAAAGTTTTGCCCTACCCTTTTTCAAAAATTTTTTTTTTAAATTTTTTTTTCAAAAAAACTAGAACGTGGTCTCTCCCCTGTGGATTTTTTTTAATTTTTAATAAAAATTGGCAAAAATTTTTTTCTAAAAATAGACCTCACGATACCTCATTAGTACATAGTATACTCGCTCTTCTCATATGTTATGCGTTTTTGCCCTTTGTTAGCTTTGAGTTCCAGACAAAAAATAATTTACCAGATTCTCAGAACTATAGACAAATGAGCCAAGTGCAAGATATTCTCAGTAAAAAGGTAAAAATAACTTTGTCATAATAAGAAAATGGCAAGAACTTTCTTTACAAAACAAAAAATGGCAAGAACTTTCTTTACAAATCTTCAAAACTATCACTTACTGTACAGTAACTGGCTATTCTTGCCTTTATACTTTGACGAATTTACTGTAGATTTGGTAGATTTTACAGTAGACTTTAGCCTCTTAATGCTCCTTGAAACAGTACTATTTTGACTTTTGAGTACTAGCTTAGGTACAATAGTGTTTGTACTATTTTGAGTACGTATGACTTTATTAGTACTATTAGTACTATCCACATCTTCAGTACTATGATATAAATCAGTACGGCAATGCTTAGTACCAGATGCTGGTTTAATAGTACTATGCTTAGTACCAGAATTTGGATCAGTAGTACCATGTTGTGTATTAAAATATGGTTCAGTAGTATTAATGCAAAACTGAGTAGCAGTACTCAACTCATCAGTACTATCTTCTTGAATACTATCAAATGATGTGACAGTACTATAGAGGTTAGTATCAGCAGTACCTGGCTTAGTACTAGTACTGTAATTTGCTGTACTACTAGCAGTTGTGCCACAATGAGTTTTAGTACCAGTACAGCTAGTGCCAGTACTGGTACGAGCACCACCAGTACTCGTACCACTAGTAGAACTACTAATACCGCTAGTACCAGTACCAGTACCACCCAAAGAGTACGTTTTAAACACAAAATTGGTCTTTTTAGGCCGCCGTATAGTACTAAAAGCCAGCCGAAACGACATGATAACAAACGTTACTCTAAACTTTACTGACAAAGTAATCTTGTTACTAATCCTACCGCGTGCTACTACAAGATAAGCTGCAGGATTTGCGAAATCTCATGACGATGGATAGACATTATCATACAAAACTTTTTTTTGGTACAATGATGAGTATTTTAGTGCTATGATGAGTATTTAGGTACTCGTTAGAGCGGTAAATAAAAAAACAAAAAATTGAAAAAAAAATTTGGGCGAGGTAAAACCATCCCCCCACAATTTTTTTTAAATTTGATTTTTTAACTATTGTTCAACGTTTTACAACTCTTTTCTGATTTTTTTCCAAAAAAAATTTGGGCAGGGTAAAACCACCCCCCAAAAATTTTTTTTAAATTTCAATTTTTTACTTTTTTTAGGCCTTTTACAGCCCTTTTATATTTTTTTTGTAAAAACGTTCCCTACCCTTCAGTCACTAAAATCACCCCTCCAAAAAAATTAAAAATGCACTTGATGGCCTATCCTACCCTTCCCAAGAAAAGTTTAAGAAAATCAACTTACTGGTCAAAGCCCGACTCGGCCTGCCTCTTCTAAAGCCACAATCAACGATTCTGCCCTGAGGGTCAACATTAAACGACCTCATTTGTTGATTCCGCAGCAACGTTCCGCACCGTTCCGTCCGGCTTCCACTGTACCGCTCATCTTCAAACACCTCGCACGGTGCATGATTCTCATTGTTCGTGAAGACTGAACTGTCATGGCCGTTAATGGTCAAGGCGTAGCCGTTGGTAGAGGAGTTGGTTGAGCATGAAGAGGAGATGCCACTTGAAGCACCATTGACTGGATTCGGATGGAAGCCGGTTACTGGGGACGCACCACGGTGAACGTTCTTGTGATAGTAGGGCTGGGGTGAGGGGGAGGTGGAGGAGTCGTACAGGTCGTCGAGTTGATCATCGTCGTCGTCCATGTGGCCGGTCAGCGGCCATTGGTCTCGCGCCAGCTTTCGACGGCGTCTGGAAGTAGGGTTAGTTAGTAAGGTTTTTGAGTTTATACCCATGCCTAGACAATTTTTTTGACATTCATCAAATTTATGGCGGAGAAAGCCATGATTTAAAAGTTTTTATTTAAAAAACCGTATCTTATATTTTTTGTTACCATTTTATACGATGAAACATGTCCATAACCAAAAACTTTTTAAATAGTCCTATACCCATGCCTAGCACATTTTTTTGTAGAATTCTTAAAATTTATGGCGTAGAAAGGCATGATTTTAAAATTAAAACCCGTATTTTTTGTTTTTTGACCATTTTATACGATGAAACATGTCCAAAACCAAAATTTTTTAATTTGTCCCTATACCCACGCCCAGACCAAAACTTATAACTTGTAAATTTCAAAACTCATAAACCCTCATAATAAGGCAAAGTAAGTCTGAAAAAACACCGTTAATAAGCACGTTTGTCTGGGTAATGTTATAGCCTCGAGTAATGTTATTGTTCCCTTGTTTTGTGCCATTTTTAATAAGACCCTGACGCGCAAAAAACGTGTAACCGGCTGATTTTTGTACATGCCGGCTAATTAGGCTCGCTAATTTGCTTGTTTACTCGCCGCAAGTACAAACATGATCTTGTACTGGGCTACGGTAGGGTATAATCTCAAGAACTTTGGGGGGGGGGGGGTTTTGTTGTTTTTGTAGGGTTACTGTAAGTTATAGTGCTAATGACTACTTTTTTATAAAAAATATGGTAACAAGGTACTGTAACAACGCTTAAAAACTTTAATTTCGAAGGTTTGTCGATTAAAAAATGGCATTTAAAGCGGTTTTTTCAAGACTTTTTAAGTTTTTGCTTGGTTACTGTAACTTTCTATAAAATTTTTAAAAATTATAAAACAAAACACTGTAAAATTAACCCAGCCACTATTTCAAGCTAAGCCCTGTCATAAAATGTCACATCAACCACCGCTTACTTTGATCCGCAACTTCTCAAAGAATGAGCGCGAGCGCAGCTCGCGCCCGCATCAACCGCCAATAATTGACCACCATTGGTCAGTGAAGTCGTTGGCAAATAGGTACAAGAATGATGGCGTTCCGAGTACGGGTATGGGTATAAATCCGCGTACGTTGGGAACACGTCGCACATTTTGGGCACGGGCAGATACTGCTCACTGTACTTTTTAGTGGGTATAGACAAGGTTAATGGTCTTGAGAGCGTCGTTTTGAACAGATTTAGAGCTTTACGAATGTAAAGGACTTGTGGGTATAAACAGTCTTAAAATGATGAGGTTTAAGTATGAAAATTGAGGTAAGGCTAAGAACGTTCACGGTAAGAAAGTTAAAATAATAGAGATTCTGAAGCGCGCACGGTGGGAAAATATGGAAAATAACCCTACCCTACCTACCCCACCCCCACCCCCACCCTACCCTACCCTACCCTACCCTACCCTACCCTACCCTACCCTACCCTACCCTACCCTACCCTACCCTACCCTACCCTACCCTACCCTACCCTACCTTACCCTACCCTACCGTAATTTATTGTATCCTACCGTCATCTACCGTACTCTACTGTATGAAACCATGCTCTGTTCTATTCTACCGTAATCTACCTTAGCGTACCCTACCGTAAGCTGCCGTACCCTACCGTATCGTACCCTGCTGTGCCATACACTACCCTACCTTATTCTACCATGTAAGAAAACTGACACATAGTATTGGTCTTTCCAGTTTGCTCATTTTGACTCTACTCTATCCTCCCTTACCCTACCTCTACCGTTTTTTCCGTTACTTTTCTTTTTTCTGCCCTACCTTATCATACTCATTCCTGCTTTGCACTGCCGCACATAATATATAGATTAATAAATAATTAACATATAAATTCGAAGCTGACAGCTTTTCAAGTAGGCATAGTATTATAAAATGAATATTCAATTTATGTTTTCATAAGTACAGAGAACAGTGAAGGTTTTATACGTAACGTGAGATCGCATCAATGTTTTTTAGTAAGTAAAATACGATAAAAATTTCCTACAGCACAAAAAAAAGTTAAAAGTGCAATGCAATTTTATAATCTATGCTGTCAAAAAGAATGTCATAAATTTATAATTTGTCAACTTTTACGTACCAAAAATGCACTTTTAAAAAAAGAAGACGGTCCAAGTGGTTTTTCCCAGCAAAAAATTGAATATTTGAAATTGATGGTCGTTGACGATGCATGAAGATCCAGAAGGTCAAGTGCATACGTACTCAAAGGAAAAGATTAAAATAGATTGCACTGGACATGAGAAATGATTTTTTTGAAACAACATAAGCCTAATAAGCCTACTGAACCTAAAACCTCTAAGCCTAAACTTTAAACCTTAGCATAAAAATATAAGCCTAAACCCACTTATCCTGAGCCTACGAAGGCAAAGCCTACTAAGCCTAAGACTATTAAACCCAAGCCTACAAAGTCTAAGCCTACTAAGTTTAAGCTTATCAAGCAAAAGTTTACTAAGCCTAAGCCTACTAAGCCTAAGCCTACTACGCCTAAACTTACTAAGCATATGCCAACATAACCCAAGCCTACTAACCCAAATGCTTATAAGCAAAGAAGTCAACTACAGTACCCTCCAAAATAAAACAAAATCCTGATCGTCTGACTCACGAAACACTCCTCAAATGAATTTCCCTTCTTCGGAACACACCGCCTGTTTTCGGCCCGATGACGCAAAAATGTTGAATTTTGCACCAAGCCCCGCCTCTTTGACGAGTGGCCCTCGGGCGGTTTGAGAAATGGACCAAAAAACGAAATTTGTAGAAACAACCAGACCACTTTCAAGCCATGTGACAAAAAATTATATTATACTGCAGCTGATTGTAATTCTAGCATTGGGTTGGTGGTGAAGGTGGAGTAATTAAGATAAGGGTGAGTAGTGAAGGTGGGGTAATTAAGGCAGAGATTTTGTAGTGAAGGTGAGGTAATTAAGACAAAGTTAAAATAGTAAAAGTGGGCAATTGGGAAAGAGGTGAAGATACAACAGTTAAAGCAAAGGTTGTATAGTGAAAGTGTTAGTAACTAAGACAAGTGATTGTAGTGAGAGTGGAGTAGTTAAGCCAAGGTTTTGTAGTAAAAGTTAGAATGAATGTAGAGGATAGGGAAAGGGGAAAGAAGTTACAGGTGAAGGTAGATTAGTTAAGACAGAAAGTATTAAACCTGATAGTAAATATTGTCTAGTATAGCACTGAAGCCAAAAGTCAGTTTATACTAATTAGAGTAAAACCAAATATAGTTAGAGCGAATCAAAGCAGAATACAAGCAATTAGTGTAAGGCTAAGTCTTACACTAATTGGAAGGTGTTACTACTTCATGTACGTATATCTATGCCATAAGATAAAAGTTATTAAAACTACGTAATCAGCAGCTCTAAAAAAACTTTTTTTTGTATAAACTTGAACTTACTTTACCCTACCCTGCCCTCTCTACCCAACCCTTTCTTCCCTACCCTCTTTACCCAACCCTTCCTAACAAACCAAACTCTTTCTACTCAAGCTAACCCTTTGACATTTTTTTGCCTAAAACATTTTTTTCAAAAATTGCCAAGACTGACGTCCAAAATCATCTTACACTACTCTTTAAACCTACAGTAGTCCACAATCTTTAGCACTTTTCAAAAATCATAAACTTTAACTTCCGCCCAAACTCTCAAGTGTATGACAAATAAATCGAATTAGGCTTATATTGTGATACACTAAACCATTTTAAAATTCAATTTTTTTCAAAACTTGTAACAACTTAAAGGCTCAAGAATCATTTAAGCTGGAATATGAATGCTCGAGCACTTCTCGAGTATCTTGTTTTTTCCACCTCGTAAACATGTAAACAGATTTTGTTATTTGATGTAACGTATTACATATGCGACGGCTTCTGGAAACTTTTGAATAAATAATAGCAACAGACATTGACAATGTACACCTTGTGATATATTTAGACTGATGTTAAGACATTTTGTAAAATAAGGTTACAACATAGCTAGAAAGAAGGAGAAAGTGTGGTAGATTTGTCTAAATGTAATACTGTGTAGAGTATGCTACAAGCTACGACTAGGTTAGGTTTAGACCAAGTCTTGGGTTGCATAGACTCAACGGTAGGCCAGAGTACAGAAGTTTGAAAGGGTAGGGTAGGATAGAGTAAGATAGGATAAGGTAAGGTAGACCAGGGTAGAGTACGGTAGGGTAGGATAGATGATCCGTTTTACTGTACTCTACTTTAATCTACAAGATCAAGATAGAGTAGATTAAGTTAGAGTACAGTAAAACGGATCAGAGTACTGTGCGGTAGGATACGGTATATTACAGTAAGATAGGGTAAGGTAGGGTAGGGTAGGGTAGGGTAGGGTAGGGTAGGGTAGGGTAGGGTAGGGTAGGGTAAGGTAAACTTCAAAAAACTTGATATACAGCTTATTTGGCTAACAACATTATTTTTTATTTATCATTTACATACGTAAATGCAATAGAATCAACTTTATTCAATTACTTTTTCTGGTCGATTACGTGTAAAACGTAAAAACGGTATGTGGTTTTTTAATCAGAAAAGTTTAGAATTGAAAATATGACACTTGTTGACCTAACATGATACTTGTAACGCCTCAAATTGCATTTATTATTAAGACGGCTCATGACAAACTCCTCTATAATGAACTCTCCTATAACGACCCCCCCCTCTATATAGCAAACTCAAGAACAAACAAATTTCAAACCCTCAAGGCAATTTCTTATACAAAAGTTCCACTGTACTTTACCGTAAACAGTAATTGAAATTATAAAACCCTACGCTTTTCTGAGAAATCTTATCCTTTAGGCAATTTCAAAGTGTTTTCAGCACTTTACAAAGTTCAATTTTTGTTGACACAGTACTAATGAATACAGACGTACAGTCCGTGTGAGTGTACCAAACTAAACCTAAGTAAAGTAAATAGTGTATTCTCAAGCCTATGAACCAACTCCTCAGAAGGCATGAACTTTCTTTACAAATCAAAAAATAGCAAGAACTTTCTTTACAAAGTCATAAAAGGCCAAAATTTTTCAAAATTCAAAAAACACTTTTTGCTTAGGGAAAGTCGGCAAAACGTGTTTGTGTTGTGACAGCCGTTTCAAAACTTTGAAGATTCTCACGTCGAATTGTCTCTGCAAATCTTCCAGAAAAAAAATAAAAATAAATATTTGGACAGCCGTTCGGTTCTAATTTCGAAATTATTTTGGTTTCACAATTCTTGCAAATTGGTCATTGTAAGGTTATTTTTAGAAGAATTGACGTCTTCTTAAGTATTGAGTCATTTAACCATTAAAAATAAGAAAAATATTATAGTAAATTTGTAAAGAAAGTTCTTGTCATTTTTTATTCTGTAAAGAAAGTTCTTGTCATATTTTATTTTGTAAAGAAAGTTCTTGCCATTTTTAATTCTGTAAAGAAAGTTCTTGTCATTTTTTATTTTGTAAAGAAAGTTATTGCCATTTTTAATTCTGTAAAGAAAGTTCTTGTCATTTTTTATTTTGTAAAGAAAGTTCTTGCCAGTTTTTATTTTGTAAAGAAAGTTCTTGCCATTTTTTATTTTGTAAAGAAAGTTATTGCCATTTTTAATTCTGTAAAGAAAGTTCTTGTCATTTTTTATTTTGTAAAGAAAGTTCTTGTCATTTTTTATTTTGGAAAGAAAGTTCTTGCCATTTTTTATTCTGTAAAGAAAGTTCTTGTCATTTTTTATTTTGTAAAGAAAGTTCTTGCCAGTTTTTATTTTGTAAAGAAAGTTCTTGCCATTTTTTATTTTGTAAAGAAAGTTATTGCCATTTTTAATTCTGTAAAGAAAGTTCTTGTCATTTTTTATTTTGTAAAGAAAGTTCTTGCCATTTTTTATTTTGTAAAGAAAGTTCTTGTCATTTTTTATTTTGGAAAGAAAGTTCTTGCCATTTTTTATTCTGTAAAGAAAGTTCTTGTCATTTTTTATTTTGTAAAGAAAGTTCTTGCCATTTTTTATTTTGTAAAGAAAGTTCTTGCCTTTTTTTATTCTGTAAAGAAAATTCTTGCCTTTTTTAGTATTTTAACTTGAATTCTCAATCCAAGAACTTTAAAAGCTTATTTTTGTTATTGTAAAGAAAATTGTTGCGATT